GCTATCCCTATACACCCTCTACACCCCTCCAATCCCCCGATCAAGCCACCATGACCGAGCCGAACACGCGGGGCACGGCAAAGGACAACGGGACCGGCAACGGCAGCAGCAGCGGTCCCGAGACCAACACCACGACCAACAATGAAAAGAGCAATAGCTCCAACCAACCTTCCTCCCTAGCATCCCGCATCCAATCCTCTGCAACAAACCTAGCAAAAAGCGCCTTCCAACCGCCCACCTCGGCCGAGCTCTCCCAATCCCTAGCAGCAAGTACAGGCAACAAGGCCGGACAATCCTCCCTACAATCCACTGCCAGTGCATACACTGCAAGCGCGAGTCGGGCTGTCTCAACACCAGGATCAGGATCAGGATCAGCATCAGCACCAGGAACACAAGCATCGACCTTCAGAAATGAATCCCTCCAACAAGGCGGGGTCGAGCTCCCTCCATTAACAGAAGCCGAATTCCAACATGGCCAGGAACTAGGATTAGGATTAGGATTGGACCAAGAACAAGGACAAGACACAGACCAAAACCACGACACAGACCTCCAATCAACAACCGGCCCCTGGAAAGGAAAACAACGAGCGCAAGACCCAACCCAAACCCAATACGAAACAGCCTGGCAACGCAACCCCCCAACCCCAATCCAAACAACCACCCAACAGCCAACAACCTACAACCCCGAACCAACGGACGGCTCAGCCGTCCTATCCCTCCTCTCAGACCCATCCTTCGATCCAAACATGGACACAGACCCGGCAACCCTACCCGAAACACATCCCTCGCTAGACCGATATGCCGCGCCGGCCCCGTTGTCTCGGGGTGAGATTGAGGCTATTGAGTCGTTTCGGAGAGGGGTTGGGGGTGTTATGCGCGAGGACTTGGATCGTCACCAGCAAAAGCAGAACCGGATGGGAGAGGGAGAGGGAGGGGGTGGGAATGGGGGCATATCGGGTTCGAGTCTAATACCCGACATCGATACGTTCCTCATGGAGAATGAACATGGATCTGGAGTTAGAGCTGGATCTGGATCGTCCCTCCGCGATACAATCGCGACATACCTCCCTGGCGCAATTGACTGGATGGACGTGCAGGAGAGGTATGTTGATGATGTATGGGGGTATCTGGAGCCTGTGCTTGAAGCGGCGAGGGAAGAGATTGAGGATGGGGATAAGCGTGAAGGGACTGGGCATGAGGATGGGGATGGACCGGCTGTTAGGCGGTTGAAGATGATTTTGGTGCATATGAAGGGGTAGTCTACGACTCTGTTGTAGGAATAGGTAGGAATAGGTAGGGGTTGGTTGTATAATTGTATAGAGGATATAGATAGCTAACTACAGTACATGTAGGCGTTCTATTTATGATTTGGAATATACCCCATTGTACGGAGTAACTATCATCTTTCTTTGTGTACATGTAAGTTGTCTATGCTGGCCAGTCGGAGATTAGATTAGTTCTTCCGGTAGTTAGCATGCATCAGCCGATTCGTGAGTCTGAGCCGAGGTCTCGGTGATTTGATTTATCCCGACTTCCCCTGAGAAGATACTGTATGCAAATGCCCTAGTCGTATATTGAAATACTGGAACTAACAGGTGTGGCAATAACAACAGAGAACCAATGCTATAGAATCCACAGCCATAGACCAACTACACCAACTACAAGTAACGTGATACAACGAATGATCATACTCTAGAAAGATACATTCCAGATAAAATAAGAAGAAGATGTTATGTATGATACACAAAGAAACCAAAAGCACAACTTCCAATAGGAAACGGCCAGATTCCCAGATCCAATCATGAAAGCATAAGCAAAATAGAGACGAAGACGGGGTATGTAGGAACACGCTGAAGTTCTTATTTCGTTGAGGGAGGAGGAAGACCTCAAGAGAGATGGAGAGAGGAAGAGGAGGAGGAGAGACGTGAGAGGTAAGAGGATGCTCATATCTCTTAATCACACTCACAGCTCCAGGCTGGGGGTCTGGCCCTTGACACGGCCGATCACGATGTGGCCGGCGTACTTGGGAATAACCTCGTCATCGTGAAGCATGGCGAATTCTAGGAGGGGAATCAGTTAGTAAATGAGTTCATAATAATGCGGAGATAGCGATAACATACCCTCGGTAGCATCCCGACCCATGAAGTTGAACAGGGCGTTGGCACCACCGGGGTGCTCGTCGAGCCAGTTGGTGACATCGAGGACAACACCCTTGACAACGATCCAGAGATCCTCCTTAGTGTTGTGCTTAGCGACTTCCTCCATGGTATACTCGGTCTCGGGAATCTTGAAGTTGGCAGGGTCAGGCTTGGCAGCCTGCTCCTGAGGAGCGGCGGCAGCAGGGGTGCTGGCAGGGGCCGCAGCGAGAGGGGGCATGTCGCCACCAGCAGCGGCGCCCCATTCGACAGAGACCTTTCCGGGGGTGTTAGGGTCGATGTGGAGGGAGATCTGGCCGAGACGGCTAGAAGCGGATCCACCGGTAGTGATGAGCTTCTGGAAAAGGTGCTGGCAAGCGGAGTCACCGGCGACGCGGCCGTAGACAACACAGCCGAGTAGGGAGGAACCGCCCAGACGGTTGGCGCCGTGGACACCACCGGCCAGCTCACCGCAGGCGTAAAGGCCGTCGAAGGGCTTCTGCTCGCCGTTGAGGACCTGGGCGTGCTCGTTGATCTCGATACCACCCATGGTGAAGTGGAGGACGGGCTCCATTAGAGCGACGTGGAACTCGTCGTCGAGGGTGAAAGGTCCGTTGTGGAAGAAACGCTTGTTCCAGGGGTCCTTCTGCTTGCCGTCGGCGATGAGGTTGTAATCGTCGAAGGTCTTCTTGAGGGCAGCTTCTCCGCAGCCGATCTCCTCGACGAGCTGCTTGCCGGTCATCTTCTTCATCAGACCACGGCCGGAGTAGTGACGAGTGTGGAAGTCCAGGACATTGGAGGCCTTGGAGTTGAGGATGAGGCGGATAGGCCACTTGCCCTTCTCCTTCTCCTTCCACATCTGACCGGAGACGTAGTCACGGTGACCGAGCTCGTCGGAGAACCGCTGGCCATCAGAATTCAGGAGAAGACCACCCTCACCACGGAGGGCCTCGGCAGCCAGGAACTTGAACTTGGCCTGGGGGTCCTTGGGGTCCACAAGACCGGTAGGGTGGACCTGGACCTTGTCCATGTCGATACCGTTGGCACCGATGGCCATCAGCATCTTCTGACCGTCACCAGTGGCATGAGTGCCGTTGGTGGAGGACAGACCGAAGGTATCGGGGCGGTGCTGCTTGAGCAGGGAAGTGTCACCAAAGTCAGCGGCATAGCCACCAGTAGCAAGGACGACGACACCATCGACGGACTTTTCTTCGCCGTTGATAGTGTAGGTAACACCGGTGACGTTGTTACCGGACTTGTTAACGGAAGTCACGTTGGCCTTCTTGATAATCTGCACACGGCCGGGCTCCTTGTCGGCAAGTTCTTCCAGGCGCTGCATGAGAGCATAGGTGATGGCCATACCAGGGAACTTGGCATCGTGACCACGGTGTGTCCGGGGTTGAGAGTGACCACCGAGACGGGAGACGAGGGTGAGATCGAGGTTGAAAACATCCTGCAGCCACTCAACAGCGGCAGCTGACTTGTAGGTCAGGACCTTGATCAGGTCGGGACGGGCCTTGTCTCGCGCCGACTTGAGGGTATCTTCGTAGAAGGTCTTGACGCTATCTTGGATGCCGAGGTCGACCTGGGTGCGGGTGAGGGCACCGTTGATACCGGAGGTAGCCTTGGTAGAGTTACCACCGAAGAAGGCCTGCTTGTCCAGAACGACGACGTTGCCGCCGTTGAGGTAGACGGTGTGGGCGGCACTGAGACCGGACACTAGGATGGTCAGCTGAGTCTGGGGAATGCAGGAAGGGAGAGCTTACGTCCACCGCCAACCACAATTACTTGAGGAGCCATGATGTGTGTAGAGGAATAGGTGAAGATGAAAGAAAGAGAAGACCGAGGGAATGCGAGACTTAAAGTAAGAGGGGAAATCAGAAGCCGACAGGTATCGGCCGAGGCAGTGGGGAAAGTGGAAAGTTGGGGTATCCGCTTTATTAATTACGACGAGCTGGTTTGTAGTTGAGTCTGGGGAAACATTCCATTCACTTTCACATGTTCACATGCTACAAGTTACATTTATATAAGTTATTAAACTAGGATATATGCACTGTGACATGGGCTCATCTTCACATGTTCATTCCTGCTACGAGTGCCATAAGGAGCACCATTGGTCCACGGGGGAACAGACCCCGGACAGTTTATCCCTCGGTGTACTCATTCCACGCCCCGAACATAGTTACCGATCCCCTATTGCCACAGACCCTAGACTTGCAGCTGGACCTCGGAATACATCTTGCGGTCCGAAATTTCCGAATCGGACCGCATAACGTGACTTGAAATCTGACCAAAATACATATTAAGATAAGCAGAGAAGCGTATATAGCAGCCAATATATCAGTATCTCCCCCATATCCCATCCCCATACTCCATCTCTAAGAAAGAGCCGAAAAAGAGATTTGTTACAGCAGCCCCCTGATTGGCCGAACGAGACCAAATCCGGGGATGGGAATTGCCCAAGTGGGCCAATGATGTCACCGAGTTCCCTTCAATAACCGACGGAATTCATACTCAGATCTATATACCTGAGCCTCAAAGAAAACATGGTATAGCTTCATCGTCAATTATCCCCTGCTGTTCCTCCTCGTTTATATTCGATTTCGTTGGTCTGCCTTGAATATCTGCTCTACACTACTGCTCGGGTTAATACACACCGAGATAGTCCAGACACCGAAAGACTGTGTTTCTCGTCCGAGAACTGTGGACTGTGCATTGGTGTACGTGTGTGGGTTATGCGAAGGAAGGAGGGTTGGGAACAGAATGGAGGGGCTGGGAGCTAATTCAAAGCAGCTATACAGCTAACAACCACCAACCACCATCAACGGCAAACCGAACCACGCTGACACCGATGTGATTTATACACTAATCCATCCAGGTAACACTCTTCGTAACCAAAAACTCATTCAACCCCTCATCAGTATTAAACCGTCCCCAACCACTATTCTTCACACCGCCATGAGGAAGAGCCGGCTCATCATGGATAGTCATACTATTAATATGAACAGCCCTAACCAACAGTCAGCAACCATACCATCCATAAAATCCTAATGGCAATACATACCCCGATTGAATCCTCTTCGCCATAGCCAACCCCCTCCTCAAATCCTCCGTAAACACCGACGCAGACAATCCATACCCACTCCCATTCGCCAACCGGATCGCCTCGTCTTCACTCTCGAAGGGCATGCATGCGGCGACAGATGCGAAGGATTCTTCTTGCCAGAGGGCCATGTCTTCCTTCACCCCACCCAGGACGGCGGGTGCCATGCGCACTCCGGAGTCGGATGTGGTGGGGATAGGTGTGGCCGAGCCGGATATGAAGTGGGCGCCTGCAGCGACGGCGCTGGAGATTAGGGCTTCGACGCGGGTTTTGGAGGCTGTGTTTACGAGGGTTGGAGGTTGGGTTGAGGTTGCGGCGCCTGCTGCTAGGGCTTTTTGGAGGGCGTCTGTGAAGGCTGTGAGGATGGAGGTGTGGACTAGGATTCGGTCTGTGGCCATGCAGATTTGGCCGGACTAAGTGGGAAAAAAGGGATATAAGTCAGCCATGGTTGTCCTCCCATATTATTCATAATCCTTTTCTCCTCCTTTTGATAGGTACCACTTCGATAGGTAGGTGTGGGACTCACATTCAAGAAAGCACCCGCCAAAACACCCTGCACAGCAACCCCCAAGTCGGCATCCGCACAAACAATAGAACTATTCTTCCCGCCCAGCTCCATAAGACACGGTTTCAGATTCTGCCCGCAAGCGCGCGCAATCTTCCGACCAACAGCCGTACTACCAGTGAAATTGATCTTGCGCACTGCCTCGTGCTCAATCATGGCATTGACAACCTCGGGTGCATCCTGCGGCGCACAATGAATAACATTCAGACAGCCGGCGGGTAGACCAGCGTCTACGAATGCCTGACCAATAGCATAGTAGCAGCGCGGGGTGAGTTCAGAGGATTTGAGGATGGTGGTGTTACCCGCTGCGAGGGCACATGCTGCGGAGCGGATGCCGAAGACGTAAGGAGCGTTCCTGCGTGAATCAGTATGAGACTTGGGCTTTGAATACTGTAGTATAGTATAGTATACTAGTACTATATTATAATGTATGTAACAAGGCGAACATATACATACCACGGCACAATCCCCAAAATAACACCCATAGCCTCCTTATAAACAATAGCAGTCTGTCCCTCCATCTCAACAACAGGGACACTGCCACAAATACTAGTAATACGACTAGCGACTTCGCGCAGCATGCGGATAGCCAATGGAACGACGAAACCCTGTGAAGCGCCTACATCGGCGCCCATCTCGGTGCGCATGTATTCGGCGCATGTCTCCAGTCGGGCTTCGAGGATGTCAGCCGTTTTGAGGAGGATGTCGCGTCTCACGGTGGGCTTTGTTTGCGACCAGGACGGGAACGCGGTGTTGGCGGCCTCAACGGCGCGGATTGCATCTTGGGGTGTTGCTGCTGCGGCGGTCCAGCAGGGTTTATTAGTGTAAGGGCTTATTACTTCGAAAGTTTTGGCGGGGGATTCCGAGGTGTTGTTTATTAGGAGGGGATTGTTGGGAGGGTCATGGTGGGGATGGGAGAGGAATATAGAGGGTAGGAATGTGATGTGAATGTGAATGTGAATATGAATATGTACAGAGAAAGAATAGGATAGAGAAGCAAGTGGGATTGGAGTTGGAGTTGGAGTGAGACTTGGAGGGGAATGAGGGGAACTCGGCGCCGAGTGTACTGTATGGAGTTACTCGGCATACCTCAAAGAATTGAGCTATCCGTTGATCATTACCGTGATACCTTATGCCTTTGGACACACTATACTCGCACTATCTACGCTTAACCCAATAGCTTTATTCCTTACCCGTCACTTGTCTTGGCTCTAAGGTCCTCTCTTCATAAAGAACCGACTTACAAGTCTACTACAGTACATCCCAATATCAAGAAGTAACCTCCTTCCTGCAGAAAGGGTAAAACTTAATAAGCGGGTCAAATCGCGTGGCGTCAGGGGTGGGATCGAGAAAAAAAGCCACCAGCTGAAGAATAATTCAAATAGACCCACAGCCGCGTACAGCTCACATTAGGGCAAGAGTCCTACAGAGGGTCCACTGTGCGCCCGTGGGATTACACAACTGCCGGGTTCCTCCCGATGTTACTCTTCTGTATTCACATGCTGTGAAGCTTGCGTGATCTTATATTTCAGAGTCAGATAATCCCCTGATAATAGTGTTGAAATCCAAGGAGAGTTAAAAAAGAGGGTCGGTCGAGTAAGCTTCAACTAGAGCGTTACATTCTCCAATCTATAGTCTGAAGTTTTGACAGTATGACGCACATCTTTCCCACTGCACATGCAAAACCCGAGTCGGGTTCGATTGCTTACATGTACTTGGTCACTAGTGGGAACTTGGATCAACCTACATGTATGTGTGGGATTGAGACAATCGATCGGCGCAGTTTGCCAAGTTGCTGTGCTCGATCCTATCTTGCGCTCAACTCAAAACAGACTTACATGACTATTTCAAAAATGAGGCAGCGGACACGGATGTATAAAACCCGACACTATTGACAGATCTGCACGTCACTTTGAACTCTGCCTGCGACCCGCTGTGAACCATGGAAAGCCGTGGGGGTTCTCCAAGCGAGTGTAACAGATATAGATATAGATCCATGTATGTGTGTAGAGATATAATGTTAGTATATAAACTAACTTATAGTTCTAGCTACATGTACTCCTGTATGATTGAGTGTATACTGACACAATGGACAGGACGAATAGGCGCAGGAACACTAATGCATGATTCAATCACACTATCAGATGGCGATCACAGGGCCGTCTTTCCCGACTGGGCGCCTCTGAATCCCCACCGTGGGGCCAATACTCTAGGGAGGGCCCCATCTTGGCTGAGAAGGGAAAGTGAGTGCGTTGATGGATTGTTAGTGACACATTCTTCGCTGTGATGGACAAAACTATTGGACAGTGAACCAGAAATCCGTGAATTGCATATCAACCACGCTTCCAAGGTTCCCTGATGTCCTCCACTCCCCACATTCGCCATGCGAGCTGTATAACCCGCTTGCGCAAATCCCGTGCCGTATCTGGCCATTGATCGCCCACTAGGAGGTGTGAGTGGATTCTGGGAACTTGCGAGGTTTGATCGCGCTGATCCGGATCTCGCGTTATTTTATATCGAAGCCTTCACCGATACTTGCTCCCCAGGAGTCTTCATTCTTTTACTCCCGTTGCTTTTTTACCCCACCTTCTTTTGATCTTTGCTTGAGATATTTGACGATGGCGCCGAGCAACAGAGGCTGGGCGATGATCGAGATCGTCTCGGTCTTGGTTGGTCTATGCTTGATTTCGACTGTGTTGCGAGTCTTTGCTCGATTGAGGAGGAGAGTTGGTTTTGGCATTGATGATTACCTTAGTATGGGGTCAATGGTGCTGATGATTGGAATGTTGATCGAGTTGATTCTTTGTTCGTCTCTCATTGCCTCAGCTTTATACATACACTAACAACTACTAGGGTGTGCAATTGGAGGCAATGGAACCCATGTCACAGAACTGAGCCCCAAGACCCTCACGAACTACTGGAAGGTAAGTCCACTATATCAAACACACCAATCCCAACCAACAAAATCCTAACCCACCCAGATCTTCCTCGCCAACCAATTCAACTACTTCCTCCTCTGCCCAGCGATAAAAATAAGCATAATCTGCTTCTACCGCCGAGTCTTCACAACCCCCAAATTCCAAACAGCAACCTTTGCCCTAAACGCCCTCATAGCAGCCTGGGGCACAGGGATCTTCCTCGCATGCGCAGGCCAATGTCGACCCCTTCGTGCCTACTGGGACAAATCAATCGAAGGAACCTGCTTCAACGCCAATGAATTCATAATCGTCAACCAAGCCTTCAACGTCTTAATGGACTTCGCCATCCTCATCCTCCCCATCCCAATGATCTGGAACCTCCACCGCGCCTGGCAAGACAAGCTCGCGCTGAACGGTGTTTTTGCACTAGGTGCGTTCGTCTGTTTCGCCAGTATCTACCGCATCGTCGTGCTTTTCTGGATTAGTCCGGATGATCCCACGTATACGGTTTACCAGGCGACGCTGTGGACGCATGTTGAGCCTGCTGTGGGTCTGATTTGTTCCAATCTGCCGATTATTCGCGGTCTTTTCCCCGCGTTGAAGTTGAAGAGTTCGCGCAATGGCACTGGGCCCGCGTATATCAATACGGATTATTCGAACTCCATGTTTTTGTCGAAGTCTTCGCCGAGATCGCCGGATTTGGAGTATATGAAGATGCAGGCGGGTGTTTATAATACTCAGATTGAGAGTCCTTCGCCTGGGTTTTTGGGGTCTGATCTTAGGCCGTTGAATATTAATGTTCAAACGGATATCTCTATCTCGCCGGATAATAACTCGACGACCACGCTTACTCATTGAGTAGGGGTTGATGTTGTTTCTGTTATGTGATGCCGTTATGATTGATGACCTTTTTACTTTCTTTCTGGAAGTGGCCTTGTCTGCTTCCTTTCTTTTTTCGGTTTATACAACCATGACATGCAATTGCATTCACTTGTCTTTCTCTTTATCATTCTTACCTGTCATTCTACTTCTACATGTGAAACATACAGTGGTTTGCGTGTGAACTTTCCAACTGCGTTCTTTGGCTTGCCGTTCCATCTTACTGCGCAATCTTGGTCTTTCAATGTACATATTTCGTTTCATCCCAAACATATTGGGCGCAATAGATATTTTCAAAAGAATATACTTGAAATTGAACACGTACATATCTGAGATTGACCAACGTAGGGCTATCACTGTTCTTATCGCATTCTTTACAGTATCGTCTTCGATGTCTGATGATATACACCTACACAACGTACTTATCCAACGAAAGCAGCATATAGTTGAATATCAGCAAATAATCAATGTATTTTCAGCTGTCTAAACGGACATAATTGGAGTATGGGCTGGCATCAATTCGTAGATAGTTCATCAGATAGGGCCGGCGTACCGGGTACAACTCTTGTTCAATGAACCATCTGGCTCGTAGCGAATTCCTACCACAAAATTAATATTTAGATATCAAAAGAAGGAACAGCACATACCGGAAATTGATCAGAAATACTGGCAGCCACACGCTCCACATCCTGCGCAACTTCCTGCACACCTAGATCCCACTGACGAAGCTTCGTCCCATTCGACGCACCAGCAGACGAACCACCCGCACTCTCAGCATCGAAAGAAATGATACCGTCAATCTGGTCAATGTGGCCCCGGAGACGACCCTGCTCGACCATGCGGGCGGCATAAGCTTCCGCTTTCTCTCCAGCGGACAAATCACCCGAAGACTGTAGACCCAAGATCGACCCGAGGGAATCAATATGGATATTCTCGTACAGTTTACTTGCAGCCACAAGATTGTGCTCAATAACAGCCTTGTCGAGGACGGTGGTGCCGTCAGCAGTGACAGCAAGCTGATGGGGAGCAAGTCTCTTCGCGAAAGCAGCAACCTCCTCAGCAGTCAAAAGTCGATCAAGGAACATCTTCTCGAGGATAGCGAACTCGTCAACAGACGGCGTACGGTCATCCTTGTATAGACGGGCGAGGGAACGGGAGCGCTGGGGACCAGCGGGTGCGAGGACAGCGCAGCGGATGGCAGCTGACAGAGCCGTGAGACGGTCACCTTCGTCCACCCCCGGTGCCAGACTAACATTGAAGTATTCCTGCGCGGCATCTAGGAAACGGCGACGGGCATCGAGGATGCGGGCCTGCGATAGCTGGAAGTACAGCTTTGCATCGTGGTCCTCGATTTTACTGGGGAGGTTCTTGATTCGGTTGAGGAATGCTTCTGCAGATGTGGTATCGTCGTCTTCGAGGTAGTAGCGCACGATGCGGATCCAGAGACGGGCCTTGGCTGCGTCGGATACGAGGCGCTGCGAGCTGTCGATGTGGATTCCTTGTAGGGCGCGTGCTGCGGCTGTGTATTCCTCCTGGGATTCGTAGGCTTCTGCGAGGATCTCACGGATCTGCGAGTCTTGTTCTTCTACTGAGGCGGAGCGGGATTGTAGGAGGGTGACTGCGTGTTGGCCGACTTTGATTTTGGTTTCCGGTTCGAGGGATTGGAGGACGGTGATGAAGGAGTCGAGGAGGGGGCGGGCTGCGACGATGCTGACATCTTCATTGAGGATTGAGTCTAGGTAGTAGACTAGGTCTTGGGCTAGTTCGTGGCCGGATGTGCTAGTGACCATGTCGTTGAGGAGCTCGTTGTATTGTTGGAGCTTGGTGGGTTGGTGGGTGTTGGCTTCGATGCCTGCTAGGGCATTTGTAATTTTTTGAGAGGCCATGATGGAGAGTAGCTGAATCGCTGAATCGCTGAGTCGTTAGAGGTGAGTCTTAGTGCTAAGATGGCCTTCGACGCGGGGAGGTTGAAGAGTGAGAGATACTGCCCGAGCTTATCGATAAGAGCTAAGCATACAGAGGCGGTGAACAGTACATCACTCTATGGGAGAAGTATAAGATAAAATTGGGAGGACAAGAAAGTGAAAGAGCTAGAATATGTTTAATATAACCCAGCAGACGTAATGGCTATGATCATAGTGATTCCATTGATCAATTGGCCTACTTACAACAAGTCTATAACCGCCTGGAAGTGACTGGTCGTATGTAGCAAATTTGTCCATTCTATGACTATTTTGTAAAGAATCCGATCCCACCCAACTGTTAAAGCCATAACGCCATGTTTGCTTATGCTACATTTCGAGGTATGATATCTGTTCAACCGACGTTCTCAAACTTAACATCGTCCATTCCCGAAGCATCATCATCGGACCCATCATCATAAGGATCGTCAGCCCCAGGGGGGAGCTCCTCCTTGGCGCCATCGTAAGATGTTGCATTTGCGTATTGGCTGTGCGTTGCCTCGGGCTTCAATTCCCATGTCATAGCAAAATCACCGGACTTGACCAAGTGAGCAACCATCTCCAGGGTCTGCTTGAGATAAGCTTCTGGTTGGGCCAGTCTTGACTTGAGTGTCTTAAATGGCCAGTATCTGAACTCGCGGAAGCACTGGAAAATGAGATCCAGAAGCTCGTTTTGGGGCATACGGGTGGACTTGTTTTCTTGGGCCTTTCCTTTTGTAGGCCTCGTTGCTTGCTGTAGAAGGTGAGAAAGTGCGCTTTAGACCAGACATTGCGTATACATACCACGAACTGGCCCTTCTCGGTTGGAAGGGCATGACGCGACTGGAGGATCTTGCCGGGAATCTTATCAATAAAGACAGTTTCCTTCCGAGGCTTCAGAGCTTCCAGCGCTCGCTTCTCCGAGATCTGTCGGAATTCTTCGTTTTCCACGGGAAGGCAGTTAAATTCTTCACTTACTGCGCCGACTAGCGCAGTTTGTTCTGGGTATGGTCAGCAAAGATCTATGCTGCATGTCTGAGACACAACATACTGGGTATCGTCTTGCGCTGCCAAGGCACGTGGGCCTTTCCCTGGTCCTTGCGCCGCTCTTCACGTTTCTGCGATTCATAGAGAACCGAGCGTGGTCCGCCAAAGTCAATCATGCGGTTCTCGGCGCCTGGGATATCCTTTTCCGTAAAGACGTATGTATTGTGAGTCAGATGCGATGCGCTTGCAGTATTGATTGTCTGTCGCTGGAGCGTGTAGTCCTTTGGGATTTCTCGGTTATCTGGACGGTCGTGTAGGCGCAAGCTCACCTGGAAGACAAACGAACATTAAAACCCGTCAGAGTAAATGCGCATACTCGGCTTACCCGCTTGATGTCGTCTGGTGTCCCCTCCACTCTCATTGTGCCAATCTCAATCTCTTCGTCATCATCGAGATGGGCCCAGTGCTCCCAGAGCTGCCGAGGCAGGCGCGAGAGCCACACATTCTGTCCAGCTTGTGTAAAGTCAAGATCTCCTGCGTCTTCGTAGAGGTCTTCATCGTCAATATCGGCCAGGACTCTGTCCTTGCTTTCGGGGTCAGGCTTGATGTAAGGGCCATCCGGGTCTTGCTTGACCTGGGCCATGATGGGTGCGGGCGTCGAGGCCGTTCAGGAGGGAAGTAGAAGATCGGTAGAATGCGACCACTGGCAGATGGTAATATGGGCCGAAAGAGGCGGTGGGAGGAAGAGGCGCGTGATTGTTGAAGATGAAGTCCACGCCACACTCGAGATGGAGCTATTCAGCCCTGTAAGCGGAAGGCGGTGAAGATGCTCTTTGCATGACCTCAACTCGCGTGTTACCCCGGGATATCCACTGGTTGAGATAGGAATATGTCCGAATCAAGGCAGGGGAGTGTATACAAGGTCTGCTCAAGGTAGGTCGTAAGTAAAAATGTTGTAAGTGGTGAAGAAGGTTCTGGCATCAACGGTCATTAAGTGTGGACTATCCAATGCGGAATTCAGCTTCAACGTTCAATGAACCGAAGCAAAACAACGTCAATCAATTTGAAAGAGTTTCAATATAGATGACCGCCTGATATTTAGTAAATACTATGTGCAAATGTGTGCACATATGTACCGGATTTCGGATATATGTTCGCTGGCCTCGTAAATCATATTACTTTCTCCACAATGTCCCGTCATTTGTCCTCTCAGTACTACAAACCTAGTACCACTTGACCAACTCAAATAAAGCTTGATTCAAATTACCCTAACTCTCCCCTACCGGCACATTTCCCTTTTATACCGTATAGTACCATACGTATCATACCTCCCTACGTCAGCTTTAGATTAGGGCAACTCCTGTACATTTTTATACTGATGTTTTCCAAGAATACCATGGCAGAGGTTAAAGTCTCCCTACGAGTGCTGGAAATTCTCAAGGGCAAAACAATCGTGATCACTGGTAATTATCATACTCTGGCTCATTCTCATCGTATCGCAGGTAGCAAAAACGAAACAGGGAAATCTGGGCCCAGCTTGCCAATATTTCGTTACTATCTACCATATTTGCCTCTCCTGCTGACCCAGCCAAATGAATAGAAAATGAGGCTCAGGTGGTCATTCCGGACCGTGATACAACACAAGGGCAACCTTTAGATTCTAAACTCTGGAAGTAGGTCTTAGTATCCTTCAAATCCACGGCATTTTTACTGAAAATATATGCAATGGATTGGAGTTCTTGCCACTTAAAGATGTCGCAGAGTGGGACTCATTAAGGCACTCTTCGATGCGGCTCTAGAGCAGCTCAGTGGTATTGACTATGTTTGCGCGAATGCAGCAATCTCGGAAAGAGAGAATTTTAAACTATAACAGGGTTCACAAATATGTATGCAGTGCTACTGGTGAAGTATTGGACAGTCTCTACGGACATTGCTACTAGCACTCGTGAGGACTTGGTTGATTCCACTCACACAGAGCAGTGGAAGCCTCTATTCCCAAAGCACTACAATATCACGTATGATCTCTGCCACAATCTCCTCAATGACTTTGTGGAGGTTCCCCCGTCAATTGTGATGTTTTTCAATACACGGGCAAAAATATTTCGACCCCGGTCCATTCACGGCAAAAAGCTAAAGAGTGCGACCGGCAGCAAATCCTCACCCTCTACGACAGGTTTATTGAGGATTTCAAACATCATCCAAATTCAAGAATACCCAAGGCAGCTCTTACGTGGATTGAACATCTCAGTGCGTCCGTACGCCGATAGAGAGAAACTTGAGCTTGCCACCGGAAGCAGGATCTCACTGTATTTGTTATACCCCAGTCCTTTGAAGTTGTCCGCTCTTTTCTGTCCGTTGTTCTTTACTGCTGGAAGAAAGCTTCCATTTGCTGTTTCTACTATCCCCAGTGCTTTGAGCTTTCCCTGTCCGTAGCTGTACGCTACCCATGTATACACTCACCATATAATATGTCCAGATGCTATTTTCTGCCTCCCAGCCCAAGGCTCCAAGCGAGTATAACGTCTCATACCCTTTCTCTTTTTTCTTTTCTTTTCTTTTTTTTTTTGTGCACCTCCTTTCACCCATTTTCGAATGCCTCGGGTTGACGTTGTTGGAAGATAGTGGATTAATCATGTAGGGATGGGAAAGGATTTATGCTCTATGACTAGATCAGACGACAATCAGTAAGAGGCTCCTAAGCTTGACCTAATGAATGTTAACTTGTGCGGAGCTATACGAAGTTGGTCTTAGTCGTGCTCTAAAGCCGTGTTAGGTTTCGCTCATTATGGGCAGCTACCAGATTGGCTTTGCATTATTTTGCTAGGAATACGATCTGGAAAAGAGGTATGATTTCATAGGCTCCACTACCTCATAAGTTTGTCTGTTGGTGCCTATGATTGATAGTGAGAAGTGCTTTCCAAACTTTAGTAGGATACTTCCCTTCACCTCGTATTCTTGCATGTCACGCCACTAAGCATGGGGTGACTTTTAAAATGATATATTGATGAAGTGCGTTGAATGTTCGGTATTGGCAATATCTAGACTTTCCCTGTTTCCCCAGACACCTCATAGCTAGGCCCATCAAGTCTATAAAGACCATGGTAGTCTGCTTGGCTGTTACTTGAAAACAGACTCTATTCGATAACAGACTGCCATATTATCCGCATTTTATTTTCAATTCGAATCCAATATCTTGTTAAGAAATCGAAACAACCACTTGTTACTCTCAATCTGCCCAATAGCGTCGAGCACGTCAAACGCACAAATAAGTCATTCTTCAGGAGCGACTTTGCTCGACACTCGGCTTTTCGGTACTACTGGGTACCACTGCTTGCTCGAAAGTATTGAGTTCAGTGCTCTAGCGTAATATTCGAGGATATGGGCAATCCTCTGGACCGTCTACACACCGTGACCATCTGTTCAAGTCCAACATACTTGTCACCGCAGGCACTTGATCACACAAGCTGACCAGAGGCATGCAGCACAATGGGATCTCGTGTATGTGGGTGGTGAAAGGAGGAGGGGAGGACGGGGGAATCGCCAGAATACCTGGAACGTTGTCTGCAAGAAGTCCTCCTGACTATGAAAAGTGGTGGCTCTCCCAGGTTTCCCTCAATCCGCCTGAGGGTCTTACACAATACGCAGAGACGTTGCCAACTCTGGCAATGGGACCTTTCATTCCTCAAAATCTGCCCCTCCTTCTCATATTGGCTCCTGCAAAAAATGTGGCTACTCCTTTGAAAGCTCAATACCAGATAGCTCAGGAGGTCCCCCCGCGCAGTCTTGTGGCGTTTTATGGCAAGGTCGTGAAATTGATAGCGACACATCTGATACATGCATTTTTACCCTCCTGGAAGTCTCAGAGGGACCGAATAAAAATACTATAGTTCTTATTGCTGTGCATTTTTCCCGTCGAGGTTACGCAGAAAGATGTTTGACGAAAGTGATACGCAAGCGCGTGGTCAGATACTCATGTCTCTCCTGCCTTCCACTGATGAGTAAAGCGCTTTATTAATTGGAACCTTAATATGTGGCCAAAAGTAAGAACGAGATGATACGTGAATGAAGGAAGTATAGAAATTGCCATTGTGGCCACAGCCGCTGCCTGTAATCAACACAACCGTCATGTGACACGATGCGCCACCAGTGCTCATGAGAGCGGAACTTGAGCTCCTCCCACTGACGCATACCTTCCACGCCTTAAACCGCGAAATTTCAGGTCATATCTGCCTTCACTAATTTAACTTAGCTCCAGCAGGTCACCATGACCGAAAATGAAGATCTTCTGGCCAAGATTGGCCAGCTTGCAGGTACAGTGCCCAACATCAGCTTCGCTTCGACATAACCTTACCCCCAACAGGTCAAATCAATCGCCACAAGAGCCAAGACACCCAGCCAACTAACCATCAGTCTCAATACGTGTCTCGCCATGCTCATACCCACTCCGGATGGGCTCCATACCCCCGCGGCCGAGGTCGAGGCCGAGGTCGAGGGGCAACGGCGCCTCACCGACACCGCACACTTGTTTTGAACAATGCGGCTGGACCAAGCCAAGGAAGCACCTCTTCTCCTGGATCCATGAGTGACAACACCAGTGAAGGACGTTCGGCGCCGACTTCGATTGGTAATGGCTGGGTTGCAAAACGCGATCGCCACATGCAGTTGATCAACTCTGCTATCTATGACAAGGAAACTCAGGCTAGGTCAAAGGCTATCGAGGAAACACGCAGACTGAAGGAACAGAAACGGACAGAGCGGGAACAAGCCAAGGTTCTTCGATACGCGCAGGGCTCCGGCGCTGCTCTAGTGTCCACCCCTGCCAACCCGTCAGCTGGCCATCAGATTCTCGTCAACGAGATTCCGTTCAAGATCGCTCGGGGCGGAAGCAAGTTAATTCGCATCTCGAGTGCGTGTCCCCTTGGGTTTCCTCCGCACAGAACTGGCTTACCCCTCATAGATGATCCCAACACTGCCAATACCACACCCAAGCGCGTCACAGTTGCTGGCGTGGCTTTCGTCCGCAGCAAGAATGGCAACCTCCACCGCGTCGGCGCTGTGGCTTCCAAAAAGTGAGATTTTCTACAGCAACACCTTTTCATATACTGACCTTGGACTAGAACAACCCACAAGAAACGCGACGAGCTTTGCAAAAGATTCTCCACGACCGGTATTTTGTTTTCCAACGGACCACCTTGCTCCGATTTACCTTCCTTGCAATTAAAAAAACTGACACTTCTTTCCTCCAGGTACATGCTACAAAGGCCCAGATTGCCTCTTCACCCACGATCCAGAGAAGGTTGCCATTTGCAAGGACTTCTTACAAACAGGGCAATGCGGCGCAGGTACCAGCTGTGATCTATCCCATGAGCCCTCGCCTCACCGTTCCCCTACCTGTATGCATTTCCTTAGAGGCCGATGCGCCAACCCCGACTGTCGCTACGCACACATCCGGGTGACACCTGGTGCGCCGGTCTGCCGCGCATTCGCAACACTAGGCTTCTGCGACAAGGGTAGCGCATGCGAGGACAAGCACGTCCACGAGTGCCCAGACTATGCCAACAACGGCGCCTGCAACAAGAAGCGCTGCCAGCTGCCACACGTCGACCGTGCCGGCCAGATCCGCAAGGCTGCAGCTGCAGCTGCTAGTAAGGCTAATTTGGGTGAGGATGACTCTGATCCGTCTAGTGAGGAAGAGGAGTACGATGCAATTGACTCGGATGATGTTGACTCGGATGCTTTCGATGATACTGTCATTGAGGGTGTGGACAGTGGTGAGATGGCCGGACAGCAGGATTTCATCCGCTTCTAGATCTCTTGTAGTTTGGATTGCTTGCACTTCTGATTCTGCTTAGTTCGAACTGGTGATACCCCGGATATGTTCGTAGCATTCAAGCAAGAACACGAGCATATGCAATATGGACATGGAATATGGAACATGGAACTTGTGAAAAACATGAAAATATGAGAAAACAAAGAATGAACTGTCTTTAATTGAATCCCTTCCCTAATCCAAGAAACTATTGTAGAGAACTCCCTAGTTGCCTACTGTATGTGATTGCCTATATCTCCCGCCAAGACATGTGACGGCGATTCAACCGCAGGGACCTCGGACTCTGACCTGCTGACAGACTGTGTGATTTGAGGCCGTGGAGTATCTGCGTGATACTCAAAGCTAAAACATCTAGTGTCGCAGCGAACTCCTGTCTTGGAAACAGACGGATATCACTCCGACGCCTACAAGGATGGTCCTCGGGTGGTTGTTTCGGCGGTGGGTTGTTTGATACAGCTCCGAGGTAAAGTAGGAGAGAACACATGATTATATGTGTTCGATAAGTTAGAATTTTGGACCTGGCCACTTCGATTATATAGTACATTGGGATATATTATGGTTTACTTTGTAAATGCCAGCACGTTTGTTCAAGTTGATAAATCGTACGATAATCATAGATAGATAGGAAGTATCTGGCTGCCTATGCAAGATAGCAAATAGAACAAACCGAGTAGAAAATAGAGCTAGACCTATAATAAAGTTTAAGGATTAACAGTCCTGTGCCACATTGTGAACATGGCCCTAGAGTAAGATCACTCCTTGATGATGTCATTCATCTACGAGTTCAAGATGTGATAAACCCCTTCTTTGGAAGTATCGAGTCAAGCAGATACCGGCGGATGTATGTAGTGTAGCACAGCTTGAACTACTGCGTGGTGTGTTTGCATCATGGCCAGTTGGTTAGCATCGAAGTGTTGAATCCTCGATGGAGGTTTGTATGGATCTTGCCTCAATGGCACTATAGTATTTCTGCCTAGCAATACTATTTTACTATCAATGATCCTCTGTCGAAGTTTGTATCTATGGCTTGGGACTAGAAGTGTGACTGGGTTAGTGCTTCAAGGGCCAAAGACATCTGGAAAGAGACCGCAAACGCACGGGGATAGTAAAGATATAGAAAGAGACGACCAAGCAGACAGTGACTCATTCCGGGGAATCAACTCACACTCTCTTAGTTGCACTATGATGAAGCCCATATTTGAACCAGTCTAAACAAATCCCTCCTCTTCCACTTCGCCAAAGAGGAACATCAAAAATCCCCCAAATCGACGTAAATGCCTAACGACTCTACTAAATGAGTCAATAAAACGGTGAACCAAAGGTCCCCAAATCTCCCAAACACCTATCCCAAAAAGAAGACCTCAACCAAGGCATCCCCGAAACGAGTCCAGCAAGTGGAAACCAATAATTACCGAATGATCACCTAGCGCAGCACCCATCCAATCCAAACCACCAACCGAGCCCACGATATGCCCAATGTACCCAGCGCACAGCCGATCAGGCAGGTACCAGAACCAAAGTGAGGCTTTGAGTTGAGTTTTGGCTCAGGCTTGGCTGAGGAGGTGTGTTTTAAAGTGCTTGGGCACGCACGGTTGTATGCTCTCTGTATGGAAGAGCCTGTTCCAGGATGTGGGCTTCCTACATAATACCTACATGTACATGTACATGTACATAGGCAGTACGAAGTACGGAGTACAGTATGTACATGTATTGGAATTGGAATTGGAATTTGATGTGGAGCCGGTGGGCCTGCCATGGTCTTTTCTAGCGCTGCGAGAGAAGGTCGATCACGGTTTCATTGTGAGTCATGGGTTAAACGGGTAGTTTCATGCTTCACCGTATTGTTGAGAGATGAGGTTCTGTCTTGTCTTGCTTCCGGGTAGTCCAGTCTTGGGGGCAGAGGTTTACCCGTAACTGGTAGCCGGTAACAGTATCTCGTACCTCGTAGCTACTCATGTACCGGGAAACATCCCGATAGACACAGTCCAGAACGAAAAATAAAAACGTCATTGACTTGAATACATAGCGTCGGGTACCTTGCACCGTGACGGAAGACAGTACGGAGAGACCGAAGGACAGGTTGGATCTCCATTGGACAGAGTCGGCGTTTTCACCGCCAGATCTTATCCAGGCTAGGTTTCCTACCCGCCCAGCTGACAGGCCTATCATTGTCACGGGCTGTTTTGGCACTATGTATAGCTGGCGAACAGACTCAGGGGGCTACCGCTGAGGGGGTTTGTGCTCCGGGGAAATTGTTTACAGGAACAAGGTACGGCGGTTTGGGCGGCAAAGCTGAGGGCAGGTATTGACAAGGAACAAACAAAGAATAGGGAAAATTGCAAGGGAAAGAAAAAGCAAAATGGTATTATTTGATTGTTGGCTTTGATTAATTCTATGCCTGATATGATACTGTATCTTGCAGTGGTCGAGTCTGAATTGGGGGTGTTCGTGCTGCCGCCTTGTCTGTCGCCGTGCCTACCCTGCCTGTCACCTTGTCTATCCCCTGTAACGAGTAAGAAACCGGAATCCATCCGTCAATTATTGGCGTCTCTCTGCACTCCGCACATATTTACGTGTGGGCTGCAAACCGGTAGGTGTTGGAAAGGCGGCTGCTTCGGCCATATGGGGGGTGCAGAGATGCATCCGACAAGATCTGGATTCCCCAAGGTTACTTCCTTGATCCTTGCCTAAGATCAGAGCTGAGGTCATGAGGGAAAATGATCTTACTCCCTCACTGTCTTTGAAAACCGTGGTCGGCCCAACAGTGGATCAGCGGGCCGAACCCGTACCAGAGATTCAATGAGATGGAGATCCCATGGGAAAACAGAACAGAAGTATGTACAAGAAATACAAGACATACAACGTATCACAATTTGGAATGATTGGTAGTGAGAACATCTACTAATTACGAGCATCTGACCACCTGAGGTACTTTGAAGTATACCTTAACGTCTGGCACAGACCACCCCCACGACAGTCGATAGGCGATAAGCAAATCCCCCACTAGAGAATGAAGGCACATAGATTCAATAGTTATGTATCGAGTGAATGGCTATTGGTTACTGGGTGAGTCGTATATCTCTAGTAATACTCGCGGCTGAAGAGCAAAAACAGAGAATCAAACATCAAATGCAGGTCTGCCCAAGCAGAATGATGCAGCCAATAACGGAGATGGAGCCCCGGGGGCCACACTCCCACTCCCGCGCAGACCGCTGAGTACCGGGTACTTGATCGACACGCTAATCTCAAGCAGGCACTTCGGTATTCGGTACCTGTATGTCAACCGCACGAGGGCGTGCGTCTGCTACATAGCCTGCGTCTTCCCCCCGGGAACTAGACATCTTCCCCTCTTCCATATTGCCCATCTTGTCCATCTTGTTTATCTCGCCGCCTTAATCTTTCACTTCGCACTTCATCTTTCATCTTTTCTATAAATCCTGCCCCGCCCCACCCCTCTCAACCACACCACACCGCCTCTCCATGATGGCACGATATTTCCAATCTGACCTCTATCAACAATCACCAACACTAGAGGTCACAGAAGAAGACGAGATGAGTGTATTGGACGATAAGATCCTGGAGCCTTCATCCGAAGATCTCTCTGATCGCCGCGCCTCGTACGACGCCCCAGATGCCTACTCACATCGGGATTCCGTCTGGTCCAACTACTCGCATACCTCCAACCAGTCCCGATCAAATTCGCATCTCGGTCACTCCATGCTAAACTCAACGGGCGCCTCATTCATGCCCGTCGACGGCCCCCACTCAGCGTCCTACCAGTCGTCATGGTCCATGCCGCGCCCCGATTCCGGCTCGTGTACCCCGACCGCAGGTTACGATCAGTATCCCGCTGAAGCAGAGCAGAGTTCGTCTGCTCCATTTGCCGGTGGTGCTGTGGGTCCTGTTGGTGCGATTCCTATGAACCCGATGTCGTACCGGGGGAGTATGTCGTTCGCGCCGGGGAGTGTGGCCATGTCGCCGCAGTCAAGTCAGGGCTGGATGCCGGCGCCAATGGATCTAGCTGATGCGCCGTCGCATTCCACCAAAAGTCCTACATACCGGCACGATTCCCCGTTGACTGTGCGCCGGGATGGCATCCGGAAGAAGAACGCCCGCTTTGAGATCCCCGCTGAGCGAACGTTGAGTAATATCGACTACTTGATCAGTCAGTCCAACAACGAGGACGAGATCAAGGAGCTCAAGCAACAAAAGCGGCTGCTGCGAAATCGGCAGGCTGCGTAAGTGATACCCATACATGTGAGGAAACAACTGCTAATATATGATAGACTGGACTCTCGTCAGCGCAAGAAATTGCACACCGAGAAGCTGGAAGAAGAGAAGAAACACTTCACCGCAACAATCGGCGACCTAGAAGAGGCACTGCAGAGCATGAAAATGCGCGAGGCCGAGCTTCTCCGTGAAAAGAGCGAGTGGATCGTCACCCACCAGCAGATGAACCAATACATCGAAGGCCTGCACATGGAAAAAGATGAAGTCATCCGCGTACACACACTGGAAACAGCCGAGCTGCGCAAGAAAAACAACATCCTCATGGAAACAGTGGACAAACTCGAGCGAGGCGTCAACGTCAAGCCAGTACCAGAAGCCACCCCCGGCGACTTCACCGGCTTCGAGAACCTCACCATGGACACCCACTGGGATGACTTCGCCATGACAACCGGACTACCCATGCAACAAGACCACCTCCAGGCCCGCACCCACGCAGTAAACGTAAGCCAGCAGATGCAGCCCAAGGCCCCGGAGAAATCCAGCGGCGACCTGCCAATCAGCTGGAACGCATTCTACATGTGTCTCCTGTTCGGCGCATTCATCGCCTCAAACAGCACCTCCCTTCCAGGCCGCTCGCTTCCCCAACTCTCAGAAGAGTACCGCGCCGAGTCTGCAAACGTGCTAAAAGCCGTGCTGGCCTCGTCGCCCGGTCAGGACATGACACATGCCGCTCACGCGACAGCCTCAGGCCCAAACCCCGCAACAATCAGTGGCATGGAAATGGGCCAGATGGGGGCCCAACATCAACAAGTCGGACCTTCAGCCTTGGACCAGCTGCACGACACATTAGTCATGCCGACAGAGCAGCAAGAGCGCGAACAAGTATTCGCTCTAAACGCCGACCAGTATAACTCCCTGACGACGTTCGAAGATGATGGCGCTGGCTTTAAACCGCAACAGCCGTCGAATTTGCAGCAGGCCCTTGCTGCCATGCGCAATTCGGCTGCTCAGCAGAGTCGCTTGCATGCCGTGCCTTCGGATGTTTATTCCAGGTCGCTTATGTGGGATCGTGTGCCTGATAAGGTTATTCGCGATTTCAGACGTATGGTGCAGGACTATGCTACTCCTGTCAAGGAGGAGGGTGTCTTCCATGCTTAGCTGCTTTGTTTCGGCTATTACTTCGATACGACAGTTTCTATTTCTTTTCCTCTTCTTTTTACGTTCTTCTTATACTCTTTTTCTTCTTGGGTGTCAGACCTGGCTGACATGCCGCCCTTTACTTTTTTTCTCAAAAATACGAGCTAGCAATGGCTCTTGAAATTCTAGCGTGCAACGATAGATCACGCAACATTTTTGTTCCTTTATTTGTTTTTTGTATCTTTTTGACACCTTCAATGTGATTTTTCCGGTGGGTTGGGCTCAGGATTACCAGCACAGCGTGTGGGCTCCTCTATTTTGTTTAGCGTGATGATTTAGCGATTGATTTCGGAGCGTGTGTTTTTGCTTTCAATGGAGGGAAGGCGGTGGACTTATATTATACGAACGATGAACGACAGGGTGGGAACCTGAATCATGTGTGAACGCGAATGTGTGATGTTTGATGTGTGATGTACAGACAACCTTGGAAGACCACGCGGGAAAATCCGGCATGGGCTACGAGAAACGAAACGAGATATGATATGAATCCTTGCATCTGGCGATTTGCATTGCGATGACTTATCGATTTACTTACATTATGTTCTGCTTCTTTTTGCTCCGATTTGCTTTTGGGACTGTTACTGTTACGCTGCAGCGTGTCCATTAGGGAAGACAAGGGCTACATGTATAGGCAGGACTTGTCATTTTGGGCTGGATGCTTTACCTTTTCTGTTTCTTTTTTCCTCGGCTTTGGCTTTGGGCAGAGAGACGTGAACCTTGGGATCCAGCTTCCAAGGTCCTATTCTCTCTCTCTTTCTAATTCCCTTTGTTAAACCCACTCATGGCGGCGACGCCCACGAATGTGATGAAGAAACGAACCAGACATGATAATCTTGGCGACAAACCACTATCCAATATCTAACATTTAACTTCCACTACGATGAACAAATACACATTATTATTATCCAATGAATCATTGGGCCGGACCCAGCCGACGCAGCACGTTGTCTTTTCCCCTTTTCCGCGCATGACGGGTATCTCATCTAGGGATATCAGATCTGGACCACGGAATACCCACATTCCTACGCAACTGTGTGCAGGTAACATCTATCTAGGTTCAGGCTATCGCCCACCTGCCGTTCTCAGTAATATTTCCTGCCACTACTGGCACTTTTCCAGGGTTGTGATCCACGTGTAATCTTAACGGAAGGACCTTGGTGGTAGGTTGTGGTTATGGACCCAATCACTTGCGACTAGTTGCGGGTCTGCCGGTAAGTCTTGCTTCAAGGCTTGATCGCTTACAAGCTTTGGTCAAAAAAGTATCTGGGTCTTGGATTCTTGGGTTCACGTGTACCTATCTGGATGCTGGTGAGATGGAGGGTGCGGTTGGGTATTTTTCCGGAGTGTGCGTAGCCCTAAGTCTTTGACAGCGGGACCAGTCAACAACTTTGGGAGATTTTCGCATCTCCAGTTTAATTCTTAGTAAAGTTATAATAGCGATAATTGTAAAATAATATCTCAAACTATGACATACGCACCAAGCCATGTAATGGGGGCCAAAACGCGCAGGTGAAAAACGCCATTCTCCAAGGTCCTCAACGGAGAAAGCCGACTATCAAGAACCCGATATAAAACGGCCTACAATTTCCTTTCTGATCCGAAGCACGATTGTCGTGCTCTTCCCCTCTGAGGCCCTCTCCCCCAAGCTCCCGCGGAGCTCTTCGTCCCATCAGTCACTCTTTCTTCTTCCTCCAAACAAGTGGTTCAAACCACCCACTCCCTAAGAATGGCTTTCGACCCGCACAACGTCGACCTAGACATGGCCGACCCAGCCGAGATTGTTTGCTATCTCAATGCCGAGGGAAACGAATATGACGGCCGCATGGGCGCGCGCGTCTCAGCTATCTTCGTCATCCTAGTCGTCTCCTCAGCAGCAACCTTCTTCCCCGTGCTGGCAAAGCGCGCACCAAGCCTCCGCATCCCACTCTACGTTTACCTTTTTGCGAAATACTTCGGTGCAGGTGTCATCATCGCCACGGCTTTCATCCACCTGCTCGACCCGGCCTATAGTGAAATCGGCGGAAGCTCCTGCGTCGGGTTGACGGGTCACTGGGCTGATTACGCCTGGTGCCCAGCTATTGTGCTCACATCCTTGATGGTCGTCTTCTTATTGGACTTTGGCGCTGAGCGCTGGGTCGAAGTGAAGTATGGTATCTGTCGTGAGGACCCAGAGCCGATAATGGCTTCTCCTAGTGGAGTCGAAGTGCAGCATGGGGTCCGGCGATCAATTTCGCGCTCGCATTCGCATGATAAGCAGGTGAAGGAGATTGAGTCGCAGTCTCAGGAACTGCTGATCGAGCGCTCGTTTAAGCAGCAGATTGCCGCGTTCCTGATTCTTGAATTCGGAGTCATCTTCCACTCTGTGATCATCGGGCTGAACCTCGGTGTTGCTGGTGAAGAGTTCGCAACTCTCTACCCTGTGCTTGTGTTCCATCAGTCTTTTGAAGGTCTCGGTATTGGAGCTCGGATGTCCAGTATTCCGTTCAAGAAGGGGAGCTGGTTGCCTTGGTTTCTGTGTACTGCTTATGGATTGACCACGCCTATTGCTATTGCTATTGGTTTGGGACTGCGCACTACTTATAACCCAGGTTCGTTCACGGCTAATGTTGTCTCTGGTGTGTTGGATGCTATCTCGGCTGGTATCTTGTTGTACACTGGTCTTGTTGAGTTGCTGGCAAGGGATTTCTTGTTTGACCCTCACCGCACTCAGGATGATAAGCGTCTGACATTTATGGTGCTGGCCTTGTTGCTTGGTGCTGGTATCATGGCTCTGCTTGGAAAGTGGGCTTGAGCCAGACTGCATATAAAATCGTGTGTTGGTGAGAGTGTACGATGATTGAGGTATGGGGTAAAATAATTATAGTGAGTGTTTTGGCAGATTTAATTAAATAATAAGAGAGAGGGACGATTCGATCCCTGACTTGCACAAACTCCTGACTTGCACATATTTCTTCTTTGGGACAAAGGGGAGGGTATCGACCTAAATTGGGGTTAGAACCTCACCGAATGTCCCTATGGCCTAGCTGTCGGTCCCAGGTGAGAGTACCCCCCTCGATCCTGGATCCGCGCTCGACCAGTTGGTGTCTAGCCGTCCTCTCTCCCCTTCGGCCGGAGAGGAGAGTTGGACGGGCACCAACGGCCTTGGAAAGCCAACGGCCCTTGGTTGGGGGAACACCAAGGGCCGAAGGGAGTATCAACTTTTTTGCTTTTAGAAAAAGACTCAGAGGTCTTCTTATTCTTTGGTTCTTAGTATCTTCTTACATTTGGACCTCTGCTATGGCTTGTCATCTTGAAAAAGCGAGGTGACGAAACCCTTGTGAACAGTCTTGTACGCAAGGTCCTGTATATGCAAATAGCCTCGCCTTCCAAAGCAGCCCATTACAAACATTCAACCAAATCAAAAAGGTGGCTTACCACCTCTTGTGAACCTCTCCAACATAGACCTCCCATCCACCCCAGCAGCAGCGGAACCAGAATAAGGCGGCGGTATATCATCTAGCAGAGACTCAAACTCAGATTCAGCCTCAGACCCAGAGATAAGCGGTTCGGCCTCCGTTCTCACTCTTCTCGCCCCTATCCGCCTCCAATCGTCAAAAGCGCAACAGCAACCGGAACCCCAATCCCAATACCGATCTTCTCACGCGTATACAGGAACCGACGCGGAAGTCTCAGCGCGTTAGTCGGCACGGGCACGATAGTTGACTGAGTAGGCTTGAACCGAATCTGGATGGGTGATGCCGTGAACCGTAGATCTTGCGCGGTGTGGAAAGTATTGCATCCACGTATGTTATCGTGGAGATTGCGTTGAATGATTTTGCGTGGTAATTTTAGCCTTTGCATTCAAAGTCGCTGTAATGTGCTGTTAGTGCTGGTCCTTCCTAATTGGTATGCGAGATATAGGAAAGAACAGGGAAGCCTTTTACTCTAGACAGCAATATACAATCGTCTCCGCCCGTTGCGCGCCTATAGGCAGTATATAGGTCTTGTAGGATGTTAGACAGCAGCCTAGATTGAAGTATGCATTGTATTTCCATCCTTTCGGGCAACACTCACCTCCGTATAGACCTTCACAACCTTGTAGTAGATATAGGTATCCGTAGTTAGCAACTGTGCGGGGGGTAGCGCACGAAACAGCTAGTGTGAAGACTATTGTTAGAGGGCCGGCATTCGTGGCTGCTGTATCGAGGCGGTTGTTGTATTTGTCGTCTCCTGTGCCAAATGTAAATAGTAGGGTGAGAGGGAGAATAGGCCGCTTGATAACGACGAAGACCACATTGTGGAGATTGACTCGACGGAGAGCGTAGGTTTGTTTCGAATCATCTTCGTCTCTCTGCGGTACATATATGCATATTTTCCTCGTTTTGTTCCGCGCCAAAACGCGATACCATTCCCCAGATCTTCGTCTTCAGCCTTTGAGTTTCTCATAATTTGATGGATCAAAAAGGCCTCTGACACTTCATATCCTTTTATGCATCCATCCAAGCAAAAGTGTTCAGAATTGGATGCCACACTCCGTGGCCGACGACAGCTCGTATGGGGATTCAAGGCTAGCAAATGCCTACCTGTATATCAAAATCGAGAATCCAAATCTGCGTTCACTCTTTCCAGTTAATTTTCAATCAAGAACTGGAATCCTAATGTCTTTTGTTCCAGATTTCCATCTTCGAAGTGGGATTTCATGTATCCAATTTTTCTGATCTTCTCTCCCGACTCACCAGGGCTTGCGCGAGCACCCTATACCAATGAAAAATTATTATTGACATCGAATAAAGGTGGTGATGATGAAAGATGGCGTGGGATGTGGGTTGCTGGCTGAGATTCCCTTTCGGGAAGGGCCCACAATTTACTGAAACAGGAAACATCTTCAACTTTGCTGTATATCGGAGGGGCTCAATGATGTTGCAGAATTGATCGTTAGTCTCTAGATTTTCCATTTAAATACCTAAGGACAAAAACCTAATTTTCTATCTTTCTTTCCCTCAACTCATTTCACATCATAAGCCATGTCGAATGGAGCGCAAGCCTTTTCTGACAAGATCAGCCACGATCAAATCGCCCAGCGAGATCACAATCAACAATCTTTATCAAGAAAATGTCCCATCGAACCATCTGGAACTTACGAGACCTTCGGGAATGAAAAATGGAATCACCCACGAACAAACATAGTCAAGACTCTAGCAACATTCTGGAGTTTCCTAGTAATGGGAGCCAATGATTCCGCATACGGAGTAAGTTCCCATTTAAAGGTTAGAGATAGCTCAATTACTAACCAAACGGCATAACATAGCCTCTTCTCCCATATGTACGCACTCCAGCCCTATAGCACCTTCATCCCCCTTCTAACCAACCTCCAGCTTGGAGACTACTACAACCTCTCATACATAATCGTCTCACTAGTCTTTCTATCCCCCCTCGTCGGCTACGCAACAGCAGCAATAATAAACGACAGAGCCCATTGCACTCTCGGCCAGAGAGGAGTGGCTTTCATCTCATCAGCATGCCACCTAATAGCCTACATCCTTAACTGCGTTCACCCACCATACCCTGTCCTCGTCGTATCGTTCATATTCGCTGGCCTTGGAAATGGAATGGCTGATTCGGCGTGGAATGCCTGGATTGGAAATCTGGATAATGCGAATCAGTTGCTTGGTTTGCTGCATGGCTTTTATGGTATTGGCGCTGTTATCAGTCCGCTTGTTGCTTCGTTACTTGTTGCTGATGCTGGATTGCCGTGGTTTTATTTTTATTATATCATGGTATGTCCGCCCTTCATTCACTAACTGGATTGAGCATCTGTTGATGGTGCATACTTACTTATCTATCTAGATTGGCGGTGCTGCGATAGAACTTGTGGTTTGTGTTGCATGTTTCTGGGATTCAACAGGTGCTTCATTCCGACTCTCCAAAAAGCAACATCCAGAAGATGACCTCGAGAAAGGAGGACTACGAAAAATTCTGTTTAAAATGCCCGCTGCGCGAGTTAGTTGGATCTGCTCTATCTTCCTTCTTGGATACGTCGGTATCGAAGTCGCCTTGGGAGGATGGGTTGTGACGTTCATGAAAGAAGTACGACATGCTGCGCCGTTTTCGAGTAGCATGACATCCACCGGGTTCTGGCTTGGGATTACCATTGGGCGTATTATCCTTGGATTCGTGACTCCGTTGATTGGTGAGAAGATCGCCATCACTGTGAGTGACCCTATTCTTCTCGTGGTGATTACCTCTTCCATGGGCTCTGACTCATACGTGACCAGATTTATATCTCGCTTGAGATCGCATTTTGCCTCATTCTATACCTGGTTCCGAACTTCTTCGCAGGTGCAATCGCAGTATCCCTACAAGGATTCTTCTTAGGGCCATTGTTCCCAGCAGTTGTAGTTGTTACTACAAAGCTCTTGCCAAAGCATCTCCATGTCAGTGCAATTGGATTCTGTGCTGCATTTGGAGGTGGAGGAGCCGCTGTCCTCCCTTTTATCGTTGGTGTTCTTGCGCAGGCCAAGGGCGTTGAGGTCTTGATGCCTTTCATTTTGGCGCTTTCGGGTGCTATATTGGTACTTTGGAATTTTCTTCCGAGGATACCTCAAGTCGGAGGTATGGCGCAGAGGGGTGAAGGGGCTTGCTAGGGTTGAGCTCACAAATTGATCGCTTTGTTTAAGGTACTATGTGGAATGACTAGGTATGCCGAGAATAGTGGGCTTCTGGTGACAACAAAAGGCGTGCAATATCTGGAGTTGAAAAGAACTGAAATCGGGAGAATCAGCGATTTAGTTTGTATTTATTGCCCATACATACTTGAGGTGAAACATCTGTCGGCTCCCACGTGGTGGCTGCACGGCTAATCCTCGGCAACCCCTTGCATTCAAGAATGCATGTACATTTACCTCCCATCTTACAAATCAAGCCTTTTATATACAGTCAATATGGGACAAATTGACTATCTATCTATAAGATGACTAACTACGGGACATCCCCGGCCGAACCTTCCCCACATCTCCACAAACTCAAATCCCCGCAAGAGATCTTCCCCTGACCACCTCTCTCTGTTGAATGCCTCACTGCAAAGGAGACGGAATGGACTGATCAAATGGGTCAGCTGGCTGTATAAAGACAGTCCAATAGCCTCCAATCGCAAGTGCCGAAGTGCTGCGGTATCAAGTAACCCTTGATTGCAGAGACAGCCATCATGAAGGCAAAACCACCCAACACAGCGCCTAGCAATAGCCTAGCCTCAGTATGAATCACCCTCCCAATGCTCTCCCCAACTAACTAACAACACCAGGTCCTCCCCCCAGACTCAAAACCATGGTGGAAAACAACCCACCTACTATCCCTAAACGCCTACATAGCCAGCCTAATCCTATTCTCAGGAACCCTAGGCTACGACATCTCACTGATGAATAGCCTCCAATCCCTTCCTCAATGGCAAACCTTCATGTCCCACCCAACAGGAATCTGGCTAGGTTTCATAAACGCCCTGCAAAACATCGGCAGCATCCTCTTCCTCCCAATCCAAGCCTGGTCCGCCAACCGCTTCGGCCGCAAGCCAACAATCCTAGCAGGATACATCTTCCTCGCGCTAGGTGTGGGCATCCAAGCTGGCGCGATGAATCCGAATATGTTCATCTATTCCAGACTCCTAGTTGGTATTGCCGGTGCTTGGTTCCAGAGTGGTGTCATTCTCGTTACGGAGATTGCGTATCCAACGCATCGTTCGCTAGTCACCGCTATCTATATGTGTCAGTATTACATGGGTTCTTCATTATCTGCGTGGATCTCGTTCGGGACGAGGAATGTGGCGGGAGATTGGGCGTGGCGCTTGCCGGTTTTGATGCAGGTTGCGCTGCCGTTGTTGGCACTGCCGGGGACGTCCTTTGTGGCCGAGTCGCCGCGTTGGTTGATTAAGCAGGGTCGGGTTGATGAGGCTAGGGATGTTCTGGTGAGATTTCATGCTGGTGGGGATGAGGCTTCGGAGTTGGTTGCTTTTGAGATTGAGGAGATTAGCCAGGGTTTGCTTTTGGAAGAGCAAGCTCAGGCTGAGTCGCGCTGGATTGATTGTGTTACCACGCCTGGGAATCGGTACCGGTTCTTTTTGAGTGTCTCGCTTGGGATCTTTGCGCAGTGGAATGGCGGGTTAGTATTGACTTGAGTGACTACGTGTGTGGGTTCTTTGTTACTGACTAGGTGCTCTTCTTGCAGTGGAGTGGTCTCATATTACCTGACCCTCATCCTCAACACAATCGGTATAACCTCGACAACAGACCAAACTCTCATAAACGGGTTCCTCCAACTCTGGAACCTGATAATGAGTATAATCGGTGCATGCCTAGTTGATCGCGCAGGCCGACGGGCACTTTTCATCACGTCAACGGTGATAATGCTAATCAGCTACATCTTCATCACCGCGCTCTCGGGCAGCTTCACCACAACCAAAACTAGTGCTGTTGGAACAGCCGTCATCCCATTCCTCTTCATCTATTACGCCGGCTACGATATAGCCTTCACGCCTCTGCTCTTGGCCTATCCAGCTGAGATCTGGACGTTCTCAATGCGTGCCAAGGGTGTTGCTCTCTCGATGGGATCGAATTATTTGGCGTTGGCTTTTAATCAGCTTATCAACCCAATTGCTTTTGAGAGTATTTCTTGGAAGTATTACTTTGTGTTTTTGGGTGTTTTACTCTTTATTCTGGTTGTTGTCTGGAGGACTTATCCTGAGACAAGGGGGAGGTCACTTGAGGAGATTGCAGTTATTTTTGATGGGGAAAATGCACGTGTGGTTGTATCTGATGTTAAAGTTGCGGAGGAGAAACAGGTAGGGAGGATTGAACATAGAGAGGATGTATGAGAGAGGTCTATATATCATAGAAGATCTGGATCATAGCGTTATAGACATTGAAATCGATCTACAGATATAATTAGAAAGTCATTCACGCATTATATCTTGGTATAGCACGTAGTATAAGCACAATATATGTATCAAGATAAATCACAGAAAACCTTTTTCGTAAACCGATGGCGCTGATGCTCATAGCAGAACAAAATTAGGACACGCAAATCCGTCATTTAGGACTATATTTGTCCTTCCAAATCCTATGAATGCATTAGCCAGGAACTCCTATCATGGTCATCAAACATACCAAGAGTTGCCAACAGTAGGGCCGGCAATCTCCTCTGCAAGTCTAAGATACTTGGCTGCTTTGAACTATGGGCCAACATATCAGCATGCATAATAGCACTATACATTAGTAAACAACGTACCTTGTCCTTCTTCCCGCCAAATCCTTCTAAGTAACACCAGGCTACTTCATTCATAGCATCGGCGTCACCCAAATTCGCTGCAGTCTCATAGTACTGCCTAGCAGCTGCAGGGTCCTTTTCCAGACCCCACCCATTGCGGAAGCAATTGGCTAGCTCGAACATAGCTAGGACGAGCTCGCCTTTTGCGGATCCGCCCTTTTTCACACCAGCACGCAGGGCTTCTGCTTCTACTGCGGCTGAGTTGGATGCAGCCGCGGAGAGATATTTTACTGCACGCGTTGGATCTTGGGGACAGCCCCATCCATGTCTAATAAGAATCAGCATATGCATTTAAATGCCAATTAAATATGCCCTTACCGTAGTGCAAGACCATAAAGAACTTGACTCAGTGGGTTATTCGCATCTGCAAGCTGCCCAAACATCTGTGTTGATAGTTCAAGATCTATAAACCAGGGTTAGTATCGACGAACATATATCTCCAACCATGACAGGTTTAAACTCACCCCCAGATTCATGCAGCCGGATGGCCTCCTGGATATTAACCTATAGGCAACATCAGTCCCGCATTCCATCCAAACCCGAATATAAAAACAAAACATCCCCCATCACCCATGGACAACTTACATCTTCACTCGGCCCAACCGAAATCCGACTCTGACTCGAACCTCTCGACCTAGCCCCCGTCTTCTCAATCCCCAAACCCAACCCTAACGAACCCTCCTCCCCATCCTCATTCCAACTCCCACTCCCCGCCAAGTCGGACCCAGAAGTCCCAAACTGCGGATTCCGCTGGACAAGCACAGTAGCCCTCTTCTCCCACTGCGCCTCCCGCTCCTGTTTACTCGCGCCACCATCATCCAGAATCTGCGGTAGATCCGCTGGGATATTAGCAGATGAGTCGCGCGAGTTACTGCGACTGCGGTGGTCGAGGTGGAGCAGGTTTGAGAGGCGGCGTTCGCGGCGCGGTGGGGATGGCGAGGAGACGGAGTTGTTTCGTGATCGTGTGAAGAGTTGGAAGCTTCGTCGTGGGGAGGGGGAGAGGGTGTTGGTGTCGGGTTCTTGGAGGGTTGGGGTTGTCGGGTCTGCTGGGGGAGTTAGGAATTCTTGGGTGTGTGTGTCTGAGCGGATGAGTGTGAATTCGGGGGGTTGGGGAGCTGTTGGTTGGTCATTTTTGCGTTCTGGTTCTTTGCTGAGTTCGTCGCGTTTGTGGAGGATGTTGCGGAGCGAGGGCATGGTTGCGCATGGGCTAGTTGATGCGGGGGTGGATCTCGGTGGTGACCGCTGGATTAAAGAGAAAGGGATGGAAATAAGGTAAGTCGGAGTAAATGTAGATGTAGATGTAGATGTGAAGATCTAAAATAGAAACAATCGACTCCATACAAATGTCAGTGGCTGTGTCCGGCGGCTGCGGATGTGTACCATGGGTCTTGGCTAGCGGCTACATGCGCGCACAAATGAGAGACAGATGGCTGCTACATGTATGTTTGAAGTTGACCCCAGACTTGAAGGAGATTATGGAGTATAGATCGAGATGTAGATATAGATCGTTATCAGTCTCCACGGGTGGCTGCTGCATTAGACCCTGCAGGTCATAGTGCCAGCTGTTCCACACAAATACATAGTAGACAGAGTAATGTTTATATTTACGTGTCAGGGTCTCCAGAACTGGTTCTTCGGTCAGTAATAAGGGTCTAGCTACGGTGGCTCAATTCCCTGATCCCTGGTGGGTGGTCTACGGAATATGTCGCCGAGCTTCATGTGAGAACATCAGGCTAAGGGGATTGCAGCCTCGGTCCTCAACACATTCTTTGCCTCCTGTCGCATGCATATAGAATAATAATTCAAATGGTATTGCAAGGTCTAACTCGGCAGATGCAAATAGCCCTTATAGTTTTGTACACAATGCCGAATGCAGTGAGCAGCTGATACCCATTTACTGGGCCTTGGACGCCATGATGCCTGCGCAAAGTTAGTAAGATTCACATGCAGAGTTGTGTTGATAACTTACGCTCAACATCAGCAACGCTCTGCTGGAGAATCTGCTGCAGAACCTTGGGGTTCTCGAGCTCCTTCTGGATCTTGGCAATGACAGACTCGGCAAGCTCGCGCTGCTGGCGCTGCTTAACCTGGCTCTCGTAGCGAACCCAGGAGTCGAGGACGGTCTTGGCTTCGGCAGCGAGGGCAGTGCGCTGCTGGAGCTCGTAGGCCTGGGACTCGAGCTGGGCGGTTTCCTGAAACGACCTGTCAACAACCAACTCACATACCAGAACGAACCAAAAGTCCCACCTTGGAAACAGCGAAGAGCTGCTTGGTAACCTCAACAACGCCGGACATCTGGGAGACGTTGTCGATGCGCTGCTGAACAGCGTTGGTGTGGTCGGCACGGGCAGCGTTCAGGATGTCCTTGTGCTTCTGAACCTGACCCTCGGCCCACTGGCGGTAAGCAGGGCCACCGTACTTGCCGACAGCGGTGAAGACGGAAAGCAGACAGAAGGCGGCGACGGTCTCCTCGTTCATGACGTACAGCTCGTTGCTGATGGCGGCGATGGACAGACCGGCGGCGGCAGACAGCGTGGCGGTCTTGGTGACCAGGGAGTTGCCGGGGACAGCATTCAGGATCGACTGAGCCTTTTTCGCGGGATCCTCGGCGGGCACGTTAGAGGCCGAGCGAGAGGAGGTCAGGTTGGCAGTGACGGCAGGGACACCACGGGCGGGAATAGCCGGCCGAAGACGGGATGCGCCTAGGGGAAGTTAGCAACTGAAGGCATCCAGTCGATCAGATGGTCGTGGATCGTAAGGGGCGTACCAATGGCGCTCTTAGCGAGACGTGCAGCCATTGTTGCAGATGGAAAGATATTGATTCAATGGGGTGGGTGAACGGAACTGAGGAGACTTGAGGTTCGGAATGGCTAGGAGGTGAAGACGCTAGCCGCTTTGGGCATTGGTGCCGTGCCACGGAAAAACCCGCATCCCGAATCTGCCCAGAAAAAAGTTGCGACGATCACCACTTGTTGTATAACGAACACCATGCCTGCCCCGACGGATTCGAGCTCTAAGAAGCGCAAAAGTGGCAAGAATGCCAGCGCCCCATCCTCGAAGCGTCGCGCTGTCGCCGAGGACGATTTCGCCGAGCGACTCTCGACTATTCAAGAGCTAGAGAATCAGATTGCGGAGTCGCGGAAGCATTACAACAATATTGCGACTCTGATTTCTATGCTCAATGTCGAGAAATCTGCCGAGAAGCCCGATCTGGCCGTGGCAGTCTCCCTCTGTCGTGTGTTCAGCCGCTTGATTGCTGGAGGAAATCTCACGGAATCAACTCGCGCCGCTGAGAACGAGAAGATCATTGTGGCATGGCTGAAGGAGCGCTGCATGGAGTATCAGAATGCTCTTCTGGCAATTATGCGCGAGGCTGATGGCACTTCTCAGGTGTGTATACTAACGGGTTGCTCAATTGCTTTTACTGACAATCTTTAGATCACTGCACTGACGCTGAGTATGCGCCTGATCAAGGAACGTATTGCTCACATCCCCGGTGCTGAGAGCACAATTTGGTCGACCGGATTCAAGGACATTTTCCAGGCCGTTGTCGAGGCTCGCGGTGGCCAGGATCTGCAGACTGAATTCGTGAACAAATTCATGAAGGAGTATGACGAAGTCAGATATTACACATTCACCCAGATGGCGTATGTACCTCTTCGTCTTTTGGCTGGTTCTTTTACTGACTCACTACAGAGAATATGCCGCAACGAAGCGAACCTCGGCCATCCTCGAAATACTCATCACGATGCTTGAAACCTGCGACGAAGTGCCCGGAGCGGAGCACAAATTCGAAAACTTCTACGCAAACCGGGATATCAAAAACAAGCGGTTGTCTTCGGTGAACTCTCACAAGAAGCAAGCCCAAGAGGCTTGGTTGGCTATTCTCCGAAACAACCTCTCGCAGGCACAGCGAAAGGGTCTTTTGCGCATGATGGTCCACAACATTGAGCCCTGGTTCACCCGGCCAGAACTCTTGATGGACTTCTTGACGGACTCTTTCAATGTCGGCGGCGCCACATCTCTCCTCGCTCTGTCCGGCCTCTTCTACCTCATCCAGGAAAAGAACCTGGACTACCCTCAGTTCTACGCAAAGCTCTACTCTCTCCTGGATGCCGAGCTCCTGCACTCCAAGCACCGGTCACGCTTCTTCCGTCTGCTCAACACCTTCTTGTCATCATCCCATCTTCCCGCCACCCTGGTTGCAAGCTTCATGAAGCGTCTCTCCCGGCTGGCACTCAATGCCCCTCCTTCGGCTATTGTGGTTATTGTTCCGTTCATGTACAACTTCTTCAAGAGCCACCCCACCACATCTTTCCTCTTGCACCGGTCAATCCGTGACAAGGATCTTCTCGCAGAAGTGGAAAAAGAAGGCATGGACGACCCCTTTGATGCCACAGAGACCGACCCCACCATGACCAACGCGATTGAGAGCAGTTTGTGGGAGATCGAGACTCTCCAGTCTCACTACCACCCCAATGTGGCTGCCATTGCCCGTATCATCTCGGAACAATTTACAAAGCAAGCCTACAGCCTGGAGGACTTCCTCGACCACACATACCAGGGCATGGTGACAGCAGAGCTAGGGATGGAGGAAAGGAATATCCGCAAGATTCCTGTTGTTGAGTACCAGATCCCCAAGCGTATCTTCACAGATCGTCTATTAGAAGAGGATGGCGGGGTGGACTCTGGTGCTGGGTGTCTTATGCGTGGCATGTGGGATTTCTAAGTGTTCACAAAATTATCAGCGTATACCAATTCTATTCAATGCATTTTGGCAAACTTCCCCAAGGGAGTAGATGTTGCGGGGTATAAGTATCGTGCTGCATTAGAGGGAATGATCATCTCAACAAACAAACCCCTTGCTTCCATTCAAGCGTGCAGAATCGAGTAGGACAAACTCTGAATGTCCGGCTGAAGCCACCGAGTCATGCCAGCTCCGGCTGACAGGTTAGTGGATTAGTTAGTGTATTATTTGGCTTCCAGTTCGATACAAGGACAGATTCAGGTCTATGGACACTTTATTCTATTTTGAAGAATAGCGCGTTATGGACTGACGAGATATATAAACTGCCCACGAAAGATCATATTGTGTGGATTATGTAGGCGAAGACACTGGGAGTATTAGCAGAGCTTTACTATTACTTTCGAACATATTCAAATCCTACCTATCCATTTCAGCTCACGTTGCTTGAAGGTGGTAGGTCGGAGTGAGTATTGAATGTTGTTCTATGAATGGCGATCAAGCTACCTCAACCTCCCGGCACCGACGTTTTACCATCAAATACACCCCTTGGTATGAGCTTTCTGTACAACCAAGGATTGAGAAATGCTTTATGGACCGAAAGATCGATATCGCAGTATATCCTGCCTTACGGACTAGTACCAAACAAAACAACTCGGGAAGGGATGACATTCCAGCATGTCCCAGCAAGTCATGTTATTGGGCCTCGATACTTCGACCTCCCCATTGGCGACTTATGGGCTTGATGGTTGAATATCTGATCATTGGCTTCAACAATTGGAAAATTGGAAAATGAAGGATGCCATTCTGCAGCCACCTGCCGTGGTATACATACAAGGCGCTGAGTGACAGTTTACTCCCACGCCTTCATGGTTGAACTAAGAGCCCTCAGATCAAAACAAATTAGCTTTATGTCAAGAATTTCCAATGCTCTCTAACAGGAATTCCCCAGACCGGCAAACGACATGCTTCCTTGGGCAATATGCTGATGCTTCACCGTTAGGGCTCGAGGAATGCAACATTCTCTCCAAATGCCCTTTGGTCTCACTACGAATACCAACATGCGATATTCGAGCTCAGTTCTCGGGGCTGGGAGAGGTCACGGCAATGTTTTCCAGTAGATAAGAATCGCGATGCGCCACCCAGATTCTTGAAAGTTGTATCGCCATTCACGTCGCCCATCCGCCACTCCACGATTCCGTTAATATCGCCCACTTTCCTTAAAACCCAACCCGGATTTTACTTTCTTTAATCATTATGATCTTCTCAAAGAGTGTCATTGCCGCCGTGGCAACCCTCGTCACTCTGGGTCTCGCTGACCCTCTTTCTTTCACTGCCTGGCCTACTGAGCCGCTCGAGGCTGGCAAGCCCGTTACCCTTCGATGGGCTGGTGGTGTCCACCCTGATCAGGTACGTAGCAACTGGTCCTAAGTGCAAACACCAGACAACTCATTGCATGCTAGCCCGTGACAATTGCCCTCCGCGAAGGACCCTCTGGCAACCTCAGGGATGTCAAGGTCATCACCGACCAAGCCAAGGATGGCAGCTTCACCTGGACCCCGGACAACGACGTGAAGAGTGGTCGAACCTACGCCTTCCAGATCTCCCAGGAAGATGAGACCAATTACACTGCTCTGCTTCACTCTGCCGGTGACAAGCCCGTCGAAGACAACGCCAGCACCACCGGTGCCGGTACCACTTCTGCTCCCAATAGCCAGACCACCGCTGGCACTCGGACCACCGATGCTACCAGCTCCGGCAGTAAAGCTCTAATCAGCTCCTCAGCCAACGGCTCTAGCACCCCGTCCGGCTCGGCTGCTGCCAGCTCATCTAGCGCAAGCAGCACAGATGTTCCCATGATCACTGACATTAGGAATGGCAAGGAGGCCTCTTCCACCGGCAGTGTACAGAACGATGCTGCTTCTATTCCTCAGTCTTCCATGCAATTCGTACTGGGGGTTGCTGGTCTGCTCGTCTACCTTGTTCAGTAGAAAGCCGTTTGTTGGCATTTTGGTTCTTTGGTTTTTTTTGGGGTGGGCATACTTACGCCATTCGTTTTGCAAAACTGGTCAAGATAGCTTCGTGTATATATAGTACCCCTGGATATCGTCGATATATAGGTGGCATGAGGCGCTGAGGAAGTAATCAAGTCTTTCATACTATCCCGGCCTTGTTAGCCCTGTTAGTCAGGTGTCAAAATACTCTCTGCATTTAAGACGAAATCGTCTTTGTATGTTGGATTAATGTTCGTTGTAGTTCTATAGGGAGTTCAGTTATGGTAAACAAAAGACCCCTGTCCCCGCTGCTTCCGCGACACAGCGGATCAACAGCGGAGCGGGAACACAAAGAAGATCATTTCCACTTCACTTCTTCTCTTTACCGCTACTTCGACTGCAGAGATCTGTGCTTGAGGGGCCATTGTTGCACTATTGAAAAGTATAGTGTGTCTTTTATTAAAAGCTTGTCCCTTGCGATGTCTCGATGATTAAGCAATAATAAGACACAGCTAGCAGCACCTGCGACACTTAATATCGGTATGAGCCTTCTCCGCGTATTTATGTCATTTTGATCCTGTTCGTCCGATCTTCCGGCCTGTTTACTTCCGGACATGTTCCCATCAGCATGGGGGCTTCAAACAGGCCATGATGCGATTCACTTCCAGCAAGAATCTAGCCCCAGTTGGCGCTGACCCCCTTATTCATGCAGATGCACCGCAGGTCAATCTCCCGCATGTGGACACTCAGCTAAATATGCACAACGGATTCTTGGACGACGAGTCCCCGGCCCAAGGTCAGAACGGTTGGTACTTTTGACCTCGTTGACGGTCATTCCAGAGCTGACACATTCTCTTCATCTCCCAGGAACCTCCAATGACGCCTCTCCGTCTCCTTCCCAGCCATCGAATCCCTCCGCTACAACAGATACGAGCAATGGCGAAACACCAACGGCAGAATGGTCAGCAGTCGGACATGCAGCAACCGGCAAGTCCGGACGGGTCATACACAACCTCCAAGAGGAAATTGCGCGTCTAACGCGTGAATGCACTCTACAAAAGTCCCGCGCCGAGGAATTCCAAAGGTCAAACGAGGCCTACAAGATCCAGCAACAAAATATGAATGAGCGGCTACGGAACCTGGAACAAGTCAACGAGACGAATCTCAACTCAATCGCGCGCAAGGACCGCAAATTGGAAGAATTGCGAAGGGACCTACAAAATGAGCGCTCGAAGCGCCAGGAAGCCGAAATGGACGCCAACCAAACCAACGAGATGATGCGGGAGGAACGCGAAAACCACAACCGCGAACAAGCCCGGTTACAGGAGATCTCCAAGCACCACGAGACACAGTACGAGGTGCTGTCATCCACGACGAAACGGGACAAGGCGGATTTTACAAAACGCATCAATGCTATCTCCGGGCAGTTCCAGTCTATAGCCAATGCGCAGAAGACACATGTACACTCTACGGAACGCTTGGAGGTCCTTGCGGATCAGAAGAACCGCGAAATTGAAGCTCTCAAGGATTCGTATGAGAAATTGCTGGCTAAACATACTGCCTATAAGGATATGAAGGAGATTGAGTTCCGGGATACGCTTGGGTCGGCCCAGTCAAACAATGACAAGATTGATGGAGCTTTGGCTAAAATTAAAGAGACGGAATCGGAGATGAAATGGGTGATTCGGCTCAGTGGAAGCCAAGTCAAGCAACCTGCCAGTGAATGAGTGTTGTCTACTGTTTGTCTACGTTGTGTTGATTGCCCAGCGCTCTGCCAGCACACTCGCTTCTTTCCCTCCTCTCCATCAAGCCTCATCCATTCTGCCTCTCAAAACCACACCTTCGATCCGTTCCACCTCTTTCCACCGCTTTCGTCCTATCTCGACTCACCGCCACGGCCATTCATCCGATCCTCGTCCCGTGACACTCCGAACCCTACCTACACTTTTTCATCAAACCATCCACACCCCTTGTCCCCTATCATAGATCCCTTCCCATTGCAGGTGCATGGCGTTTCTTTTTGCAGCAGATACCCGCCATGGCAGAGTTTGATCCGGTAACCTTGAACGATTTCATTTCTGTTGTTTTAACGAACCCATTAGACTTGATGTTTGATGACCTGCATATTTTTACCTCTTGGATATGACTGAACAGAGACTACCCAGGTCATGGGATACTATCGAAAGTGCTATCCTCTTACTTTCGTCCCAACTTGGGTCATTAGGCTGGTGTCTACTTCTATTCTATCTGTCCGTCCATATGTTCAATAAATATTCGTCTTACATGTGTAATCTGTGGAGTGCATTTTCGCACGAAGCTCTTTAGACTTCACTTTTCTCAAGGCTGATGATGTGTAGTGGATCTTCATGGACTTGGTCTCATTGCGGTCTTCTGTTTCAATAACCCTGGGTTGTTTCATTGGCATGGTGCCTCCCAGGAAACGTCATTCTGGCAAAGGCTTAGTCTATCTAGGCGATTCAGGGTTGTACTTGTTCTTATAGTTCGAATACGGTTCTGTCGAGCTATACTGTACGTTCATGGTCCGCGGACAAGCAGCTGTTGAGTCTATGTACACATTGTTCGGCTCACCTCGCCGGCGCCACATGACAGTTATACAATCTACTAAAATACAGGTATACTATGGCGCAAATTCTTATAGGAATTGGCTGGCTTAACATGAGACAAAGGCGTCAATTGGCCTCATAGTCAAAATTCCAAGCCTGATCTAGGCACCATGTTGAGTTTCTTTGTTATCTGTCTTTCATAGCCACAGATTTATTGTTTTTGCCGGTTTCTCTTGGAAAATTATGCTATTCAATCGATCAATGGCTTTTTGTCGATAAGCTCTGAGACGACGCATGGCTTGCGCGTTTCTTCTTTTGGGTTTAACTGTCTTCATGTCTCCTTTGACTTGACTCATTCCCGGAATATCGAGCTTAAGGGGTTGTGGAAACTCTCTTTCTTTAAACCCCGGGAAACGTACTGACCCTGAGGAATTATATGAAGAAGGACTTGTATTCCTCTTCTTCTTTGTTTTTTTGATTTTCTTGTGGCTTTCTCCGGATTTCACGATCTTAGTCGATCCGGAGGAATCGGTTAGCGAATATGTGTCAGGTTCGGAAACAACACACAGCAACTCGCTTCGGTTCTGGATTCCCACCGATTTACATGCGATCTCGTCATCTTTCAGCGTGCACCCTTTGAATAGCAATTTGACCCGTTCGCTTGGTCTACCAAATATGTTGGCAGCTATCTTCCGCACTTTGCCAACGTTGAAGCTTCCGTCGTCAATGCTGAACTCAGAAATGTCCACAGTATGAAAGATTCCACCGTATTTCAGGATAAGTTGGTCATGCCCTGACCTTTCACGCGAGGACATGATAGGTTCATCATCGTCGCTCTCTTCAGCGCCATCGCTATCGATGTCTGGAGCAATGTATGGAGCATCATCGAGCCATGGAAGGTTTGGACGTCCGAGCCAATGTTCTGGTTCCTCGGCTTCTCGAGATCCATCGCCAATGTTCCCAAAGGGTTCATTTTGTGGGAGTGTTTCGAAAGCCGGAGGATTGTCCGATTCGAGAAGTTGTCTAACAATATGCGGCGCTTGGCCGTCATAAGACTTCTGTCTAAGCTCATTACTCATAGCACGTTCTGATTCTTCATCTGTGTCTTCATCACTGTCTTCTTTGTCCACCGGTCGAGGAAGAAGAAAGAGAGCCAGCTCTTCCAAATGACGACTCAGATGCCGCTCATACATAGCAGTAGAAAAGGAATCCTTGCATATAGGGCAGACAAATTTGGGGAATGACATTGAATCTCCATGTGCATTCTCGACATGGGCATACCACTGTCGGCGACTTTCATATAGTTTGCCAGAGCAACCCGGGAAAATGCACACATATGGCATTAAATCGCGAAAGATATGGCGAGCCCATGCTCGCGTATCTCGAACGGAGATGATCAAGAAACAATAGGGACATTCGAACGGTGTTTTGCCAGCACCCTCTTTTGGCAAGGGTGGGATTATCGTAGCACCTGTCCCATTGATCAATGTACCTGCATATGAGGTTTTTGTTTCAGATGTATCCACCACGGAGAAATAATCGTTGGAATCAGGAGGCAGATCATGGCATATATCCGTCACGATTGTCTCTGACAGGAGAGTTGATCTTCGATCGCCCTCATTGCCATCGTCAACATTTTGGCTGAGTTTGGCATGATGTCTTTCACGATATTTCAATATAGCTCTCTGCAATGCCATTGCGGAACTGACACACTCGAGAACTCCGGCATCCGCCAGGGGGTATTTGTTGGAAGCATGATTGTGAGCCCAATGTTTGAAGGGCTGGGCATCTAATTTGTTAGTTCCCAAAGTCGGTCGTGGTGAGCTGGCGTTCGGATGATCATGGACATCCGATAGAGATGATGGATTGTCTCCACAATGTCTTTGTGTAGTTGTTGAATTTCGGTCGTGTCATCATCCGAGGGTGTCTCAACATTCTCTGAGGCTTCGTCGTCTGAGTCCTCCTCGAGAACCTCCTTCAGATCGTTTAGAAGATCTTCAAGTCCTTGAAGAAGGTTGATCGTTTTGACTTCTTATATGAGATGCATCCCTTAGGTGAAAGTCAAGGGATGATTGACCCCTTTGGTGGGCACCGATATTCGCCGACCATATACGTAGTCGGCCCATTTCATCTTTCCATGATTGCAAAGAGACCTCCTCTGCATGATCTGAGAGGGCAGCAGAGGAGACCTAGGAGGTGAACTTGGTTAAGCAGCTCCGCACCAGGGCCGAGACCTCTACCATTTTGTAAATGTTCACGTCAAATTATGAAGCGGCAAACATGTTCAGTTTGCGATGTGCTCACAGGCGCATACCATACCAGGGTTTGATTGGCCCACGTACGAAGCTGAACATTTAGCGCGAGAAAGCTGATATGAGATGAGCAAAAAGTCGACTTCAAGTGCATGCCTAAACTAGATGTGGAAAAAAGGTCATAACAATTCACATTTCACATTTTTATGACATGCTTTATATCGAAACTGATGCTTGTTTACTCGAAACAACGAAAGTGCGAACAAGATCCGGAAAATATCATCTATGCTCAATGCATCGGAATATGCAACCTCCATTTTTGATGCAAAGACGCGTTCCTCTATTTGTTCCTAGGGAATATGATACCTGAGTTTTGACATATCATCAATCAATCGTCTTCCTCTGGCGCATCATCAACACCACGTAGCCAGGCCCCTCTAGCATCGACTGCTGCCTTGCGCACATCACGCTTGGGATCATCAAGAACTGCACGCAGGGACCTCAGTACCTGGTTCTTGACAGGCAGAAGCGGCGAGATAGATGGCGGAGCACGGGTGGTAGCATCACCACCTGCGGAGGTTTGATGCGTAGCAAGAAGGTTGAGACACCTCAACGCATCCGCACGGAGGCGGGGACTATTGACAGCGCCAGGGCCGACGTTTGTAGTCGTTGTTTTGAGGAGTCTCGTGACAAGGCTTGAGACGTGACCACACTGGTCGATGACGACAACGCCGTTGTCACGGATGATGACGGCGAGTGTATCGAGTGTTGCTGTGCGGACGGCGATGGAGTCGGCGGTCTGGAGGTCGAGGGATTGCAGGAGGAGAGGGAGCAATGTGGGGAGTTCTGGCATGACTAGGGCCGTGGGGATTGTAGAGAGGATTCCAGCAAGGGCAGTGAGGTGGGCTGGTTTGATATGATCTGGTGCCTTTGTGGCGGCGGCAGAGTTATCTGTGCCAGCAATGTTGACTTCGCGAATGCGAGACGAGATCAGAGGGATGACGGTTGTGAAGAGGCGCTGTCTGCAGAGGAGACGAATTGTGGCGCCGTTTGTAGGAGAGAGGATGTCGTCGTCACCGAGGATGATGGCGAAGCCTTGTGCTGCGGTCGTGCTGGTCTGCTGGTCAGGAGAAGAGATAAGGGCAAGCAGGGAGGTTAGAACGTGAGTTGTTGTGGGTGCAAGGCGGAGGACCAGGGCTTTTGATAGCCAGAAAATGGTGCGGATAGTTGCGGGACTGAGAGTTTGAGATTCTGCGCCTGAGCTCTGGATGAGAGAGTCAAAGAGCTTTTCGGCAATTGGAAGGTCCTGTTTGGACAGGACCTTGTTCACAAGCAACGCCAAGTGACGCAGATAGGCCTGGTGGGTAGCTGGTTCTGTGGATGAGACGGAACGGCTGACCAGATCGGACAGCAAAGCTGATATGTCGCTGGAGGAATACGGGATCCGGTTGCTCCAGTCCTTTGACAAGCCTGCAAGAAGATATGTTGAGATAATCATGGTACGCTCTTGGTCTGCGCTGGTCGTTTGAGCGAACGGCACAGGCACAAAATCTCCGGTGTTGGTGAAAAGGCTATACACATTTTCGGCCACTTGTTCCTGCTTCTCATTGGAAATAGACCGCACAAGGAGGTTGCAAAGTCGTCCCAAGGTATCGAGTACAGTAGGATCGTTAAGAATTCGGTTCTTAGCCTTGCCGGAGGACGACGCAGCCACGTCGCGGCAGAGTCCAACCACAATCTTGTCAAAGTACAGGTCAACATTCTGGTCTTGTTGCATGTTTCTTTGCTGCATCACGTAGAGTAAAGTCATCAGGATGGCGCGAGGGTACGCCACCGATCCGGGCTGTTCCTTCTGCAGTAGGATAGACAGCTTGCTGAATAGACGACGGAAGAGGGTCTCGAAAATGTCTCTTTCAACGCTGATCTGCGCAAGTGTCTCAAGTGTCGGCAAGTACAGGGCACCTGAGCCCTCGTCTTCTTCTGGTAGAGTCGCAACAAACGCAGGGAATGTAATATCCATGATCAACCGGGGCTTGTGCTTGGAAATTTCAGCAAGTGCAGCGATGGCGTCCTTTTTCAAATCATTACGGCCAACAGATTCCTCGTTCAGAAGAATTTCGTCTAAGTATTGGACGAAAAGTCCTATCTCGTTCTCCTGGAAGAAATCACGCAATGTCGACAGACGCAAGAAGCCCTTCAGAGCAGTTACCCGGAACGAAATCTCTTCTTTGGCTGCGCCCATCAATGCCTGGCCGTAGATCTCCGAGAACTGGTCCTTGAATTCAAGCAGTGGGTTCTCGACGGCAATCTCACCTCCACGGGTGGTCCATTGCCCGAATACGTCCGTCGCCGCTTCAAACAGTACATTAAGTGTCTCAAGAAGTGCCCTTTGCTTGACAATTCCATCTGCCTCTTGGTAGATTGTGAAAATGGGTGCAACAACGGTCTGGACAATAAGAATAAAGGAGACGGCGGAAGCGGAAGAAACGCAGCTAAGGATCTGCTGGAATGGCTTGGCCTGCTTATTTTGAGGCTCTTGAAGTTGCTCGTTGCATTCCTTGGTGATTGCTTTGAGATACTGCGCAAGAGGAAGCTCTTGTGATACCTCGGTGACGCCTTCGGAAAGCCGTTGCGTGATAGCTTTCAAAGCCTCAAGAGAAGCCTCGGATAGGAATTCCTCTTGGGCATTCAGAATCTCGAACTTCAAAGTCTCCCAAATTGTGACAGAGTACTTTGACACTGTGTCTGGGTCATATGAGTGAATGCATGCAATCAATGTATTAAGTGCATCTTTCTGTGAAAGAGTTAGACTCGGTTCAGGGTCATTGTGATGTTCAAATTTACCTTTACATTGGGAGAGGTGGAATCGAGCTTGTCCAATAATGCGGGAATGGCGTGAGGTGCGAAGTGCCTAGTTGAAGAGATGCAATCTTGGAGACGACCTTTGAGATCCTGTGCAGTGATTCCGTATGGATCGTTGGGCGGGGGTCGGAATGTGATCGGAAAGTAGTTATATACTGAGTCGAACAATGTCTTTCTGGAGTTAATTGAGAGTTCTGCGGTGTTGAAAGGAGGGTGCATACCTCAACGTGGTTGGAAATATCCCATTCCACCATAACTACCTTCAGGATGGAGAACACGACCATCAAATTCCGTGGGTCTTTCTCTCCTGTCATGATATCGACAACTCCGAGGAGTGAGATATCACCCATGTTGCGCATTGCTACTGACTATTAGTCCCGTATCCGAGATCCAAAGGCACTTTCGGTAATGAACATACCTTCGCGGTGTGTTGACATCAACTCATTGAGCAATTGATAAACCTGGAATCGTTGTGATTGCGAACGAGACTGGAGATCCTGGAAGTTGGAAAACAATCTATAGCAAAGTCAGCATATAACCATAATTGAAACAAGCTTTGCCAAAGCTCAATTGGCACTGAAGGTGAAGTGTAGGACGTACGCTTGTGCTACCTGGCTGGCCAATAACCGATTGAACCGGTCCAGGCCCTGCAGAACCTCCAATCCAGCAACAGCGCCTCCATCCTCAATGCGGTCACAGAAGAATGTAGTCAAGACCTGAATCTGTTGTCTTGAGAGGTACTTCGGCGAGAGGGCTTGGATAACTGCGGTAAGGTAGGACACCGCTTTCCCACGCAGAATCGGGTCTTCGTCATTGATATATTCGCCAAGCGACTGGACGGTATCAATCAACGTCGTCTTCTTGTTCTCGATATCTGCAATCCCTCAGTTAGTCACCCCTCAGAGTAGCAAGTGCGGGGCGAATGGGACTTACCTTGCGCGATTCCCTCGGCAATGCGCTTTGCTTCCTCTTTGTCATGGTCAATGACCAGCATGAAGGTCTGCAGAGCCGACATATTGCCAATAGATCAAGGCGAACCAGTTAGAATGGGGCAAGTTCAAGATCGCGGCCAATTTCTGTGGCTTATCGATATCAGGTGATTCTGTTATCTCCCCACGTCACGTGTGCGTTGCGTCATTGTCCGGCTTGCCTGTCTTTCCTAGAACAAGATGACTTCAACTCACAGCATGGGAGTGACTCGACTAACAGCTCTTCTATTTGCACTTCTCTTTGCTAGTACCGCATCCGCGCTTTGGGGGCTATCATATTATATCTCTTCGCACCAGCAACCACTAGCCCTTGAACACAAAGAGCACGAATCCATGATGGATAAGCTCATGCCCGACATCCTCAAACCGCAAACAACGGCACCGGTGGAGGATTTGAGCTCGAAGTTTAGTGTAGACGGTCCTATCATCTCAGATGTACTTCCCAAGACCAAGGGCATCAATATCTTTGCCCGGTTAACCCGGGACTTCGAACCCATCGCCTCTCGTCTCAACGATGCCTCGAAGAATATAACGGTGCTGGCGCCTCGCAATAGTGCAATCCAGGCTCTTCCACGGAAACCTTGGGAGAATCCAGAGGATTACAGGAAATTTGGTGAAGTAAACGCATATGAAGGTCAAGATGGCCAAGATCGGGCAAAGCGGAACCTACAGCGGTTCGTGGAGGCTCATTTGGTTGCTGCTAGCCCTTGGAGGGCTGGGGAAGAGGTCGAGACACTTGCAGGGGAGAAGCTGAAGTGGACCAAGGACGGGGATAAAATATTTGTATGTTTCTTAGTCTCTTCAAAGTGTTGATGTGACTAACTGATCATCTCTAGATCCAACCGGGCAATATTGAAGTTGATTCCGTTGCAGAGAAGGTCTCAAACGGAGAAGTCTGGATCTTGAACGATGTTATCAATTACCGTCGAGAGTGATTGTTACGAGTTACGATAATACTACGAGTTATGGGAAATTGGCAATATGAATCATTCAAAATATTAAATGTAGACATAATACGTACGTAGGTCTGAAGAGACACGGCATTCTATTCTTTATCTGCTCAAGGCAAGTCTGGCCTCAGCCAGGTATATACCCAGCACTATACACAAGCAATGCCAGCTTGAGATCAAACGCCCTGAGGAGCGAAGTTCTGCAAGATTCTCTCTTCCACACCATCAAGGATGCAGAAGTGCTCCATCACCTCCAAGTTCTCTGCCTCATTGAGATACAGCTTATCGGGGTCTTGGCCGGGCTGCAGCGGGTTCACCATTGCTGCAGGGTTGGCCATGCCCATTTGCTGGGCCATTTGGTTGGCGGCTGTTTGATGTTAGCGAGTGTTCCTCTTACTGCACTTGCATAAGAAGCAATATGAGCCTATGTGACTGATACATACCGTTATCACTGCCGAGGATGAATCCAAAAACGGATTGCAAGCCCATCAAGTTGAGGAAGTACCACGAAAGACTCGACACCCATCTCACATCAAGATCACGAGTCATAACACCAGACTGCAGCATTGACTTGAACCGAATGGTGAGAGGGAAGGGCAATTTCACTGCAACATGTAAGCTATTGATCATACTTGATCAGACTCATTGCAACATACAGATCACGAATCCAGAAAAGAAGGCATTGATCCAGCTCATGATCAATGTCTGCGGGACCATCATCATCATATTTCCCTTCATCATGCCCATCATTGCTTCCATGCCTGCAGGATCGGTCATGGGGTTTGCAGGTGGCTGGCCACGGTTATTGGGGTCCTTCAAAAACGCGCCGCTTCGGAACCCGGAAACCAGGTAGTTCTTGCGCATCTCGAAAGACTCGCGGTTGAGTACGGAGTAAGCATTGTTGCGGAGGTTCACGCCGCGGAGGAGCGCAAGGCGCTCGCGTGATTCGGCGAGGGTGGATGGCGATTTGGGAGTCGAGTTCATCAGGACCGTGGCATAGTGGCGCAGGATTCCGGTCAGAATCTATTGGAGTTGTTAGATACACTCCGGGCGCATCGCGGCGCTCTATCTCCATATTGGAACTTAATCATACCATGACAATTGAAATCGGGAACAAAATCCAATAGCTATAGGTAATGGTCAGTTCGACTTCTCCTAGTCAATCGGGTCTTCTCACAATAGCGCCGGATCCCGAAGGATGGTCTGCTCAACCCCTTGAACTGCCATTATGAAAATAAAGACAGAAAGGAGCGTAGCTTGCGTTAGAGAGACTAGTCCCGAGTGTTGGCGGGTGGGGGATGGAAAGTTGAAGGGGGAGAGGTTAGGCGGAGAGAGATGTCATTGGCCGCTAGCTTCAGCTCCAAAGGGCCACGCCGCATCTTTGACCAACACAGTCCTGCCTCGATCGTTGCATACTGACCAGCGCTTGCTTTTCTGGTTATTACGAAGATCCTAATCCATATATTTGATCAACTTCCTCATGGCTTCCAACAAGGTGCCGGTCTACTCGACCAATGGTCCGTTATCTCGATCTACTCTATACAGCAATAACACTAACGAATCGCGAACCATAGATCTCAAGTCTACCAGCGACGATGCTCTCCTTCCTTACTTGACAAACCTCCCCGCTCCATACGCGTTCACGCCGGACCACTCAAAGACAAACATCCGCTTCTTGCTTGGATACAGTGCTGTCGCAATTGCTGGATTTACCTTCTATGCTGACCGCATTCTCGGCTGGGAAGCTACAACCTCCCCTTGGATTATTGCGGCAGTGGTTTCCTACTTTATCTTGAACAGCATTCTCACATACTGGGTTTGGGCCGTTGAGGCTGGTGAGGTGTACCGCGGGAAGAGGAAGACTGGAGAGACGGTATGTTATTTTGTCTTGAGACCTAGTGCGACCCTTTCTTTCCAGCAAAAAGCTAACACTACTATTTATAGATATCAGTTTCCTCTTCGTCAAAGAAGTTCTCCAGTCTCTACAAGCTACACGTTTCCTATAAGTCTGCTTCTGGCAAGGTCCTCCAGGAAAAGCGCTGCGAGGCTCCCTACACAACTTGGTTCTCCGCAGATGGTGTATTCCACCCCGAGCCCTTCCGCAACTGGTTGGCTGGTGAGATTGATATTTTGAGATTGGCGGCTAAGGAGAACGAGAAGAAGTCTGGTTGAATTGGAGGATCTTCAATACAATAGCTGAGGGCTGTGTTTCATGGATGAACTCGTTATATCAATTTGCATTATTAGGTGAATATGGTAGCATACCTACAAAATAAGTGTTGAAACATACGCATTGCCTTTGAGGAGTATGATTTCGTTGGGAATCAAAACACCGCTTGTTTGGGGTGTGTATGCTTTCCGCTGATGTCTGGTGTGATTCTTATACTCTTTATGACACTTCCCCGAAAATATCTTTAGGCTTCTGTAACCCAGTCATTCTCTGTTCTCAGTTCATTTCCCTAGCTTTATGCTGGAAATCATCACACAGCGCTGGTAGACCAACCCTAAAAGCGTACCCAGCCAATCAATCTAGGCACAGCTGTACTTACATGGAGCAAGTCAATATTACCTGCACGGTCCTATAATCCAGGAACTGCATAATGCATCTGCATCTCCCAATGCGATCATCCCCGGCATCCTACAAATCAATCAAGTCACCATTGAGGGCTAAAAATCTCATGTGTACACTTGCCATACGTACTATACAAAACAACTATCTCCAAACAATTTCCACGCAGTTCAACAGCTAATCTCGGCTCAATCCTCTATCCCCCCGGTGCAAAATCAAATTCAAATAATCTTAACCCTGGTGATACAAGCCACCATGAACGGTGTGATTCCAAACATCCCTTGCTTTCTGCCTCAATCCCAGCCTTTGCCATTGCCACATTTATTACAGTTGTCCTCGCCCATAAGCAAAGACTGCAAGAAAGCAAGAAAGAAAGAAAAAATCTCTCAAAATGGGTTCTATCTTATCTCGTCCTCGGCCTCGTCGCGGTAAGCCCTAACTTCATCTCATCTCAAGCAGACAGTCAATTAACTGACCAGCCAGATCCAATTTGTCCTGAGATTACCCTGATAACCACGCATATCTCACATAGTGATATCACAGCTGCAGTGGGTGCCACTAGGTACCTTGAACTACAAGACGTAGGGGCACTCAATGCGGCTGCCGAGTCGAGCCATACATCTATATCTACATCCTCAGCCTCGTCAACACCAACTCAAACACAAACCACAAACGAAACAAATCAACAATGCTCAACTCAACCACAAACAGAACATATCCCCCAGATAAGGATATACCGTATCAAACCCAAATCCAAATCCAAATCCAAAAACAGGACAAAGGCCAAACCCAAAAACGACAAGTCCAACATATACAATATCGGACTCCTACTCATAATAATGCCCCCAAACGGCCGAATCCACGGCTGGACACGGGAATCCCTGCTCGTCGGCGAGATTCCCCGTCTTAAAGGGTTTGGCTTCAGATCCGAGGAGCTGGATTATGGTTTGCTATCTGCTAGTGATGCATTGGGCTCGGTTGTTTCTCAACTTGATGCGGTTACTGGGATTGAGCGGTTATTTTCGTGGAGATGATGGATAGCAGGGTGCTGGTTCTTGTATTTATAACACGTCTTTCTTTTTATTTTTTATTTTGTTTCAGAGTGATGATTATATTTCACGATTTCGGTTTGAAATAACATATGGACTATAAATGGGAGATATCAAATGCAGGAATCAAAAGCCGAAAACAGGAGGAGAGAGAGGACGGGAGAAACGTGTGGTTTCAGTGTATAATCAAAATGGCTAATAACAAACAGAATCTATAGGAATTTTTTATGACATGTCCAGGTCGTCTAGCATATCAGTCAATAGTGAAATCGCGTGAACGTCGCCTAGGTGTTTGCCTCGAGGGTGCCGGGGCGTTCTGTGGCTTCGGCGGGCTTGACGTCGTCCATGCGCTTGTTTTGGATGAGTCTCTGTAATTTCATGGTTAGATCCGATATCGAGGATATAAGTATGTAGTAGATAACGAAGCTTACCAGAAGGTTGCGCAGCAAGACGACAATGGTGACCTTTCCAATGGAGGGGACGAAGAGGGAAGCCTTCTCGCGAACCTCATGGGGGAAGTTCTACAAAAGAAACACAATTAGCAACGATGATCCTTTCAAACGGTGGTTAAAACATACCTTCTCACTAGAGAAGTTGACACAGACAGCACCCTCACGCAGAAGGCTGGTATCGAACTTGTACTTATCACCGGGAACACCAGTGATAACAACATCACAAAGCGGCACAACATCCTTAAGAGTCTTACCCTCCAACTCAATAACATCATGTCTCTTCTTCTGCAGTCCCTCACCACGAGTAAACTTCTGCACGCCAGTAACATCAACACTGTAAACACAGGCTCCATCATTAGCCAGCAAAGCCGCAAGCGGGCGACCAACAACCTCGGAACGGTTCACGACGCAGATAGTGTGGCCGAAGAGACGGTTGCCGTAGGGCAGGATGGTGTTGTAGATGTTGAGGTACTCGAGGATCTTGATGTTGGCCAGAGGAGTGCAGGGCAGGATGGACTTTTGGCGCTTGGCCTCGCCGTCCAGGAAGCGGACGTTCTGGTACATGTTAAAGATGTACCTGTGGCTCAGGCCTTCGACGTCCTTGGTCATATCGACGATCTGCTGCAGATATTGGTCCTGCCGGTTGTTGAAGATCGGGTAGTAGACGATGATGCCGTCGACGTCGTTGTCGGTGTTGGCGGCCAGGATGGCTTCTTCGATGTCGTCGCGGGAGACTTCGCGGAGGGAGTACTTGAATCCACTGGGGGGCATTTTGTTAGTTAATGATGTCAATTGAGTGTTATATCAGTTAGTTAGCTTTTGGGTGGTTTGTCGAGGGTCGAGGGGTAGTATGAATCATACTAGCACCCCCACCATCCCACCAAGAATGAAGCCATTGAGACCGCACAACATGGAAATGGTGTATATACTTACTTCTCCTCGCAGGTCTTCTTTGTCATCTGCGCGTAGACCAACGCAGCAGGGTCATCGTTGGCCAGGAAACCTACCAGGTGAGGCGGCTTCTCGAGGGTCTTCAGGCCTTCTTCGACTTCGGAAAGGAGGTGGGTGGCAACGTGCTTGCTCAACATCACCTTGCAAGGTGTAGGCGCAGCGGTGGGAGCAGACATGACGGCGATTTATCCAAAGTCTGGAGAGAAGTGAAGTTTGCGACGCAGGGAGACTTGATGGCGGTTTGGCGGGAAAAGATTGTTCGCTTATCGATAACAGATCGGCTGCCGGTTTCGGCCTCACTGCCGAGCTTGTATACTCTCACTCGTGTAAGGAGTGAAGTATAAAGGGATGTAGCAATATGCGATGGCATAATATTAGAATTCAATAGTACTGGCCTGGCAATCTAACTGATCTTAAAATGATCTATACTTATAGATTAAGTTATAGCTACATCCATGATCCATGAATAGAAAGGTAGACCTTATGAAGACAGTCATAAGGCTATTTACAATTTACGATCTACTGTTTACAGTCTCTACAGTGAACAAATTGAACAAATGGAATAAATTGCGGTTCAACATGGAGAGCAGGAGACCAGACGGAATTAGAACGGTCGTCCTCCCATCTCGCGCCCCCTGCGCGGATAAAATCTAAACGTACAGGATATAATCACATTTTGACAGCCTAGCCTTGCGTTCGCTCGGAAAGGCACTACAGTAAATCCATGGTCCGCCCAGGATCATGCAGATCATTACATCGCTACATCCAGGGGCAGACCTAGATTCGGCTATAGCACCGGCATCAAGAGAACAGAACAAAACAATGGGCTCAAAATTGTACAGGCTATCTTGTCTATACACATAGAGTCAAGAAAACAAAGCCGACCACGAAGGATCATCCGGGTGATTTCTTCACTTATGCGTTGAAGGTAGAGTTGAAGGCGGAGATAACCTCCTTGAGCTTGGCCTCGGACTCCTTGCTGACCTGGCCCTCCTTCTCGATGGTCTGCTGGACCTCGGGGTGAGAGCTCTTGAGGTGAGACAGGAGCTCAGCCTCCCAGGTGAGGATCTTGTTGACGGGGATGGTGTCGAGGAGACCGTTGACACCAGCGAAGATCAGGGGAACCATGTCGGAAACGGCCATGGGGGAGTACTGCTTCTGCTTGAGGAGCTCGGTGAGACGCTCACCACGGGCAAGGGTCTGCTTGGTGGAGGCGTCAAGGTCGGAACCGAACTGGGCGAAGGCAGCGACCTCACGGTACTGAGCCAAGAACAGCTTCAGGGAACCGGCGACCTGCTTCATGGCCTTGACCTGGGCGGCGGAACCGACACGGGAGACGGAGAGACCGACGTTAATGGCGGGACGGATACCCTTGTAGAACAACTCAGCCTCCAAGAAGATCTGGCCGTCAGTGATAGAAATGACGTTGGTGGGAATGTAGGCAGACACGTCACCACCCTGGGTCTCAATGATGGGGAGGGCAGTCAGGGAACCAGCACCGTGGGTCTTGTTCATCTTGGCGGCACGCTCGAGGAGACGAGAGTGGAGGTAGAAAACGTCACCGGGGTAGGCCTCACGTCCAGGGGGACGACGGAGGAGCAGGGACATCTGACGGTAGGCAACGGCCTGCTTGGAGAGATCATCGTAGATGATGACGGCGTGGCGGCCGTTGTCACGGAACCACTCACCCATGGCACAACCGGTGAAGGGAGCGATGTACTGCAGGGGGCGGCCTCGGAGGCGGTGGCAGCAACGACGATGGAGTACTTCATGGCATCCTGCTCCTCAAGGGTCTTGACGAGCTGAGCGACGGTGGAACGCTTCTGACCGACAGCAACGTAGATACAGAAGAGCTTCTCGGCATCAGTGCCGGTGGTGTTCCAACGCTTCTGGTTGAGCATGGTGTCGAGAGCGACAGCGGTCTTACCGGTCTGACGGTCACCAATGATCAACTCACGCTGACCACGGCCAATGGGCACCATGGAGTCGACACTCTTCATGCCAGTCTGCACGGGCTGGTTGACGGACTGACGGGGCAGAATGCCGGGGGCCTTGAGCTGAGCACGGCGCTTCTCCTTGGTCTGAAGGGGACCCTTGCCGTCAATGGGGTTACCAAGAGCGTCGACGACACGGCCGAGCAGCTCAGGGCCGACGGGGACATCGACCTATGGGTGGTTAGTATATGTTGCGGGAGAATCGAGACAAGGTCCAATATCAGAATGGGTACCTAGGGGGTAGGTAGGCTTACAATCTCGCCGGTACGCTTGACAGTCTCACCCTCCTTGACGAGACGGTCGGAACCGAACAGGACGACACCGACCTGGCCGGCCTCCAAGTTCATACACATACCCTTGACACCGGAGGCGAACCTGGAGATGGGTTAGTTTTCCGGACGGGATAATGCCAAGACATTGGGGGAACACGTACTCGACCAGCTCCTCAGCCTGGACGTTGGTCATGCCGTGGACACGAGCGATACCATCACTATTCAAAGCTCAATCAGTTTCTGGGTTCGTTGTTTGTCGAATGTTGATGGGAAAGGGCGGATTCGATGGAATTGTAGCCGAGGACCGAATTTTTCTTCTCGGCCCCAACTAGGGCGATGAACGTACCCGACCGACAGGACACGACCGGTCTCAGCGAGACCAGCCTCCTCAGAGACACCACGGATGCGCTGCTCAAGAATGGAAGAGACCTCAGTGGGCTGGGCCTTGGCCTCGGAAGCGTAAGAGCGGACGCCGTTGAGAGGACCGGCAGCAGCGGCGCGGACCTAGAATGGGCGAAAAACTTGTCAATGACCATCTCCAGCAAGGACAATGTGTCGGAGGTATCCTCCATGTGTAGGCGCCGTGTAGTGATGAGGTCTGAGCACCGATCGAGCTCGGAATTGAGATGAACGATGTCGGACTGGCGATGGATTGACCGGCTAGGATGGGATGGGACTCACCGAGGCGATGCGGCCAGGGGCCGAAACGGCCGCGACAGAGCGGCTGGACGACCGCAGAGCGTTTCTGAACATTGTGAAAGGGGGGTTCAGAGGATGGGAGGATGAATTCTCTGAGGGAGAGATGTAATTGGGGAGAGGGAACGGGAGAGGAGAGAGGATTGTGGACGGGAAGGAGAGCTTTGTCGTCGGGGGGAGGATTGGATTCTCAGGACTGGCGCTAAACCGTTTCTGACGCTGGGCCCTCCGAGGTGGCCCTAGTGTGTCCGACCACCTTTACTGTGTTATAATCATGAATTTAATTGCTAAAATATATTTTATCTTTCCATATAAAATCTCATGTCTTTTCCTAAATTTCAAAATATACAGTCAAAGTGTCCCCCCATGGCTGAACATTTTGCACTGGCGACCGGAACAGGAGCCACACGGGCCACACTTCTCGTCCCGTTTTTTTCTCTTCTCGGATCGGCGGAATTCCTGGTCAGGTGTCGCTTATGTCACAGCACCAGGGCAACCGGTATACATATAGCTAACTATAACTTACCAGTACCTATAACTATAGCTACTATGGCTCAGTCTATACTTATACTGCTTCACAGAGCTGTAATATTAAAAAAGATTTCGATGACACCTACGCAACGCCAACTCGGTAATTCCATACCCGAACTATCCATATGCCACAAAACATACGAAGCAATCACAAAGCAACGCTGTGCTAAACAATAAATGATGAGACAAGCCTAGCAAAAGAAAAACACCAGCCAATACCTCCCTCCCGAGATAACCGGAGAGCAAGCTCCCACCAGCTTGGCCAACACTCCCGAGGTCCCCATGGTCCCTTACTCTATATGCAGCCTGCAACCTGCATCTACTGCGCCTTCCCCTTCCCTTTGGCCTTTCCCTTCTCCTTCTCATGCCCCTGTTGATTCCGGAACTTCAGAATCTCAAGCTCAACACCCTTCTCAAAGCGCTCCTGCAGCTCGGGGCGATAACCAAAGAAGAACAGAACCTCCATCCAGACGAACAACGGGGCAAGCAGGATAGCTTGGACAAGGTTATCCAGCAGCGCAGGGGCTCGCTTCTCAAACGCGCCGTGTCCGACAAACTGCGCCAGCCAGGAGACGATGTGGATGCCGCCGGCCCAGTAGTTCACGGTGTTGCCGTAGGTTCCGAGGAAGTAATTTCCGTAGTATGCGGCTGCGATCACGGCGGGGGCGAGGAGACCACCGGCTATAGGTTCCAGGAGGACATAGAAGATGGCGTAGATGAGAGCGCCGATCGTGCCGGCGTTTGCGGGGAGGTAATGGATTTGGAGCGCGTCTGGGAGCGTGAAGAGGGGTGGGCAATTGCAGGCCTGTTTTGGTATTGTTAGTCTCGTTTCGTCTTGTTTCGGTGGCTTGGGTCTTTGTAGGGATGTGGAATGAGCCGGGTTGCGTACTAGGACGATGCCGGTGAATAGCAAAATCGGGACGCAAGTGATATGGATTGCGACGTTGACCTGCACTGTCAGCGAACCTGTTCATCATTACCCATGGGGTACGGCGTCTGTACAGGATTATTGTGGTAGGCGCCGTACTAGGTCAGGATAGCAGTGTCAGCTATTGTTCGGATCATCCGGAGAGCGCGGGGGCTTACAAAAAGTAGCTGCTTCTCGAGGTTGAGTGCCATCTTGCCGAGTTGATCAAGGTGTGGAAACGAATGTGGCGGGTTCGGGAGAATCAATGAAAAAGAAGAGGCATTTGCAGGAAGTGTTGGGCAAAGTGGTTTGATATTAGTTAAAGGTCCTGGCGTCATGCGCTAAACCCGAGGATAAGACGTGGTCTTGGCAGGGTATTGGACCCCTACGCCTACATTTATGTAGGACAATCTCGCAGATGATCTATATTTATTATTGGGTTTGGCTTTAGTGGCCCACTAATATAGCTGTCAACTACCAAATTCTAACATAATAGTTCTTGGTCAATCTCGAGAACATATATTCAATACTTCTGGCTATACGGACTCTGTATACTTGAGATATTTGTCTTTAAATTACTATTTGACTCTAAAATGAGCAGTATAACTTCTAGCATCGTCAATTCTGAGCTTGAAAACTACATAATTACATCCGCCCAGATGAATGTGTCCCTCGATATATAGGCGTCCACATGCGTTTCGATTGACATGTTGAGAGCAGTTTGTCAGAAACAGCATATATTAAGAACGTTTTTACTATTGTAGATGTTTTGAGCCATCATATAAAGTCCACATTAGTGAGGGACACCTGTAGTTCCTACAAAGTAATATAGTCGCTGTATGGCCTGCTATAGATCTGGCCATGTTGCGCATACGAGGAACTAACCTCACCTTAACAAAGAAATTGACAATAAAACTCATAATTTCTTGATTCCTGATAAAGAGATTACCATTTACATAACACATTTTAAATAATGCTCTTTGATATTGACCGAGCCTCTTTGTTCACATCACGTGATGCATCCACCCAAACTTGGACCGCCAGACCGAGATGCTCACACAAGGGAAAGCTTGCGCTTCTAGCTGTATCTGCCTCTCCGCCCATCCAAGGCAGATACAACATCTGCCACACCTACCCCTTGGATCTTCTTTCACTCATTTGTGGCCATATTTTACCCGTGCCTCACCACTGCAGGTCATGAGCTCGCAAACGCCGTCGCTTGACCTCGATTGACAGCACTCTGAAACAGAGACCAATCTTTTGATAGCTCCCCATACAGACTCTAGCGCAGTCTCATACCACAACCGCGATAATGTTCTTCCTCAAAGAAGAGACCAAGGTGATTTCGATGCACCCGTCCTTTTTCGGACCTAACATGCGGGAATACCTTATCACCCGACTCAACGAAGAGGAAGAGGGACGGTGTACGGGTGATCACTTTGTGATCTGTGTCATGGACATGGTTGATATTGGCGAAGGACGAGTGATGCCCGGTATCGGACAGGCAGAATATACCATCAGATATCGGGCGATCATTTGGAAGCCGTTCCGTGGCGAGACGGTATGCGCTTGGGATCCGAGATTGGTCTCTCGATTTCTTGCTGATTGAGCCTAGGTCGATGCCATTGTTACCTCCGTCAAGCCGACTGGTATCTTCACCCTGGCGGGCCCATTATCTGTCTTCATTGCGCGAAAGGTGTGTTCCTTCTGTTGTTTCCACTTCTTTCAACGCCATACAGAGCTGACAGCCTACCAGAACATTCCCTCCGATATCAAATGGGAGCCTAACACCGTGCCGCCACAATACACTGACCACGCTGATCAAGTGATTGAGAAAGGAACCAGCCTGCGTCTTAAGATCCTTGGTGTCAAGCCTGACGTGGCTGCTATCAATGCCATTGGCACAATCAAGGAGGATTATCTTGGGTATGTTGTTCTCTCCCTGCTCTAGAGTGCACTTTCTGACTTAAATCCCTCACAGACCTTTGTAATGAGACACGAGTTGCACCACATACCCACCCTTTTCACCCATTTCATCCATACGATAATGTACGATGCTGTCTACCATTCCCGACACAGCGAGTGCTTGGGAGGGCGTTTTGCCTAGAGAGAAACAAAAGAACCAGCCAGGAGCTGGGAGCTGGGAGCTGGGAGCCGAGGCCCTGTTCGGTACATATGGCATTGGCTTGACCCTGGCCGGACTTAGACTGAAGCGTTCAAGACCAATTGAGCCCATGTCGAGAGAGCCTGGAGTAGGACATCTCGGGCTCCAAGATGTAACCCCAGGGACTGCAATGTACAATACTCTACAAGTACCTGCAGAAGAACCAAACCTTAAAAGCCATATATTCCATTCTAGACGCCATTCTAAAGGCCCCTGGGCATTTAGTTGCCGGAGAAACACGGCAAGTAGGGCTAAACCTCCTGAACCGGACCACTTTAGTGAAACACTGGCGCATTTTGATCGGCTCCGTGCGCGTGTTTTATTTACTCTGCATATGTTTTAGATGCAAGGTGCCAGGTACCCATTAGCGTGGTTCCCCCCTGTACAGTTGATATGTATCCAGTACCTGTAGCTTCCCCGTGTTTCCTTCCTTGATAAGCCTCCCGAGCCCACTTGTTTTGTTTCTCTACTCCGTACATCTTCCCCCCTTTCACCATCATGAGTTACTACAAGGATCAGTACAGGCAGTACCAGGCCAATCCTAAATCGGAGCACGTCAAATTGGCCGACGACGTGTCCCTGATCTATGTTCCCACAACCACCAAGATTGAGTCGCGCGACGCGGTGATTAGCCATGTGAAGAAACAGGACTACGTGGTCAAGAAGAGATCGGAGCAGATCATCAGCTCCATTGAAGGCTCGGACGCGCTATGCCTGGACATGGAGACCACGCTGGAGTTCATGGAAGGTGGCGGGGCCTATCTCCCCTCGCTGGACGATAATTTCCTGGCCGACCGTGTCGTCACTTTCCCCACGGTAAAATTCCCCGAGATCGCACATAGCGCATAGATCGCGACTAATGCGGCCTCCTGCAGATGCACATCGTGACCTTTGTGAACAACGAAATCAAGCAGATCCGCATTTACTGGGACCAGGGCTCATTGCTGAAGCAAGTTGAGGTCATTGGTGCGCGTGGACGCGCCTGGCCTATCCGTGATGGAAAGGACCAGATCCGTTGCGTCAAGACCGCCGCGAACGAATCGTCTACACCGTCGTTTTCTTCTTCGACCCAGCGCGAGCTTCCTCAGCGCCCTGCCTCCCCGGGCAAGCGTCACATCAAGGATCCATATGCCGCAGAGTCCTTGACTGACTTGCTATCGCCCAGCAAGGAAGCTGCCGCACTTGAGATGGGTGATTCGCCTCCCAGGAGTGCTTCTGCTGCCAAGAGATACACCAAGGACCCGTATGGAGCTGGATCTTTGAATGAGCTTCTGTCCCCGAGCAAGAAGGCCGCTGAACCTATGCGTCCCTATGCGCAATCTTCTTCTCGCCCTCCCCAGCGCAACATCAGCGAGCTCTTTTTGAAGGATGACGATATTCCTGACTCGCCCTCCAAGCCCCAGCGGAGAGTTCCCAAGATTATCGACGACGAGGAAGACAATGCTGGTCTAGGCCCCGTCGATGAGAACCGTAGCTTCTACAAGACTCTTCCTGGAAAGTACAGTCACTTCGAGATTGGCGGTGATAACAACTCCAACCGCGAGATCCAGCATGAAACCAGGCCCAGCAAAACCTACACCACGCCCCACTGGGAATTTGACGACTTTGCGACTCCCAAGAAGCCCTCGCGCGCCCCCCGCGGCGAGGAAGTGCGCCACTTCGGTTTCGAGAACGAGAAAGACTTCCAGACTCCCCCAGGCAAGGCCAATGTGGTCAAGCCCCGTCGCGATGCCGATGTCCACTTCGAGCTGACCGACGACGACGACAAGGAAGAAGCCCGAATCATCAGCTCATACGGCGGCCGTGGCAAGAACCTCTACCAGAACCGTCTGTACGACGAACACGGAGACCCCGAGCTCACCGAGAAGGAGATGAAGCAGGAACCTCTTGGTGTTGTCGGCAACGCCGCAAACCGCAAGAAGAACTTCGATTCCCATTCCCAGTGGGAGATGACAGATGACTCTCCCAAACCCAATGAGAACATCGCCACTCAGAACCACTCCAAGGCTGTCAAGATGATGGAGTCTTCCTGGGATAACTTCGAAGACTCGCCCGAGCCCAAGCGGACTGCCACGGCTCTTCGCGATCCCAAGCGGCACAACCAGCCGAGCTGGACTCATGGTGACGAATAAGCGAGCCAGCTAGATACCTTGTATCTCTTTGTCTACGGCAAAGTCGAAGTCGATGCATCTCCGACTTCCTATCTGACACTCCATGGCCGATCCAGATCACGAGCAATATGTATCGATACCCGCATGAACTTAGGACTCGTCCTAATGAAACTTGCAAACCAAAATCCCCAGCAATGGACAGTTTTCACAGGTGTCTGTCTAGCCTGTGTGTACGAATGAGTCTGCTGGTCGCAATGCCTTATCTTTTCTTCTTGTCATTCTTCTTTCCCCGGCTGTGCCTTTCTTTTCCTTCTCTCTTCTTACACTTGTACTTTGGCTTCCTGTTGTACAAGTTTACCTATTCAGATCGAGGATCTGTTAATTTCATTGCATTTATTTTATTTTGGATGTGGCTGGTAGAATGTAAATGTTGCATCGTGGATATAGGTCACTTTACGTACGGGCTTTCCCATCTTAGCTGCCGCCGCTTTTATGAGGGCGCTCAGAGTCAGGCTCACTGACTAAATTTCAGGCCGCGCTTAGACTTAGCGAGATGCTCAGAGCTATCACTTGATGAATTAGTGAGGTTCAATGGCCTCGGGAATGCTCACTGATTTTAAATACCTATTTGACCCTGGCCGCTATATCCCTTCGCACCGTACGTAGTTTCGAAGGAAACTGCCCGAAATGATGTCTCAGAGCGGCCGCGGCCTTCAACAGCAGTGAGTCATTTACTGTCATTCCTGAAATCGGCTTGACCGACATATAACTCTTGTTTTCTTGTCTCTGTTCTTCTCTTCTTTCTGACCCAGGTGCACTTGTTTAAATGTCTTCATCAGACTACATAAATAAAGATCTTGATATATCATTTCGTAATCGATTTCACACGGGATACATACAGCGCCAGTGATATTGCGTCAAAGCCTTGGCTGTGTCAACCGTCCATACAACACTATCATCTCTCCGAGAGGGAAGCAGACTCAGGATGTTATCAAACTTGAGTTTTCGAGTAATCATCACATCCAAAAACATCCTCAGCAAATCTGACTGAAACTCACGAGCTGCCATCTCAAGAGGTGTGATCATCTCGCCTAATCCAAAAATGGGATTTGCACCTCGATCAAGCAGCATGTTTATGACACCTAGCGTCTGCCTCTCGGTTACATGGGTCAAAGCCGTAATCCGAGTATGATCAATGGCATCGGCCAAAGCCCCACGATCGAGCAGTAACTGTACCATAGGCTCCACCTCTTCATCGGCGCCCGCGGAGCTTGCTGCTTTGACTAATAGTGATGACATGTTTCCCTGCTCATCACAGTGCATCGCATTGACATCGAATCCTTTGCCAAGAAATAGCCTGACTACCTCGGTCTCGCCTGACCTTACAAAATTGCATAACATCTGTTGATGCGTAAGACTGCTTGGACAGAGCTCAACATTCATGCGCTCGAGTAGCACGTTGAAGGTTTCAAAGTTGCAAAAATGTGCCACAGATTCAAAAAGTTGATTCACTTCATAGTCAAGATCGTTGTCACAAGTTTTCCGGAGGCGAGTTTCGATACCTCGTCGTTCCAATATCTCCAGCCAAATTTTGACAGCTGAAGCGCTTCCGCCAGCGCAAGCACTACTAAGGCGCCCTTTCATTATACCAAGGCTAGCCTCGTGATAAATACCACAGTCTAGCACAAGTCGGGAATAGGCCTCATCAACGTAACCGGGCTGTCGGATGTGTTGGAGTTTGATAGTATCATCGGGGTGTTTGCAAAGTAAATGGTAGGCCGAAAGGTATCTCTGGTGTCTTATCGCTCCCAAGGAGGTTCGCGAAATGAGCTCTTTTACTGCTCAGGCGATAAAGGTGAAGAGTAAAGGTCAAGCAAAATATCGATACATCCGATATGTTCATTCTTCACTGCCCAGTGTAGCGGAAGCCATGGGCTAGGGGCGTTATCAAAAAGTTCATCAAGTGCCAAATGCCGAGTAAACGCGTCCTTAGATAGGACAAGCGAATTGGTGTACAATATATGGCGCAGCACTCCCTCATTTCCAGCGGCAGTAGCGAGAACCAGTAGACAGAGATATGCGTCATATTCTTTGACGGCTGCAGACAGGTCGAGCTTTTCCATGATGAGTGGTATCATGTCTTTCCCATGTAGTGCCATATCTCTCCAGTAGGGGGAGGCCTCAAGTTTTGGCGTTCCGATCCTTTCTAGTAAAGATAATACAACACTTAAATCGAAGCAAGATGCGCGCCCAGCTTTAAGCAGCAGAGGCTTGGTCTGTTCAGACTCATCGAGCATTGGATTCGCTCCGGCTTGGAGAAGGTACTGCGCAACATCCCACTTCTCATTCTCGATTGATTCCCTGAGCGGGGTCGACTCGGTAGGCTCATTGACGTCAAAGTGCATTTCCTCTATCAGATACCTGACTGCGCTTAACGAGCCGTAACCAGCGCATGGCTAAGCGCCAATCTTTGAATTGAATCACGGCTGTCTGCCTTAGCTCCTCGCGAGATAAGAAAGTGCGCAATGGGCATGTTTTCATTAATTAAAGCACATAAAAAGGGTGAATCCTTTGAGTCTATAGAGCATGGGTCCTGGTCTAACAGGAGACGGACGATCTCAAAATGACCCTTGGTAGCTGCGTATGCAGTCAAATTACCGATCCCGCTCTTTCTGGGAACGGAATTGATATTCACTCCATGGTCAATCAGGAGACGTAAGGCATCTGCATTGCCATTTTCCACTAGATGTTCCAGAGTGAATCCACTGATGTTCTCGGGCAGTTGCGAATACAGAGCCTTGTTGGCGAGTACATGTAGGGATTTGGAGGTTTGGGATACTGCGTTCAGTTCCGACTGATAATCGAGATAGGATAAAACTTGAAAAATGATTTCGTTGGGAAGGGTGGGGAAAAAACGTTTATTGTGGAAATACAATGCTTCGGGGGCCGTGGTATATAAACCAACCATCACATGACATGCGGCTCAATCAACATAGCGCGTCACGGATAATGACTGCCTACCTACATATTGTGTAGATGAACATATTCTCCCTCTTTTTATTGAGAAAACCGATCTCTCTCTTTTCGGTGCGGCAGAAGTCAAAATGGGCGTGGTAATAAACTCGCCTGGCCTGTTTCGTGAACCCGAGGGCACCTCTCGCGTTCTTCACCTGCTGCAGTGATAGTTTCGGATTTTTGCTGGTCATAGACCACAGTTTCTGGGGTTTGGATTCCTCGATCACCTTGGCCCATGGTTTCAAGCAAAAACCATTGCATGATGTGAATTAATCACCTGCTAGGATGACCGTTTAAGGTCTTCGTTAGTTAGCCATGAATTCTTAAAGCCTACGTTTCTGGAGCGTAGCACTGGCTTTTAACGCGGAAACCCGTATACATGGAGACGGTCGTTATTTTTGTACCTATTTGGAGCCTTAAGAATCCCTGAGAGCCACTTAGGCTATACCTGCGACTATTTAGTGCCCTAGTTTCCTTCAGTCCCTCCCATTAGTGACGCTTGAGGCATCTCTTTATATGGCTTCCACACCTCCAACCCGGTCCAATCAATTTAAAGTCAAGCCTAATGAAAAAAGCGTCCGAATATAGCAAGATGAGTGATGTAGATGTCTATGTGGGCATACGCCTTCGAGAAACCGGGTCAAGTATTTATCTTATCAAAGGATACTTCGGGATTTTGGACTTTTCTTAGCTCGCAATTAGTATGTCTCCAATTATGCCTCTGGTGAAAAGACGACTGACCTACAAGAACTCCTACCATCGGTCCCAATGCTAGTGACAGACCAGGATTTAAAGCAGGCTAATAGAATACATCGGAACAACTTAATTGAAGTCGCAAGGCCAAAGTGGAACTTCACTAGAACAGGAACCTTTGCAACTGATGATTTGTTTACTCGGCTCGCGTGTGAAATACGTTATCCAAAGTGGTGTTGAATTATCAATCTCCTAGACATAGGGCAAACAAACGTGAAGTGCTTCAGCACTAGACATTATAAGAGAAATAATAGTCAGTCCATCTTCAAACTTCAATTTATGCTACCTATGCTGCTTGCTAAGCTAGATCCGTCTTCAATTTGATACCCGAAATATCCTCCAAATATCCCCGGATACATTCATCTTCTGGACGTACGTATCGTTGGATCCTCCATCAATATCCCTCTTCCTCCAGCAAGTCAATCTATCCCATTCCAACGCGTGTTCCAACTTCTCCAACCACATAGGATCACGCCACTGGTCCATTCATTCCACCGGTGTCACGTCTCACCAACAATCCAAAAACCAAAAACCAGAATGAATATATCCAATCCACCAAAGCGATCAGACAATATACTCATCCTACTTCCCCTCATACTACCACCATACACCCCTATACCCCCTAAATATAAAACATAGTCTCGGCAATATTAGGATGGATAACAACATCAACCATCCTAGACAAATCCGCCGTCCCCTCCGTCACACCACTAATACTCCCACCCGAAGCATTAACAGGCAAGGGGTCAAAAAGATCAGAAAGAAAACACCTGGCCCTTGCACAGACCAAATCAGCATAATAAGCCGGCGGACAAACACTAACAGCCTTCGTGGCCCGCCCAAACATATAACACATCTTATGCGTCAAGTCCTGCAACACGTCCGCCGCACCTTGTCCCCCCGACTTCGCCGGGTGACGCGGGTAGAAGATCTCATCCCAGACGGTGAAATAGTGCGCTGGACGGGCAGTTCCCTGCAGTGCGGCATGGGCTTGTAGGTAGAAATCCCAGTCGCGCGCTTCGGAGACGCCGCGGTCGACGACTGTTCCCGGGATTGGATTTTCGCGGTTGGAGTCTTGGTCGGTTGTTGGGTAGAAGCGGGTGTTGTGGCGTTTGCCGACGATGACGATTGAAAGGCGTGGGAGGCCCTTTGCTGTCAGCGTTGCTGGGTATGTCTTTTTGCAGGCGGCTTGGAGGAGGGGGAGTTCCTCCTCGATGACTTTGTTGTATTGGCCTTCTGAGACGCCGTCGCGATAGACGATGATGTTCTCGGGCAGGGCCTTTTTATTGCATTTAGCCCAATGTTGAAGGCGGGAGATAAGGAGGGTTTCGAGATCGGCGACCATTTCCTGGCGCGCCCCTTGGACGCGGATTTCCGCGGGCCATTGCGCCAGGGTTGAGTCGATGGAGGCGACGATACCCGCCACGCTGGGAGCTGTGCTGGCCGAGCCTGGGGATGGATGGGTGACATCTATGCCGACTAGCATTGTTTTTCCTTCGGAGATGATGCCGAGGTCGGCGGTGCGGATGCTTTGGTTTGCACCGCCGAGTTTGAGGTTGATTTTCAGGCCCACATTCGCGTTGTACTGGTCGTTGGAGCCGCGAAGCTTTTCGGCCAATACGTTCACGTTGCGGATGCCGCAGCGGACGTCACAGACCTGCTTAACGCAGTTGTAGATGCCTGTGTCCTTTGCGTAAAATATGCCTAGGATGAAGATTGGGTCAAACTGCTTTTGCAGGTCGAGGATGGCGTTTTCGATGTCGGCTGCGTCGTTGCGTCCTGTTAGGACTACGCTCTTGCCGCCTTTGTGGCCTTCGACTGCCATGCCCATGTCTTTGAGGGTCTTGCGGAAGCCCTGGAGAGACGAGTCGAGCCCATCGGGGCCGTTAAAGATGGGGCGGGCGTTTTTGTGGTCGACATAGAGAAAGACCCAGGACTTCATTGGCTTAGCTTGGGAGAACTGGATTTGTTTCATGTTCCAGCTGCCAGCCATAGTTCGGACTTCCTTGGTTTGCTTGCCGTTCTTGTACAGGACGCTTGGTGCTGGGAGGACGCGACCAGGAACGGTGATGAGCTCTGTGGAGGAGCTGACACCGAAGGCAGACTGCAATTAGGTTAATAACTTTGATCAGATATCTAGAGTGAGAGTACTGACCAGAGTGGAGTTCAAAGGCTCCAGTCCTAGGGCGCCAACACCCTTAGTAACGATGGAATGCGCGTTCTGGCCTGGCTTACGACCCATCACGGCGAAGCGGAGCATCTGGGCAGTCTGGTCACCGGACAGCTTCGACTTAGCTGGCTGACCAGGCTCGACCTCGCAGACCTCAACAGGAAGATAGACAGGCTTCTCGCGAGATCCGACATTGACCACAGGCAAACCTAGGTTCAAAGACAGGTTGTACTCTAAGAATGAAGTCAGTATTAAAAAAGAGAAAGGTAATTGATAAGTGGAGGTTTACTAACCCTTTTTGAAGAAGGCTTCAACGGTGATCCAGCGTCCAGGCTCCGCAGGACCGGCCTTGGGTGCTCTTTTCCCTTTGGGCTTAGGCGCAGCGCTAGGCGGGCCAGGCTTAGGGCCAGCTTCGGCAAGGAAGAATTCCACCTCAGCAGGACCTGCACCATGGCGAGCAACCTTGGGTGCGTTGGGCGATTTACCACCGTCACCGCGGTTGGCAAGTCCATATATAGGCTTAATGCGAGGACGGGACTCACCGCGGCTGTTCTTACGGGCGATGTGCGTGATACGGACGCGGACGCTCTTGAGGAACTTCTCTAGAAGATATGTGTTCCGGCCGCCGTAGCTTTGGATCATATTGGCCAGGGGTCCTTCATCGTAGCAGGCGAGGTACTTGACCTGCACGTTCAAGAGGACGCGAGCCGTGGCGGCACGCACACTGACGAAGAATCCACGGAGAACCGACAGGCCGCCGCCGAGGTTGTATGACTCCTTGATACCTTCGCGATGACTATAGTGTCTATTAGCTCCGACAGAGACGACACTGTCGTCGGTCTTAGGGTGGTGTCCCAAGATTATGTTCAGAGCAGTGAGGATCTCAGACTTAGAGTCCAAGATCGCACTGGCATTGGCAGAAGTCAAGTAGTTCAGCAATTCAGCCGGGTTGACCTCACCAGTGTGCTGCACAGTGACCTTGTGCACACGGGGAGCTTCTGGGTAATCATCCAGCAGATTCTCCTTATATCGCACATCGAAGGAACCCTCCGTCAGCTTGACACAAGACACAAGCGTTGAGCGGAAGTCCGACGCAATGCTGCTTTTCTGCTGGGCGAAGTGCTCTTCCAACAGCAGAGACACAACCTGCTGGGCCTTTTTGCCCACTGGTGCACTTCGGCCCGCAGCGTCGGCCGCGATCGTAATATGATAGCGGAACAGCTGCTTGTTAGGCAGGGTCAAGGGCAGGTAGTTGGCATATAAAGTCACCGGACTGCCGAGAGTGCCGTAACCAGGACGTTCGGGATATTTAGCTTGTCTGGGAGCCTTTGCACCGTTGATAGCGAGGGCTTTGGCGATATCATCCTCGGTCTTGGTAACCACGGTGCTAGGTTGTGGAATAGGCTCGCCTTGTCTGATGAATAGTTAGATCATCGACAATTTATATAGTGAAGAGCTGACCTGAAAATGGGAGGGCCGTAGTTCATAACTCCACCGCGTCCTCCACGGCCGCGTCTACTGAAATCCCCGCGTCCACGTCCACCACCATCTCCTCTGCCGCGACCACGGAAGTCACCACGGCCACGAAAGTCACTACGACCTCTGTCACCACCGCGGCCTCGAAAGTCCCCGCGACCCCCACGATCCCCATCTCCTCTGCCAGCTGGGCGGAAGGGTAAGTCACCGCGACCGCGACCGCGACCACCATCGGAGCCACGACCACGATCCCCCCGACCGCGATCACCTCGTCCACGACCCCAATCACCACGTACACGTCCTCTAGGGTTGTCACCCATGACTAGATACTCTAACAATAGATGGGATGGTTCATGAAAGGGAGGTGGGGAGGGAAGCAAAGGGGAAAGGAATGGGCTTATGTACTCCTGTGTTCACCGTTTGTTTGCGCCGTACAGGGGTATGAATTGGCGCTTATTGTCTACAACCCACATTGTGTTGGGCTGTTTTATAGTAGATTCTTATAATACGCGTTGTAAACATAGGTCCCTTATTACTAACAGATCTACAAATATAGTAACTATAAGTTATATCAGACAATCTTGCAAACACGCAAGTATTCATCAACACAACGCTTAAGTTAGTTATATTGAACTCTCTAGATGACTCACTTATCTTTTAGTACAGCCAATCAGCTAATGTCTAGGCGAATGGCATCGGAGTTAAGAGATGCCTGAGCTGGACATTTAAAAAGAAGCTTATGTAAGAATAAATATTGCAGATAGTACTTAAGAATATCAGAAGTTCTCCGAGCGTGATATGTGTAGTGTGCAGTGTGCAGTGCAGGCGGTTTGTATGCGTGAGATCATCTCCAGACGATAACCCAAAAACGGAGATAACGGATTAATCATCCAGTCTCGTCCCAACCTTCCTTGAACCTTCACACCTCCTGATCCTCTTTGTTGGAGATAGTTCCCTGTGAACCTAGACTCCACAGCCTTGCGAGCTAGTGCCAAAGGATTCAGTCGTCTATCTCACCCACAGGCGGGACGTCGTTCACCCCTCCACCTTCCACAAGCTTCGCACATCGCCCCATCACATCGCATCGACATTCAGCTGAATTTGAGCGACCTGAATCACACCAAGGTCGCACAGATTGCTTGCGACTTTCGAAATCAACGTTGGAGCTCTGTGGTTCGGGTCTGGTGCGGTTGCCTAACGATACGCCAAACCCTCAGACATCGGTGCTCAAAACACTGTCATTCTGGACCTAGAAGTCTTGAATACCACACCGGCTCTGTTCACTGTGAGCTTGAAGCAGAGAAAAGCCTATTGCGACGATCGCGCGGAAGGACTGCGCTGATTCAGTGCGTTGCGCGACTGCGACTGCGTCTGAGAGAACCCCGCCAAATAGCACGGCTCACAGCGCATAGCTTGACTGGGATTCAATTCCCACCATCTCACCGCCTCTTGCGAACCTATTTCAAACTGATATCCAACCCATACGAGAATATGCCCTTTTCCACCAAAATGACACCAACACCCCCTTCTACAAACTCGTCAAGTGCAGGCCACTCTCCTGATTACAGAGTCGTCCGGAAACGAAACCGGGTACCTTTGTCATGTGGTCCATGCCGACACAGAAAGTAAGCAATTCAAGACATGGCTGGAATCGTTTGTCTCTAACAGTTTCAGGCTGAAATGCAATCGTTCCATCCCGTGCGAAAACTGTGTCAAACGAGGCGACGCCGCCTCATGTAACTACGCGCAAGCAAGTTCCCGAAAGAAGAATTCGCCCCAGCAGCCCTCGTCGAACTCGCCGGATGATATGCAGAATCGCATCGATCGGTTAGAAGGGTTGGTGCTTTCGTTGATGACAAATGGATCCCAGTCTGCTGGTCCGGCGGCTGCTCTAGCTGCTATTTCTGGAGAAAGCAGTGCTGGATCGACCGGCCCCTCCCATGATCTCGATATCGACGAGGATGGTATGGGCCCCGAAGAGAGCGACACTGAACAGGTGACCAAATCGTTCGGTATCATGAAGATGGACAATAACAAGACCTATTACATGGGGAACGCTCACTGGGCTTCTATATTGAATGATGTAAGTTGGGATATTTCGCCGAGATTGGGCATTTTTAACGGCTGAATAGATCTCCGAGGTGCGGAATTTCTTCGCAACACACAAGAAGCAGTTTGAAGAGCAATTTGAAAAGGTCAAGGCATCTCAACCGCCCACTGATGTACCTGGGTCGACTTTGTTATTCGGTGTCATGAAGCCGATGAGCCGTGGCGAGATCATGTCTGCATTGCCCTCCAAATACACCACTGATCTCCTTGTGACTCGCTATTTCAACTGCTATGACCCTGCAACACGTGAGTTTTCATATCTTTGTAATGCTGAAGACATCCTGACCTTCTCTAGATATCCTTCACGGGCCCACATTTCAAGCACAGGTAAGTTCTGCAGTGATCAAGGGTAGCAGAATAGGACTGACCCATCTAGTACAATAAACATTGGGAAGATCCTTCTCAGACAGAACTTGTCTGGATTGCCATGCTCTTTGCAATGATGAGACTAGCAATGCTATCCTACTACAGCGAAGGCGACGAACCGCCTGAGTTCCGAGGTAAATCTATGGACATGGCAGGAGGATTCCGAAATTCCGTGGCACAATGTCTAACCTTGGCCGACTACACAAAACCCCATCCGTATCTGATTGAAGCACTTGTATTTCATCTCCATGGTGACTTTTCACAGCATCGGGAGACTGACGTCTCAATTTGGGTACTGGCTGGCGTCATTACCCGCTTGGCAATGCGATCTGGATACCACCGCGACTCCAAAATGTTCCCGAACATTACCCCTTTCCAGGGTGAGATACGACGGCGAGTATGGAGTTTTGTGCGTCAAGCCGACCTGTTATTCTCTTTCCAGGTTGGGCTGCCAAGCATGATCCGCTCCACTGATAGTGACACCGAACTACCAAGCAATTTGTACGATGATGACTTTGACGAAGACTGCAAGGAGCTCCCGCCATCCCGTCCGTTGAGCGAACCCACACCAATCTCGTACCTGATTGCCAAGGCACGTTTATCGTATGCCTTTGGCCGTGTCATTGAGCAGAGCTCTGCTATTTCGAACACCTCATATGAAAATGTGATGGAAGTTGACGCGGAGCTTCGACAGGCAAGAGACCTGATTCCTCCCCACCTGAAAATCAGACCTATGGAGGAATGCCAGCTGGATCCTTGTAACCTTATTATGTCGCGATTTGCCGTAAGTTGCTTGAAGCATGCGCTCATAATCAATACTAACCACCCGTGCAGGTCAAGGCTGTATATGACAAAGCACAATGTGTGCTTCATCGACCGTATTTGGCCCGTGCGAGAGAAAATCCTCGTTTCACGTATTCCCGAAGAACGTGTATCGACTCAGCAATGGACCTCTTGGAAGTCCAAGCGCTCCTGCACGCAGAACTACGCAAAGGACGTCTTCCCACTCGTCAGAGTAAAATCACTTCTCTAAGTTCGACCGACTTCCTACTCTCAGCGACAGTCGTCTCTCTCGATCTGTACCAAGGCTTGCAATTGCAGATGTCAGGACGGCCATCGGGAGACACGTACACCTGGGGCCGGGAGCGGCGCGAAGAGATGATGGCGGCCCTTCAGCGCTCGAAAGAGATCTGGGATGAAATGCGAGACGAGAGCATGGAAGCCTACAAGGCATCCAGCGTTCTTGGTGTGATGCTCAGCAAATTGGCCATGGCGGCCCCTACCCTTGAGAACAGCGCTGGTGCCGCTACATTTGAGCCCCAAGATGAGAAGCAGAATGCCGCGATGACTCTTGGCTTGCTGAGCAGCGGAATGAGTCCAATGAACCCGGGCCCGCCTCCATTCTCTGATCCCATGTTCAAAATGGGAGACTCGCCAATGCCAGCAGGCGTAGGCACTTCGGCCGAAATGCCAAGTGGTTCACTCTCGCCATTTAGTAGCATGTTCGGTCAAATGCCGGACATGCAAGTTAATCTTGACTGGGTAGACTTTTTTCTTCCATTCGTATAAACTATTGATGCTAACATTATATCAGGACGCCTGGGACACATACCTCCAAAACCCAACCCTCGACTCGTCAAATCAATTCTGGCCCATGATGGATGCCCAACGACAACCAACGCCTCAATCTGGAGGCATGTCACAGCCTTCGGTATCAAGTCCTCTCGCATCCACCCGGGTACCGTCAATGTCAAGCAGCGGAACTGCTGCCGGCATGCAACGACTACCGACAATGTTTACACCCCCATCTAATAGTTCTGACAGCGGAGGTGCGCCGATGTCTGGGTATGGCGCGGCGCCAATGCCTCCACCAGGTAATACTGGTCGAGGTAAAGGCGGACCATAAACTATCTGTATCGTGATTTATTATTCGATCTCTTCTCTACGCTTGAATGCTTCTCTTGTTTATGCACATATTGGATTGATCCCTTGGCCTAACAGTGATGCTATTTCATTGCTTGTTTACTGTATTGTTTGGAGACGGGATTGCAGTTGTGATTACCACTAGGAGGATTTTTTTAGCGAATTGGGAAAAGCTGTTTGGATTTGGCCGGATTCTGTTGGTGCACTGGGCTATTGATTGTATCATACCATGGGATTATTACAATGTATCCTCCACTCTTTCGAGATATCATATCAAAATACCTCAAGTGTACTTGTAGTCCTTTGGCATTGTATGATAAGCTGATCTAAATAAAGTCACGTGATAGAAGTTTATCAGCGGAAATCATTCCAACGTTATCAAGCCTACTTTCTGTTCATAACGACACTCGTAATCATCACGGTTTGAGTTCATTTAAAATGTAAGTCTGATTCGGAACGATCCCCTTTATTATGGCACATCTTGGTTCCACATATTTGAAGACCGACTTACGCTAATCAACTCCCTTCGCAGGCATTGCTTCCGCCGGGCCGTTTCTCGACTTCAATTGTCGCCAGCTACCCCCATCTCCTCCATTACCCCCGGCACAGTATCGCGATCCAAATGTATCCCCTCAACGTCGATGTTCGCCGCCGCGCGGTTCGCCAACGCCACGCAGATGAGATGGAACTCCCAGGGTGTGCCAATCCGCTACACTAAGCCGAGGACCTTTGACGAGCGAGGCACCCCAGCTGCTAGGCAGCCAAGAAGTAATTACATGAGGGAAGATCCGTCGCCAAAGACTACGGTCTACGTTGGAAACCTGTTCTTCGACGTGACTGCCGAAGATCTGCGCCAGCAATTTGAACAATTCGGTGTGGTGGAGAACGCAGTTATCGTGCATGATTCCCGAGGATTGAGCAAAGGGTGAGTTTAGACCTTCAGTGATTGACTGGCACCATTTGCTAATTCACCTTCCAGCTTCGGTTATGTAACCTACAGTACCACTGAGGAAGCCGGCAAGGCCATCATGGAAGCAGATGCTTCTGTCATCGAGGGCCGCGAGGTCACTGTGCAATACGCAAATACCGTTTACCGCGCTAAGAGTGAAGAAAACCCGTCCAAGTGTCTCTACATCGGCAACATTCCTTACGAATTGACGGACCTGGATCTGCAGGCCCTGTTTGAGGATATCCAGGGCGTGGAGGATATCCGTATTCCCGTTGACCGTCGCACAGGCTTGCCGCGTGGGTTTGCCCATGTTGATTTCCTTGACCAGTGGAGCGCCACTGATGGCAAGGAGAAGCTGTCTCGCAGAGCGCCGTATGGTCGCAAGTTGAGAGTCAGCTATGCCAGACGCAAGATTATGAACCCGGAATCGCATGAGCGTCACCAGATGAAGAAGTTGGAGAAGAAGGAGAAAGAGATGGAGAGAGAGAAGAACAAACGTCTTGCAGCTGCCCAGCCAGCTGGTGAGGTTGTTTCGGAGGAGTGAACTTGGAGCAGGTCAACCTAAGAGGAATGTTTGAGAAAACGGTGACGTTGTCCATGTGAGCTTTAATGTAAATAGCGCTCTGTAACTTTGTATAATAGACCCAAAATGGCAACTGCATGCATTTCTAATCTCTCACGTGACCGACCGGGGAACCTCGGCTGGAAAGGTCAATCGTCTAACCCCACGTTGGACATCCGGGGAACTACACCGTTCTCCGTTACTTCTCCTCTTCATACTGCCTTGTATTAATTAACGAACTCCAACCTCACCCTACATTGCCGCATATTCACCATGTCGTTTCTCGGTGGTGCGGAATGCTCCACGGCGGGAAACCCCCTCACCCAATTCACAAAGCACGTCCAAGATGATAAGTCACTACAGCGCGACCGACTGGTCGGCCGCGGGCCGGGTATGCAAGAAGGCATGCGGTCACGAAACATGATGGGCGGACAAGACCAGGTAAGCATTCCAAGCGACAACCAGCTCTCCCCGGGCCTCGAGCACAGCAGCGGAAACTGACCTCGGCGTCGGGAAACGCCAATAGATGATGGACGACTTCATGCAGCAACCAGGGCAACAATTAAATGGCCCCCAACCGCAGCCATTTGCAATGGAGCACATGCGCCGCGAGCTGGACAACTTTCAGACAGCGCCAGCCCGCACAGGGTCGCCCGGGTGGGCAGCGGAGTTCGACTCCGGCGAGCAGGCTCGCATGGAAGCCGCCTTCCCGGGACAGATGAACAATGGGTCCGGATTCTCACCGGCTGAGTTCTCCCGCTTCCAGCAGCAGAGCCGGATGGGTATGCCGCAGACGTCCAGCCCGGCTACCTCGACCACGCCTATGATGTCTGGCTACCAGCGGCCGATGGGCATGGGTGGTGGATACATGGGGATGGGTGGGATGGGGATGATGCAGCCTATGATGGGTGGGCAGATGGGGATGCAGCAGGGGCCTATGGAGGGTCAGACGCAGGACAAGGGGAAGGGCCGGATGGTTGAGCTCGATGATGAGAATTGGGAGGCGCAGTTTGCCGAGATGGAGACTGCTGGCAATGAGACTCGGACGGATGACGAGGCTAATGCGGCTATGGAGGCGGAGCTGAACGATTTGGACAGGTCAGTGCCCACCCATGACGCCTTTGAGTCTGTTTGGGAGCGAGTTCAGGCTGAGACGGCGACGAGTAGGAAACTTGCCGAGGAGAATGACTTCCAGGTTACTGATAACGTGCATGTTGGCGATCTGGGTGATTGGGAGGGCTTCGACAGCCTTAACTCTCGCTTCCGGGATCCCCAGCTTGGTGACTACATGTTTGAAGAAGATAATGTTTACCAAGCTGTGGGCAATCCGTTCGAGGAGGGAATGAAGATCATGCGCGAGGGCGGTAACCTGTCCCTTGCGGCGCTGGCATTCGAGGCTGCAGTCCAGAAAGACCCGCAGCATGTACACGCTTGGACGATGCTTGGGTCTGCGCAGGCGCAGAACGAGAAGGAGTTGCCGGCTATTCGTGCTCTGGAGCAAGCCTTGAAGGTCGACCCCGGGAACCTGGATGCCTTGATGGGTCTGGCTGTCTCGTACACAAACGAGGGCTACGACTCAACCGCTTACCGCACACTCGAGCGCTGGCTGTCAAACAAATACCCGACAATCATCGACCCGAAGGAGGTATCCGGCGATGCCGACCTCGGCTTCACAGACCGCCAGCTCCTCCACGACCGGGTAACAGAGCTCTTCATCCAAGCGGCTCAGCTCTCCCCCTCAGGTGCCCAGATGGACCCAGACGTCCAAGTCGGTCTAGGCGTGCTATTCTATTGCGCTGAGGAATACGAAAAGGCCGTGGACTGCTTCTCCGCAGCCCTAGCTTCCACCGAATCCGGCAGCACAAACCAACAAGAACAGCTGCATCTCCTCTGGAACCGCCTCGGCGCCACACTTGCCAACTCAGGCCGCTCCGAGGAAGCCATCGAAGCCTACGAACAGGCCCTCAACATCAACCCCAATTTTGTTCGCGCCCGCTACAACCTCGGTGTGTCCTGCATCAATATCGGCTGCTACCCAGAAGCAGCACAGCACCTCCTCGGCGCATTGTCCATGCACCGTGTCGTCGAGCAGGAGGGCCGCGAGCGTGCACGTGAGATCATCGGTGACGGCGTTCACCCTGATGGCCTGGACGACGAGCGTCTCGAGCGCATGCTGCATATCAGCCAGAACCAGAGCACTAATCTGTATGATACGCTGCGCCGGGTCTTTAGCCAGATGGGTCGGAGGGACTTGGCTGATCAGGTTGTCGCCGGTATGGACGTGAACATCTTCCGTAAGGAGTTTGAGTTCTAGTTTTGCTGTTCTTTGTTAGCCGCTTGATTGTTGGCTTGGGAATGGGATGGGAATGTTTGGGATATCTACCGGTTTCATGGCCAAGGCCTGGCTGCATTGTATCTTTTTTATTTTATCATGGCCGTTTAGAAGGGATCTACGGCGGAGGAGGTACATCCTTATACATATTGAGAACGAATCCACGAGCATGAATGCATTCCTATATAATCTTCCGATCTTTAAATCCTACGAATGGAAAGGGGTAGGATTCATCAACTCATCCACCACCTTTCCAACTGCAACAGCCTTCTCCTCTCCGAAGCGACCACCAACAATCTGTACACAGATAGGCATTCCATGCACGAGGTCAATATCATCTGCAAGAGAACCACGGTCAGCATAAAACCACGTATTTATCCAGAATATGACCAGCAAACACTCACACTGCAAATAATTAAACGCATCCGACTCATTCCGAATAGAATGTCCCTCCCACTCAGCATTCAACCCACCCCCGACAGAATCAAGACCCCGATCAGCCCTAGTAACAGGAACAGTGACACCAGCATAATCCAACAAATTCCACATCGCCGTATATCCCAGCCACTGTTTACTACGCACCCACGTTTTAGGCTTGTAGCCTACCCAGGGGAGGACGGGCATGAGTAGGGCGTCGATGCCCGAATTAACCCATTGCTTGAGGAACGTTGTTTGGAGGGCATATTTAGTTTCTTCGAGCTGTTTTGGGGTTGGTTAATCCATACATTTAGTAGATTATTGTGTGTTGATGTGTTCGGGTTCTTACCTTCTCTCGCTCTTGGATTGATAGTAGATCTTTCTCCGTTCCGACTACCATCCCTTCAATTAAAGGCTCGTCTACTATCTGACAGAGACTATGGCAGTGTTGCCCGCCGTCGGCGAGAATCCCTTTCGTCCATAGATTGGTAGCGGGGACGTGGAGGGTTGTGTCCCATTCGATTACTTGGGATTGGATTAGCATGCATCTCAGTAGATAAGTTAGAATACGGCAGACTAATGTGTATACCTTCATGACCTGCAGCCCTTAAAGCATCCACCGTCTCACGCATCGCCCTCGCCACAGGCGGCTGCGGCTTAACAACGCCATCATCGAATACGACACCGAGTCTCAGTTTACGATTTGTCGGAGGAGCTGCTAGTTCCTTTCTCCACGGAATGGGAATGGCACCTGGGTCGATATTCCATGGATCAGACTTGAGGAGACTTTCCATGAAATACTCCGTTGTAGCGAGGGATGTAGCCATCGGCCCGGCTACGGGTGGGATGAGATAGTGTTGGTGTAAGCTATAGAAATGCATTAGAAGTGATTATCTACTGATGATTTGGTGACTTACAAGGAACAATCCCACGGCACTCGACCCGTCGTCGGGCAGATGGAGTATAGACCCTGCAAGGCAGATGGTACTCGGATTGAGCCACCGATGTCTGTGCCGACTCCTAAGATGCTGCCTCTACTGCCAACGAGGGCGCCTTCGCCGCCGGAACTTCCGCCGGAAATTAGGGCGTGGTTGAATGCGTTGACGGATTGGCCGAAGACGTGGTTGTATGAGTCTGACATCTAAATAGGGGTTAATGAATGGAAAGTTGATATATGGAGCACGGAAGACGTGATAAAGTAAAGCTCACCATGAGAGACTGCGGCACATTAGTCTTGACATATAGCACCGCACCCATAGATTCAAGCAGTTGCACCACTGAACTATTAGATTGAGCTGGCTTGTTCGTAAGACCAACCCATCCTATCCTCAAATTAGCACGTAAACAAACGAATCCCAAATAACCAGAAATGATAGAAGAGAGAGAACATACCAACAGTCGTATCAACACCCTCAACATCAAACCGATCCTTGACAGAAACAGGAACACCATGCAAAGGCCCAACAACATCACCAGTCCGCCTCAGAATCTCATCAAGATCCCTCGCTCTCTGAAGCGCCCTCTTAAAGAAAATCTCCGTCAGACATTTATTCACCTGCTGAGAAATTGCAGCCCGCTTGCAGAAAGCTGTTGTGAGCTGTTCGCTCGTTATACTTCTGGTTTTGATGAGTGAGACTAGGTTGCAGATATCTGTTGTTTCGGTCCACGCTAGTTCCTCGGTGGAGAGTATACCGCTAGCTCGGATAATTTCTATACTTGATGCTGGTGGGTTTGCTAGGACCTCGGCTGGGAGACGCCAGGTTTCGGGAATGAGGTTTAGCTGGGTGGTGCGCTTTTGGGTGACGATGTTGTTCCACGGAGGGACCTGGTGGCATTCTCCCTTTGGATCTGAGTCGATGGTCATGGTTATAGAGGGATTATAGCTGGATTGGTGTGAGTGTTGGAAGAGATGTAAGTCAGCCGAGGTGGTATACTTCCCCTCACTTGGGGTATGAGGGGGTTGAGATAAGCATTTAGTTCAGGGTTTACTCTATATATGTGGTTGGTTCAATGCTATTTGGATATGATTATGATGAACTTTCAGAGTCTAAGTGTATAGGGAATACGTTTAGTCTATGAGATTGGGTAGAATCCCATCAAACTTGCTTAATTAATAGTCATTCCATCTTCAGATATCGCCTTGGTGCTCTCACAAAAAGTATTCAACAACAGGAGGATCTGGTGATACCGGGAGCCGGACTTTCTATACTTCTGAGGTATTCCAGATGCTTAGCATTTATTCCACAGTGATGTCAGCATCAATGTCTTAGCGGAAGTCCATAGCACCGCTCTTGGTGATATACACACCATCCTCGCCAGCGAAAGCACGCTTATCCCCGATTTGCTGGGCATTTAGCGCACGCCTGGTAATCTCGTCAGCCTCCTCAGCAGTCAGAGCGCGCTTGGTGAACTCATCGCTGCGCCGGTTGAGTGGGGTAGCGAGAGCCAAGCTGGCGCTCATAGCGATGGTAACCATGGAAAGCTTCATGTTTGCTAATAGAGACTGGAGTTAAATTAGCAGATGACAGGCTCAAAGGCAAGGAACTCGCGCTCACTTGATAGATGGATTGGGACTTAGGAAACTGTGGTTGTTGAAGATGAGGATGATGGACGCACCTGGGGATCTTATAGTTAACTCCGACAGTAGATCCACAGCTCAACTCAGGAACTCCCTCGGCTGCATTATGTAGCTGGCCTCCTTGTAGCTTGCTCCGAAACAGTAGCCCACTGTAGATCATTCTAGTACAAAGTGCTTATCGACAAATCGGTGAGGCTATTATAGAGCATGGAACTTGTCACAAAGTTCAGACTATTAAAGAATGCAGTATAGATTACATAGTGTTAGTAGATCATCGATTCTCGATGAAAAGAAGGCAAGAGGGGAGAGACGTGTAAGGAAAAGAAAGAGAAGGCAACGCTTTAGATATATATAAGAACATGAGCGTTAGGATGTGAGCGTAACGACCCAAATTGGGTTATGCGCAACGGAAGCCTAAACACACATGTAAAAGCCAGTATTTTATTTGGATGACTTAGCAGCGTTATGAACGCCAAGAGCTCTTTTTTATACAAACTTGGGTTTTCCTGGGGCCCCAATGGGTACCCAGCATTGGTCTTGGGCTGGGTTGGGTTATAGATGTCGGACGAAATTGGGTTATATATGCTCGAATCCTAAAGTCTTTCTTCCCTTCTTTGCTTTAAGAGGCAGAAACCGGTGCTTTCTCATTTCGCAACGCATACTCCTCTCGTTGCCTGCTTTCCGCCGCAAGTTTTTTAACGCCCTGAAGCCATATCCCATAAATGAACAAAAAGAGCGATAAGGCAGACGTCATGTTCTGCCGGTAATAACGACACGAATCCGTATCACAGTATTGACGACAGACGAAAGTAAATAGAAAGAAAGACGCGAAAAGACAAAGTGTGAACCTCCACGGGTCAGCAGCTAGCACTAAGGGTCTGAAAAGGAGGCATACAAGATTGGATGTCTATAGAACCCGAGGGGTTCTAATATACGCCCTAGAGGGTGGTCTGATGTATGCTCCTGTTGAGCTAATCCGGGAGAAGGACCGGAAGGGGTTTTCGCTTCCATGATGAATTCCGGAAAATTGCGAAGAGAGAAAGGGAAGGAGAAAGGGTAGAGTCGGTATAGTTTAGGTGTTATAGGAAAGGTTTTCTTTCGCTTTAGGTGACGTGGGTCCGCCCCTAATTTCTTAACGTTTTGTGAAGTACTAGCATGTAGTTGAATAACTTATAATGAATCATAATGTACTTTTTCGGTTGGATATAAGCTCAAGCTGTTGTTCGAGACACGCAAAATGCGGAGAACACAACGAGGGCCTACATCGTACATAGAATGGTTCAAGTATGATCGATCAAAAATCAGCAAGTCTTCAAGATCAACCCAGATATGCGTTTTTATATGGATGCTGTCCCCAAACTCTGTACTAAGGGCTAAAGTACAGTACCATTCGCCTAAGCCCACCTTCTTCCTTATTTCTTTACTGTAGATCGCCGCGAAGTTGCCCGCACTGGCCATATACATTGAAGGCTATTCTATGTTGATCATCAATATAGTAGTGATTAAGCGCGTAATTCTCGGATCATTCGGGGGCAGGCCTACGATGATGCACCAACATGTCCGGTGGACCGTGTCTCAGTACTCATTAGCCAGTGTGCACAGAGGGAAATGATAGACGATGGATACTGGATATGTTGGCAGTTGAGCCTAAAAGTCTATAAATATTCAGACACTCGCTTTCCTTAGGGAACCGGCCACCTTCCGTTCTTATTCTTCTATGTATTACTTGGTTGAGACTCATGACATCCATGGCATTGGTAATTGGTATTGCTACCCTATCTACACAGTCATCAACATGCTAGCATTCTTATACCAGCTCAGCAACGGGTTCTCCCCATTACGCGTCTCCGTATCCTCAATGTAAGCCCAGCGATGCACAAACTCCTCATGGCTGGTAACCTGAGTCAACTTGCCCGTCACAGCACGGTACATATCCTCAATGACATTGAAGTCCGTGGGGAAGAAGATATCAAAGTAGCCTTGGTGGACCTGTAGATAATGGTTAGCTGAATCCAAAATACTCATAGAAAGGAACAACATACAAAAGGAGTAGTCACTGGCACCGTCTGCCGCTGGTACCGAGTTTGCACGACAGGTGCGTTGATACCAGGTACGGCATCCGGCAAAGAATTAAAATCACTGGAGACCAGGCGATGAGCCGGGAAATACTGGTTCAAAACATCGAAGAACTGCATCAGGCGAGTGGGGATATACTCCGGCTGGGTATATTCCTTGCTAAATGGCGCGGCAGAGCGGAGGCCACGGAGAAGAGATGGGCCCAAAGGACTCGGGAAAGGTCGACGGGCAGCAGCTTGGCGTACGCGCAGGAAGCGAGCAGCGACAGGGTCCAGCTGGTTGTTATAGTACTCGTGAAACTCGCCATCAGCATCGATTAGCACACCGCCCTGCTGGGGCATCTCGGTGCTTTGGTTGTAGCGGATGGCGTCGTGGCTGAAGTTATCGAAGACTTCAAGGGCTAGGAAGAAGCATGGCGAGTGGACGTATGTGTCCCAGTCGAAGATTGACCGGTTGACAATCTCCACACGATCCCGGTGGCCCTTGGCTGTGAGCTTGTCGGTCAAGGTCTTGTACTGGAGATCTGCTAGCGCGGGCGAGATCTCAATAATCTTGAACTTTGTTCGCTGGTACACCTCGTGGTCTGTGTCACGGATGAAATCGAGGATGTTCAACATCATTGTTCCGTTTCCTGCACCCATCTCGTAGATGATCAGGTCGTGGTATGGATACAGGGTCAACTTGTAGTTCGACACTAGATACCGCGCAATGGTCTCGCCGTAGTACGGCCGAAACAGCTCGGTGGGTGTGTGCCATAACTGCCGGGCGATATCTGGATTCGTCTCATCTAGCAAGTCTTCGAACTCCGTGTACCGCTGGCCTAAAAGTTTGTGGAAGGCAGGCCCGTCCTCGATGGCGTTGAAATTGAACGGTTCGCCGGGACTGAAAATGGTTGCGTGTTTGGAGAAGTACCCATAATGAGGATTGTAGAGGCTGTCTGAAATCACCATGTCAGATGTCGTTGCGCATGTTCGCCCGCCGAACTTACCGTCGATGAACTCGCGTGTCAGCATCTTAACCTGCCGCGGCCGCTCGCGTCGACTCCGTAGCTCCTTCGCTGTAACTTGTGGATATGTCCGGTACTCCTCATCAATGTTCTTGGGGTAATCACCCCGTTTTGTCCAGAGTAAAGCGTCATCTTGCGTTTTGCGCTTGGTGGGAGTGCGCCGGGAGAGAAATGTTCGGGTCTGGGGTCGGGTGAGAGAATATGGCTGTCGCCTTAATGATTGACATGCTGGGTGGCGGAAAAGCTGTCGGAACAGCTGGGTGAGGACTGGCGAGTCCATTGTGACTGAAGAGCTGATGTTCTGGGGATGGAGAACGTTTGGAGAACTAGCTGTGGTGGCCTGAGGCAGAGTAGCACGTGAGGCAAGGTTGAGCTTCAATTCCCAAGGTTGGGTCTTGCGCTTGTGATTCATGAGTCCATTGATTTGTAGATTGAATCGGTTTATTTGCACCTTTCACGCTATTTACCCCAGCGCAATGTCTGTTTGAACTTCTCATCGAAGAATTCAGGTGGTCCGAGCTTCATATCTCCTACGCGCACGTCTGTCGAGCACAGAAAGCCTTGAACACAATGCCCGACCATTCCACAGCATATATTGGCACAGCCTTTGTGGCTGGAATCTGCTTAGCTCTCACATATAAAGAATTATCACGACCAAAGCAAGATGAACATGCGACAGAGCAACCACGAACAGATGACCTAGTCGCCCGGCCTGGACCACCAACCATTGTTGAAGGCATTGAGGGCTGCATTGGAAACACGCCTCTTTTACGAATCAAGTCATTGTCGGACGAGACAGGATGTGAGATTCTGGCTAAGGCAGAGGTATGTGCACTTGATATAGCTTCAAGGAACATAACTGACAAGCTATGCAGTTTTTGAATGGCGCCGGTCAGAGCTCCAAAGACCGAGTCGCATTAAGCATGATTGAGATTGTATGTTGAACACGCCATATTCAGCACCTCTTTCCACCGGCTCCGATTTACTAACCTCAACCAGGCCGAAGAACAAGGAATCCTGACGCCACATTCAGGCGACACAATTTACGAAGGAACATCAGGATCGACCGGAATCTCACTAGCAACTCTAGCCCGCGCAAAGGGCTACCTTGCACATATGTATGCACCCAGCATCCAACCCACAGAACCCAAACTAACCCGGAACCAGCTGCATGCCCTCAGACCAGGCAATTGAAAAATCAAACCTGCTCCTAAAGCTAGGGGCAATCGTCGACAGGGTCCCCCCAGCACCGATCGTCGAAAAAGACAATTTCGTCAATCGCGCACGAGCACTAGCAAAGACGCACACGGCCTCATCCGGCATCCCCACTGCATCTACACCACCATCAGCTGAAGAGAAAGCCGATCTCCCGGAGCCAGACGAGAGCATGACTCGCGGACGAGGGTTCTTCGCCGATCAATTTGAGAACGAAGCCAACTGGCGCGCCCACTACGAGGGCACAGGCCCAGAGTTATACGCTCAATGCGGCGGCCGACTTGACGCCTTCGTAGCGGGCGCCGGGACAGGCGGGACGATTTCTGGCGTGGCGAGGTTCTTGAAACCTCTATTGCCTAAGCTTACGGTTGTACTTGCTGATCCGCAGGGCAGTGGGCTATTTAATCGGGTTGTTTACGGTGTGATGTTTGATCTGAAGGAGCGGGAGGGGACGAGGCGGAGACGACAGGTTGATACTATTGTTGAAGGGATTGGAATTAATCGTGTTACGGCGAACTTTGAGGCTGGGAAGGAGCTTGTTGATGATGCGGTGAGGGTTACTGATGCGCAGGCTTTGGCTATGGCGCGTTGGCTTGTTGAGAAGGATGGGATTTTTATTGGGAGTAGTAGTGCGGTGAACTGTAAGTCTATTCATTTTCCGGGGGATATTTTTTTCTTGATACTAATACAGGGTTCTAGGTATTGCTGCAGTCAAGACAGCCAGGAAGCTGGGACCAGGCCACAGGATCGTCACGGTGCTTTCTGACTCTGGCTCGCGGCATTTGTCTCGATTCTGGGCTAAGGCTGGTGATGTTGGCGGGGCTGTTGATACGAGACTTGAGGATGTTATGAATGCACGAGACGAGGATTTTGAATAGCTGATATAGCATTGGGGGTATGATATTTGGTAACTAGCGGTCAATCGATAACTAATGCTCCATTAGCATCGTTCACTTGCCTTGAATCGCTGTGTTCATATAGATACCCAGTAAGCGCTGGGGAGTAGACGTCTTGTCTGTGGCTTTTCAGACCCATTTTGGGTAGTGCCAGGATATACAGAAGCATTGATTCTTCCTCTTCTGCGTGCCCGGCTTCTGGGATAAATAATTCAGGTTCTGTATCGGGGTTCTGCTGTTCCATGCGTTCATCTTCCATGGAAACCCGTCTGTCTGAGTATAACACGATGCGCTGTGTGGCATGTGAATGAGGGAATTCAGGATCTGCATCACTTTCCTCTTTCATCACATCCTCTGCGTCATATCCGACTGGCTCAAATGATTGGATTCCCCTCGCTCTCTTCCTTAATTGTCTGTTCTCCCGCTTCTTCCACGCATGGTACCTTTGCACCAGTGGGGCTTTCAGCTGCGCCATTTCCAATCTGTTCAATCGAAGGAAACACTTCGGGTCCCTCTTCCGGCTCTCCCTGTCCCTCTTGCGCGTCCACGTCTCCCGGAGCGGGTCCATCGACAGAAAGACGAAGCATATGAAACTCAATCTCATTGAGTGAGCGATTGTGAAACTCATCTCTGATTTCAGCCCAAGAGAGACCCGATTGGCTGCTCAGACGACCTAAAGCTGCAAGTTCGCCCTGCGACCAGGGGCCCGAAAGGTGAGGCGGATTTTCCAGACGACAAGTCCAATGGTAGTAATACCAATTCAGGATAGTCCGGTTGGCGCAATTTGGAAGACGTTGAACCACATCCTTCACTTTCTTGCCTTCCTTGTGCATCATTGACACGATCAACTTTGCTTCGTCGGGTGTTATGACTCGCCTTTTGCTTGGCGTATCTTGAACGGAGTGGACTGATGCAGCTTGGCTGGGTTTGAGAACTAAATCATCGTTTTGTAATATAGTATCCAATGACCCCTCCTTTTCGATATTTGTTTGTGGCGATTGGCCATGGCCATCGTGCCCCTCTCCGTCGTCGGTTTCGTTTATACGATCTGGCTGCTTTGAAGGCGCATGCTCAGGCCGAGTAGATGAACGGCCGCCACGTTTGTCCGGCACCTGTATGCGTTTCCCGCGGATATTCCGCATTTTCGATGGTGAGGGTGACGCCCAATCCTTCTCTTGCAGAGGGTCATCGGATTCATCACCGTCCGGTATCTTTGCAAAGGACCAGTCAGATGTCAGTGGACTTGAGTGGTATTTCCGCTTCCCACGTGGCTGGCGCTGACTTGGCGTCGCCTTGGGTTTCCCCTCGGTTCGTGGTCTGCCGCGTTTGGCAATGGCCCAGATCGAGCCACTCCCTGGTGGAGATGGAGACCTGGCAGATCCGATCTGTGGGGAGAAGGCGATGTTGACTTTGCGGCCGCTGGGGCCAGTGGTGGGCGTTGCGTAGGTTTGCGGCAAGTCAGGGACCTGCCAGATGGGATCTTGAGGCTTGGGTGCTGTGTTCAACTGGGCGGCTTTTTCGCTCTTCACCATTGGACTGAGCCCTGAAGCCCCGGACGCTTTGTAGGTAAACACGAAGTCTGAGGAGGCCGCGTTGGTCTCCTCTATGCCTGAGCTTATAATTGATGTTTCATGTTGATCGTTCAGCAAATCATCGCCGTGAGAGACTGCGTATTCATGGCCTTCTTCATCTCCCTCTGCGCCTTCATCACCGTCTAGAGCGTCATCCGACTCGTCGCCAGCCTGAAGCCATGAAAATTGACCCCCTGTGTCACGTTCGCTCTGCATCCCCAGCAGATGTCCGTTGTCTACCACCAGTTTCCCACTCTGCAGGTCGATCTCATCGCCCACGTCGGTAAAGTCCTGGCTGTACTTGGCGAAGATGCCTTCGAACAGAGATTTGAGCCGTGAGTCATTTTGCGCGCGTGCAGCCGGGAGGTCGAATTCCTCGGGGACGTCTTCTGAATCGTCAGGGGTGTATGACAGGCGCGGTCTCTTCGCTGGTCGGTCGATGTCTGGCGCGGAGTACATGTTTGCGCCCGGAATCACTGGTGGCGAGAGGAGCTTAGGTTAGGTCGGATAATGAAGAAGATGGCATAATTAAAGTAGAGAGGCAATGTTGGACAGGTAATGTAGCTCGAAGCGCGACAAACAAAATGCGGCAGGTCAAAAACAAATGACGTTCCGCTCCCCAACTTCACCTCCCCACACCCCGACATGATGTACTGCCAGAAGTGTCGCACACCACTCAAGCTGGATGGCTCATTAGAGTCTCTCAACCCAGCTGCCTTTGATCTACTTGTCAGTAAGTGTATACCCTGGCTCTACTTGACGTCGCTGACCAAGTGTAGACTCTACAGGCAAAACACTATCAGATGGAGCTGCCTCAAAGTCCTCCTATCCACCCGACCGACGCGGACACTACGATCAAACATCCAAACATGCTACGCCGCCAGTTTATCGGCGGTCTATTCCCGCTCCCCGCGGAGGACCCCCGGCGATCCCTCGAGGCGATAGCGGCAACATGTCATTCGTCATGCTGACCGAGTCTCAAGTCGTGCCGCCTGTCGAGAACACCCGGAGTAAGGGAAACCGCACACCTGCCCAACCTGCCAGTCAAGAGAATGAATCATTCGTGGATCAGGTGGAGAAGGCAACCCGGTTGTTTGAGATTGTCTCGGCTCGTTCTGATATCGACCATCCTATCTGCGTGGAATGTACGGACCTGCTCGTGGAGGGACTGCAGAAACGGTTGACTGGGGCTACTAAGGAGCGGGATGCATACATTTCATTCCTGAGGAACTTGAATACGTCGGTTCCGACCGCGGAGGAGGTGCAGGCGGCCGAGAAATCGTTGAATGAGAGCGTTGAAGCGGAGCGGGCTGCATTCGCCGAGCTAGTGGCTCTGGAAAAGGAAAAGGCCGGACTAGACGGGGAGATTGCTAGTCTCGAAATCGAATCGCGACAGCTGGATGTGGAGGAGGAGAACTTTTGGCGAGACCGCAACGCTTTTGCCTTGACGCTGACCGAGTTTCAAAACGAACGGGATGCACTTAATATGCGCTATGATCACGACTCGCAGCAGCTTGAACGACTGCAAAGGACTAATGTCTACAATGACGCGTTTTGCATTGGTCACGATGGATATTTCGGTACTATCAATGGGCTACGCCTCGGCCGGCTGGCCAACCCTTCCGTTGACTGGCCTGAGATCAATGCTGCGTGGGGACAAACGGCGCTGCTTCTTGCCACGATGGCTGAAAAACTAGGATTTCAGTTCCAGGGATATCGCCTCAGACCCTTGGGGTCCAATTCACGGATCGACAAAATCGAATACCCGGCCCAACCATCTGGGCAGCCCGTCGAGGGAGCTACAGCCAAGGTTACTCAACTGGACCTTTTCTCGTCAGGAGACTTGCCGCTGAATCTACCCTGGCTGCACCGTCGCTTTGATGCGGGCATGGTGGCGTTCCTTGAGTGTCTACGCCAGCTGGGGAGGTTCGTCGAGAAGACCCCTGCGCCCGTGGTATCGCCACGCCGGGGCCAGACCAGCACCAGTGCACCAGGGTTGAAATTACCCTATGAGATCAAACGGGATCGCATTGGTGATGCCAGCATCAAGTTGGGCTTCAATCAGAATGACGAGACATGGACTCGTGCCTGCAAGTACACGCTGACCTGCTGCAAGTTCCTTCTTGCGCACGCTAGCAACCTGGCGAGCACGGGCTCCAACTCGGCAGCTGTCGCAGCTGCAGCTGTGGCAGCCGCCGATCAAGCCCGACAGGCGACTCCGCCAAGATGAAACAAAGGCTGCAAAAAAAGGTGAGGCTGCAGACGATCCAAATGCCAGTCATAGCCGGAAAATCGCGCAGATCCTAAAAACCACAGTACTGCGCCTCCCTTCCCTCTCGTACTTTGGGGATAAGCTGTAGATGGAATGGGAATGACATGCCTAAGACTGGGTGTATCACCCAGTGCATCCCGGGGCCTCATTGGGCTGCGACCGAATGGCTGGATCGACCCATGCGCGCCTCCACCAATGCCCTCCTTGACATTTGTCGGCTGCGTGCAGGTACTGCGCGTGGACTCGGAACAGACCTCTAACTCACATCCATTTTCCTGGGCACAGATCCGGAAGAGAACCCACACGTACTGCAGAGTCGTTACGCCGCCACGATTGATCCCGCGACATCCTAGTACCTGCATGCGATCCGAGCCGGTGAACGATCCACGGTGGACCTATAAGCATGAACACGGCAGACATCCCCGTTACCGCGCGAAAGGCGGGAAGGGGCCTTAGAATAAATGTACAGGGAAACGCTGGCAGATAGCACAAAGTACCCCCCGCATTCTTGCCCTCAGATCCTAACTGTTCAAGGACTAGTCGGGTACCCGACTGATTCTTGCCTTAAGGTTCGGTGTCTGCTTACTCGGGGACTGGACTTCAGCTCCCCGAGTAGATCACTGCATGATCTCCTCGTACTCGAGTAGTGTTCTAGCCCTTGGGAACTGGACTACCAGGGGGTGTGGCCCGGGGTATATTCTCTCTGTTTCAGAGGGGGAAGTACAAAGAATACGGCATATAAGGAAACAATATATGAAAGTACCATAGCACGGACCTAAGATCGTACGATGGGCCAAGTGTCAGGGCCTTTCGGCCGGCCACACTGCACGGTCCGAGCCCTCACGCGGACCCCTTGATCGCCACATAACGTAGACCGTAGAACGTATAACGGTCTAACGGTTACTCCTTGCTTCAGATCTGGCACGTTGAGACTACTGTATGTACGGTGGCATTCATACTTTCTACTTATTCCTAATACGGCAGGAGTCTCAGTGGCTGATCCACATGGCTGGCATTTTAGACTCGACAAAAGAGCTGTCAAGGAAGTTTCGGGCCGCTCCCGGTGTTTTGTTGGATCTACGATTGTAATTACTTTTTAATCTACCGTGACTTGTTGTACTTGTGAGGCAGCCGGAAATGCACCCAATTTGCGGCCAGTGCTCTGCATGTAATAGTTCGCTTAGCTTGTATAGGCAAAAGTACGTATTCTCCACTCTACAAAAAAAGAAAGGAAAAAAGAGCGTAAAATGTAAATATAAAGAGAGATAATAATAAAAGCAAAACCCAATATTCGATCCGACTACCCTATATCTGACTCCATAATAAGGCCCGGAGATATTCTCCAGAGCAACGACCCTCGATTGACCGTGACAAGTTGCCTACCTCGATGGATCCCCAACTAACACGCTGATTTGGCCGGGGAAGCAGGGGGTCGTGCGTCCGCGCGCACGTCGCCGTAAAGAGAAGAGGGATTCCTGGCCCCCGTCATATTTCTTTTTATAACATTCCTTATTACTCTTTAACGGCTTTTCTCTATGAAACTCTCTTCTCTAGATATTCCACTATGGACAAGCCCTTCTCTCCCCCTCCGAATGTCTTTCGTCCTCGTCGATCGGACGACTGGCATGAATATCGCGAAACTATCGAACAACTCTACCGAAATGACCAGCTGAAACTGCGCGATGTGAAACGCATCATGGAGCGCGATTACAAGTTCTATGCCTCGTAATACCATCTTTTTTTCTTTTCTCTCTCGGTTTTGCTTTTCTTTTCAACTCTTATAGATCAAGTATCGCCTAACACGTGAATCAGAGAAAAACAATACAAAGATCGTCTCGCGGCGTGGCATGTCCGGAAGAATATCAAGGCCAAAGAGGTTCACATCATGCTTCGCAAGCAACAGAAACGTGCCGCCCAGGGGAAGCAGACTGCTTTCCGGGTGAATGGCCAGAACGTCGACCCTAAGCGTATCGCTCGCTTTGTACGTCGCTACGGTACATCTTGGGACACGAACCGAAAGGAAGCGGAAACAGAGCCTCAAAGCCCTGAACCTCGTGAGTATCACTACGCTACTATACTATACTTCACCATGCTATACTATACTAGATATAGTATAGTATAGAGTAGTACCCACATCTAGACAGTACACAGTTTACAATACTAACTAAACAGAAACCCCCTCCGACATGACTTGCTACACTCCGGAACCAGCAGAAGAATCAAGCGCCACAACACCCATCTCCCCACTCCCAGAAATGCATTCACCAAGAGAGATGCCCTCGTTCCCACTCGGCTCATACGGTAATTCCAGCTCGGACTCCAGGATGAGCGTCATGCCGAATGATATTGATGCCCGATATCTATCTCTAGACCCCAACCACCTCGAATCCATCCCGGACCTGATCATTGACGACGACCCTGCTATGCCGTTGACTATGCCCCGTCATGGGCATGGTCATGGCCATGCGCAGAGTCATGGACATGGACAGAGCCATGCACAGAGCCACGGCCAGCATGGCTTCTATCACCACAATGCTGGCGTTGGTATTGGTGCTGGCACTGCCATCGGCGTGGGTAATCATATCTCGCATAGTAGCCATGGTTCGTCGCATGTCAGTCATGGTTCGCATGGTTCGCATGTCAGTCATGGATCTCATGGATCTCACGCATCGCATGCTTCTGGTCATGTTCCTCTTTCTTTGCCGCATCCGCATTCGCACTCGCAGTCCCATTCGCATCAGTCTTTGCATCAGCATCATCAACCTTTGCAGCAGCACGCTGCACCTGTGTCTGTGTCTATCCCGGCTGCTGCTCCCGCTCCTGCGCCCGTACCAGGTCATGCGGCTTCCGCTTCTAGGGATTTGGAAGACGCACCCGGTGAAGTGGATGTCCATCCGCCTGACTGGAATACTATCGAGTCGTTCCAGACGAGGTTGCAAGGATTGGATTACACGCTTACGCAGACTATGTCGAAGTGGGCTAGGGAGGGGGATCCTAATCAGGAGATCCCTCATCATGAGGGCTTGGGGATGTGAATTTGGTTTCTTTGTTTGTTTCTTTCTTTCTTCATTGACCTCCTGTTCTTCAGCTTGCTTGCTTTCTTTCCTTTCCTTTCTTATGATGCTTGTCTTTCCCATTTCAGCGTGTGAGCCCGTCTTGTTCCCTTTTTCCTTCATGATCTCCTTCCCACTCTTCTTTGGTGTTTGACCTTCTCTTCTTTTATGTACATGAATCTTGTTCTACTTTCATCGTTGGAGGAGTTTGCATTTCATTGTTTCATTCTTCAGACATAGGCCAGGCGAGGAAAAGTCATAGCATGGGCGTTCTCATTGTGGATGATTCTCTTTAGATTGGTGATGGTAATGGTGATGGTAATGGTGATGGCGATCTATGCATATACGTTATGGCTTCTATGATTCTGAGTATCCTGACTTGCAAGTAACGAGAGCGAGAGAGAGAGGAGGGAGAAAGGCAGAAGGGAAGAGAAGATGTCTACCTTCTCGACGACCGGATGTCCCTGGCCTCGACTCTACTCTACATCCTACCCGATTCTATACTCATCCCGCTCAACCGATCCTCGTTTCACCCTCCTGAGACATATACTCTCCGTTCTCCATTTGCACCCACATCCACCCCCTTGGGAGTTACTACAGTACAATCCTCCGTGGCCCCCCACCGGACGAACACTCCGAACTCCCACGCCCACACCGAACGACCTGAATCCTCCCCGAACCATACAGTAACCCTCCGCCACCTCATCACAAAGATACCCTACACGCCCACTAAGGGAACATAACAACACAAACCCAACCGTCAAAAGGACATAACCCCGGGCCATCCATCCGAGGTAGAGGAGAGTCTACGCTACGGTGCGTTACAAATCCCCCTTCGACCGAGGAGTGGAGAGTCCGGTGACAGCAGATCCGGGATGAAGAGGGTGACGGAGAGGGAGGCATCCACAGTAGTCAGTAATCATCTGTCCCATTCCTTATTTCAGATTGATGTCAAGTAGGAGGGGAGAGGAGTACTGACTCAACTCTACCCAGACTGGGTACCTCCAGGGATTCATCGTGTGACGAACAGCACTGCGTATAACTATAGGTAGATTCTTGTAGCCTAGAATAAGTGGGTGTATTTGTGATTGAGAGCTCTTTATTACCACACATTCCAGTCCATTCTTCCTTGAAGTCAAAGATGAACGTCTTTCTAACTGCGTAGCCAAATATAGTAACTTATAAGATGACATAGAAACGTAGAGAAGATACCTTCCTACTACCGACTACCTACCTACAACTCACAATAATCCACAGAACCCCTATCCAGCCAAGCCCAGCCAATCAGACCCCGGAAAACGACAAACCAAGAGCCTAACCCAAATTTCAATCAAGACTAGCACCAGCACCACACCACCGGAACACCAGAAGCCTCTCCCATCCAAGATTCTAATCCGGACTGGAGGATGTGAGGTGACATACTGTATGTACTGTAGACGCAGCCTGCCACTTCTGGGATTGGGACTTTGCTCTTGGGATTTGGGTCCAAGGTTTGTACTGGATTGTGAAAAGAAATGCATGTAACATAACATGGATATGGATATGGATATGCACATGGACATGGACTTGGAGATAGGGCACAGGATACGAGATACAGGGGTAAATGGGCGAGAGGGGGCTTGGGCCGGTGATTACTCTACTTTAGTGATCTAGTGTACTAGTATACTATACAGAACGAGTTACAGTAAAGTAAAGGCGAGTGGGACATAAGTTACCTCTACTGTACACGTACATGAATACGGGGAATTTGCATTGCATGGTTTAATCAAATTGAGTAACTGTCTGTGATATCAAAGATGGCGTAGACCAGGGTTTGATATTGCTATGCTATATTGATATTTTGATATTCGACGTGTCAATTTTGGACTTTTGGACTCGGGACTTTGGATTTCTGGTTCTGTGTGGGGACGCGGAACGGTAGGGCCGTTTGGCCCACTGTGGATATGGACGGGATGATTACTGTACAGTAACATGAAGATACGTATCGGGCCGAGGGTTAAGGACTAAGGGTTGAGTGAAGTTGGTTTACTCTACGATTTACAGCGTCTTGGATACAAGTATTATCATGTACCATGCATTGCATTGCAAATTGTTAAATACATAAATCCAAATGGGACCAGAGAGACCGTCGCTAAAATGAATCCAATCCAAGAGATAATAATAAGAGAAAAAGACGGAAAAAAAAAGAAAGAGAAAAAGAAATACGAAGAGTAGGAATAAAAGCCGTAAACTGCCCAGGTCCACTCAATCCTGGGGATAAGAGGAAGAGCAAGATACTGGACAGAGAAGAACTGCGGCCATGGGTTCCTGCACAGCAGATCATAAGGAGAAAGCCTCCAGTCGCACGCTCGTAGGGATATATAAGAATGAGCAAAGGTGTAGTGTGGGTAGAAGGAGATAGGGAGGGGAGGGGAGCTTTTGGCCAAAATCATATCCTGCAACCGTCTAGCATGTCAAAGAACAGAACAAGAGAAAACCAAAACCAGGCATCAGACAACGTCTATGGTGTTCACGAGTAGAAAGTGCTCTTTTGGAAGCTTTCAGGGGAGATATCACCCATCTTGCCATTCAGCGCAGGCTTCTGCTCCGGCTTAGACAGCGAGGATAGACTCTGTGTGCGGGCATCAGTGGCCTCGCCCTTCAGTGAGGTGGTGCGAGTACCGGGTTCACTACCGGCAGTAATGGCTTGCTGATTGGGTCGGCGTTGGATGGTCTCCAGATATGGACCGGGAAGGTAGCCGACGCGCCCGTCGCGGGCGCGGCAGCGCCACCACTCCGAGGCATTGCCCATAGGGTCGGACTTGCTGAGGACGGCGACGATGTCGCCCTTCTTCACAGCAAGGTCGATCCCGTTGCTCTCCTGTGTCTCAGGAGTGTAGTCGTAGAGGAGACGGCAGAAGTCCAGCTTGGACGGGTCGAGGGATGCCGAGCCTGGCTCGCCGTTGGGGCCGACCAGCTGTTGGCGGCGACGGGCCTCCTCTTCCTGGGACCGCGCCAGTGCCTTGATGAGCTTGCCCATCAGATAGGGAAGACCAAACACGGCAATCAAGAACATGAAGAAGGGCTTCTTCGATGGCTTGGCTGGAGCCGGGGAGCCATCAGGAAGAGTAGTTGCTGCCCGTCCACCCATGAAAGCCGCAAAAGCAGCAGGAGTCAAAGACGTAGCATCAGCGGGTGGAGGACGACCAGTCAGCTTAGCGATCAAAGTCCTGAACCACCGAATGATAGTGAAAATACCCAAGGCCGAGCCGAGGGTGTTGCGCAGGTTTCCAAACTGCTCTGCGACCGAGACCATCGCTACAGAAATGCGTCAGCAAGCGCCCCAATACATATATCCCCAAACAACGAAGAACTCACCGAAGAATGAACTGTGAGTAGCCATATAAGTGCTCTCCAGCATCTGAGCAAAGCCCCCAAACGCACCGACGATACTCTCGATCATGTGGAAGGTCGCCTGGGTGCTCTGCCCAAACGAGTTCGTCAAACTATTAGGATCATTGGGATCCTGCCCTGGCATGCCACCGTACATCCCTCCCATACCCATACCACCCATGCCACCCATGCCGCCATACATACTACTTCCGTAGCCGCCATAGCCACCGTACATGGAGCCCATGCCGCCCATGGAGCCGAAGCGGGAGTACGGCGAAGAGTAGCCGCCCATGCCGCCGTATCCTGATCCGTAGGCGCCGGTACCTAGCCGTGAGGCCCCATAGGGTGAGTAGTTTGAGGCGGTGTTGTTTACCACGGAGTTGAGGGTGCTGGGTCGTGATGGGAGGTCGGGTGCGGTGGACGTTGCCGTTGCGGGGTTGGCTGTTGAAGTCATCGCTGTTGAGGCAGCTGGGCTGCCAGCGGTTGGCGCTGTTGATAGTGTGTTTCCTGCTGAAAGAGGAGGAGTAGTTAGTATGACTGTTTGGTTGGGGAGATGGATCGCGCTGGCTGGGTGGCGATCACGATCAGGATCTGATCTGCACTTACCGGCGCCCGCTCTCTCCCACGGTTTTGGTGGCGAAGCCGTCGCCATGAGTTTGTTTTCAGCGAACTTGCATCGAGATCTAGATCAGATATGGAGTGTTGAGAATCCGGGGGGAGACGAGAGGAGGCGGAAAAGTCGCATGTGGCCGGAGTGGAGATACCGAGGTCGGGGTTTGCCGATTGTTACATAACCGATCGGTCTACATTCTACAGTTGCTTAACGTTACTTCGTAGTTCAGGCACTTGCTTTTTATTGTTATTTCGTTAGATACAGACAATAGAATCATCATTACTGTTGCATTCTCTGTATTCTTTGAACTTCTCACAGTATATCACACAGAGTCGCCCTTTGCGGTGAAATCTCGGTGGCGAATGCATGTACTTTCCGCCTTGGGCGACCGAGGCAGATCTCGGACTATAGTAATGGGCGGTATTTGTATTCCAGGAACATTTGTATATAGAGATATTCCTGGGAAGATATAAATAGTACTATATGTATTTAAAATAATGTAGATAAAAGACCATATGCCCTTGGCCGCAATTCCCAACTTCCTCGCTTGTACGGGCATTTGCCGCGTCTCTCGGAAAACCAACCGTGTAGACCGAGCCGACCTACGAACATGTACATGTACCTACCTACTACAGGTGTAAGTTATATCTCATCAAAATCCAAAATCAAACACAAGTGAAGATAGTATAGATTGATTCAACTCCAAAACCGAGAACCCAACCCAAGTCTACAAACGCCACAGCACAGAGCCGTATATGTACAGTGTATGCCAATGCAAAAACGATTAATATATCAGAGCTCATCACGATGAGCCTGAGCCTGAGCCTGCTCATAAGCCCGGCGCTTAGTATGTTCGCGAGGTTCAGGAGCCTTCAGCTTCCATGGCCGCGGAGGCACAGGCAGACCCAGCCAGTAATTGTAAAGACGCATGGATTCAATGGCTCCGAGTTGGAATCTGTAGTAGTTAGCACAAGTCACAAACAATCAGAATTAGAATGCGAGAGCTTAGACTTACAATGTCCGCGGGAGATCTATCCAGGTCTGGAAGATGTACCCGACCGTCCCCCAGATCATGTTCCATTCGACCATGAAATCTTCAATGATGCCCGCGTCTGGGTTGGGTGGTGGTCGCTCCCAGGGGTAGCGTGGTGGTGCTTCCCGGCCGTATACGTAATCCTCTTCGTTTTCGTTTTCGTAGTAGTAGTTTCCAACGCCGTCTTGAAGTAAGCGGCCTTTAGGCTTGTCCCCATGGGCATTTATTTGGTGACCGGAAGGGATAGCGCCGTGGACGGGGAACATATGTGTGTTACCGGTGATAAGGGCTCGCTGCATGCTACGCGCGGCAGCTAGACTGTGGGAGATCCGGCCAAGCGTGTTGATGAGGGCAACCAGCTCGGTGCGGTGCAGGGTAGGGTTCTCGCCGTTCTTGGTCTCGTCGTACTCGAAGAGCACCTTCAATGCGGTTCCGTATCCCTTGACCTGGAGCTTACCCCACAGGCGGCATTTATCGCAGCCGACGCAGTCCATCAGTCTGCTGACGTTACGGAAGCGATTGCGGAAGTCCTCCTTGAGACCGAGGGCGCCGGGGTCTTGGAACATAATGTTCTCGTCGAAGATTTGCGGGATGGTCGATAGCGTGCTTGTCAGCTTGTTGACGCGCTCCTTGGTCTTGAGGTCCTGTGCGGGATCGCTGGTACAAAAAGTGTAGCCCTCGAGGTGTTTACGAAGTTTCGCCACGGCGCGCGATACCAATGCGTAGTTGAAGTACATGTTGGAAATGCGCTCGGGGTGGTCGTGGAGGCGGTCCTTGTAGCATTGCACATTGGGGTGCCATTGGCCAGTCGTTTGGTTGAGGTAATCCCAGCATAGATGAGTCGAAATGGAAGCATGCATGCCACTGATAAGTCGGTGGAAGACCCGCTTTTCCAAGCACTCATTGTCTAGCGGCAGACCTTCCAGGCGCTGCGACTCCTTCTGGAGCACATTGCGGAAATCCGAGGCTGCCTGGAGGCCACCCATGGGGACGTTGAGCGTTCGTTCTTCCAATTCCTCGATGGGCTTGAGGAAGCAGTTCTCGTTGTAGATTGCATTCCACACCTGGTGTGCGCCTTCACCCGAGTATCCCGTGAACCGTTCCGGGTTGTCCACCAAGCTCACGTAGTCGCCCTTCCCGGCGGAACCCTCGTCCTCCGGAACACAGTAGTCGCGGTCGTCACACTCGTCGTCATATTCCACCACACAACTTTCGCCGACGTCCTCTCCCAGCTCTCCTTGTAAGGGTCGTTCTTTCGGACGTTCTGCTTGGATCTTGCGTGGTGGGTGGTTTGCTTTCGGGCCTTCCAGTTTGCTCAGTTCCTCCGCGCGCCACGTGAGAGGGATATCTTCTTCCGAGTCGATAGTGTTTACAGAGCATGCAATATTGCCACACATGCTGTTTGCATCATTCCAGAAGGGACATTCTTTATTGAAGAGGTTGAGGCGATAATATGAGAAGAAGTCCGTGTCTTGCGTGATAGAGTTGAGGGTTGTGGAAATCATGTCATTAATACCGTCGATGGAGCCGTAGGATACACAAGCGTCTGATACCATGGCCGAAGGCTCGAGCTGGAGAGAAGAGCAGTTAGTTATCTGGTCCGGCCTTCCGGCGCGCTTGTCTTGACTTACAGCACACTTGGTTGGATCCAACGGAGTGCCATTATGGCTGGCATTACTTAGGCCCCCAAATGCAAATACGGCTGCATAGAACAGCCTCGCCGCAGGTCGCATGTTGCCCGCCAACTTATGATAACTGAATGAGCCAAGTCACTGTATAGGCGAGGTGGCGCAGAGCCCGCGGAGGTTCAACCGGCTATTGGATCGTTAGGTTTGGTCGCAAAAAGCACAATCAGAGAGAATGTAAGGCGATTGCAAAAAGAGGAAGAACAAAGAATGTCGGGGTCACAAAGAAAAATAGTGGACAAGCTGGCCTCGAATGTGAAGATCGGCCGATCGCCAAGCAATGACAATGGCCTGACGGTGGAGGCTTTTGATTGGCCAGTATTTATGGGTCTCTGGAATTGAGCCTCGTTAACTCCGCGATGTATATGTTACTCTTGTTACTCTGGTGGTGCCACTGCGTGATCTGACAATTCTCGTGTAGTAAGTTTTTCGGTATACTAGCCAGATTCGTGATATACATGTTGGCTCCTCCAGTCTTCGTTCATTAGTCCGGCTATTATAGAGGATACGTGTTTATAGCCCCAACGAGTATAGCCTGAGGATCATAGCCAATTTTACTTTGCAAATGATTACAAATCTGGCCACCTTGCAAACCACCTAGGCAGATAGGCAATATATACACGTCCTTAGTAAGCATAAGCCTTAGCCTCCCCCAAAGCCCGCCGCTTCCTATTAGCAAAAACATAATAAAGATGCAACAAAACACATCCAACACAAACAAATAGTAACAAAGCTGCATTAGTCCAATGACCGGTAGGATACCCAAGGGCCTTCTCATTAGCCTTATAAATCCAAACCCCGACAATCTGCCCCGGGGCCCCGAAAGAGATATTCAACGCAATAGCGAGTCCAGCTGCACCGGTGGAATCAATGTTAGACGACAGCCAGCCAAGAAGAGGCGGTATACAAGAAAACGCCCCGCTGGATGCCACGATCAGGCAACCGTACCGATGCTGAACAAATCGTTAGTGCAGATCATGTCGCAAGGGGCTGAGAACGTACTAAGTATGCATCCACTGGGAGAACGGCTGATGCCAAGAAACCCATTGCGCCGATAAATGAGAATGTAGCAGAGTGTAGGCCACGACTGCATTGCATGGATCTGGTTAGAGCGGCTAAAACGGTAAAGGGGGTCATTGTTCGAGTAAATGGACATACGCGTTGAAGTGATCCGCTGACCATGAAACTGCAAGTGTGACCACATATGCAACTGCATAGGGTGGGACTGTCATTAGTTGAGCTTGGAGATTTTCATATCCCAGACCAGCCGTGATGGATGGTGTAAAAAGGGATAGACTGGAGAAGGGAGTCGAAATGCCGAAATAGATCTGTTCTGAATTAGCTCTTGTTCAAAGTCCTAGACCATGATGGGAAACATACAGCATAATGCCCGCACAACCGCCAATCCGTAAGAACACTCTTGATATCAGCCCACGTCATGGCAGCCGCATTCCCCTTGGACCCTTCATCCTCCAGCCTCTCTTTCGCCAATTCCCGCTCCTCATCGGTCAACCAAGCCACTGTCTCTGGATAATCGGGTAAAGTAAACCAGACAAGGATAGCAGAAGCACAAGATGGTGCACCTTCAACGATAAACAGCCATCGCCAGGCTGATAGTCCCTGTGCGCCATTCATAAATCCCACACCGTAGGCAATGGCTCCGCCGAAGGCACCGGCCAGTGTGGCAGATGCTAGGATGAGTGCAACGCGGAGGGACCGTTCGGAAACTCGATACCAGAATGTGAGATAGTATACCAATCCCGGAAATAGACCTGCTTCGATTACTCCTAGGAGGAATCGGATGCCGGTTACTTGGCCGAAATTGTGGGCTCCGCCTAGGCCTATTGTTATTGCGCCCCAGGAAAACATGAGGAACGCGATCCATCGCTGTGTTATATTAGTTGTCCGTGTCTCCTTTTTTGGGGTGGAAATGACCAACACTTGGCTTCAGCTTTTTTAGTAGATAGTTTGAGGGAACTTCGAAGATGGCGTATGCAATCAGGAATACCATTAGCGCGATACTAATATATGTCAGTCCTTTTCTTGTTATAGCACATATCCCTCAGGGCTTGGGCGCACATGTATTGATAATTGGACATTTTTGTCTCGGTGAGAAGGTCGTTGCCTTCACTTTCATTGAGAACCTTCGCATTTCCTGGAGCAGAACGTCAGTATAAGGAGCGAAATAAAAGTATAGCAAAAAAATAAATACCGATATTAGACCGATCCAAGTAGCACAGCAGGTAAATGAATGCAGACAAAGGTAGAATCCTCAAGTCCTGCTTCCGCACCAGTGCTTTCACGGCATTTTCGTCATACTCAGGCTCGCCATCTGAACTAGCTGATCCTGTCTGAGCGCAAATATTAGAATGTCAACAGTAGCAAGATAGAGGGTAGTTAAAGTACTGCTCGCTCGACATCCTCTATACTTTCACCCTGGGTCATTGGCTTTTCAGTCAACATTGGGTCCAGATATATTTTCGAATTCGATCCAACTGAACCGGGATCGCGGGGAAACCAAAATCTGGGGACGGTGGGCATATTTTAAATGCGTTTGAGCCGACTAGCAAATAACCCACTGTGATATTGCACAAATCACAGAGAAGATATTCACATAGATCGGCGTCGGCCTCCGACGCCGATAGCGGACCCCCACACTCAACAATGCGGGGAGCGTCGAGGTCGATTCTGGGGTGCAGAAGTGACATCCTTGCACAACAAGAAACCAATGGACCAAGGAAACTAGAGTATATCAAAACCTCAGCCTTCGGCATGAACACACAAGCCTGTGACCGCTGCCGGCGTCGCAAGTCCCGATGCGACAAGATCTCACCCTCATGTGGGCCTTGCCGAAAAGTCGGCACAATATGCAAGTATGTCGACCGGGCCAAAGACCGACGGGAGTTGGTCGAGAGACTCCAGCGTCGGCTGAAGCAGGCCGAAGCCAATAATTCTAGTTTGGCTGCTCGACTGGCGCACTCGGAGTTAGGAACATCACCCCAGACGGAGGTCGGACGGGCGTCCGAACCGAGCGCGGATCCTGACGTTGGTCAATCTGCCGAAGAGGGAGAAGAAGAAAGAGATCGTGGAGATGAGGTTATGGAGGAGGTATCGTTCCTCTCACGCCGTGCGGGAGGAGAGCATCATTTTCTGGGCTCGGCTAGTGGGATACCTTTTGCGAATTTAGTCAGTACGACTGTTGAAGTGACATCTAGGAGTCCTCAGAAAGAGAGACTGCCGTGTAGGCCTAATGGTGTCCCATCGGCTCCGACATCTTCGGCTCTCCCGTTTGATGCCTCTTTCCTTCCTCCGGAAAGGGTTGCTCGCGACCTTCACCACGCATACTTTGAGAATGATCATCTTTCATACCCCTTTCTTCATCGAGGTACTGCATTGGATGCGTTGAACAGGGCCTACAAGGATCCGTTATGTCTGGAACAAGACGTGTTTGCAGGATTTGCCTTCGATATGATCTTAGCCATCGCAACTGCTAGCGTGCACAAATTCGACTTGGAATCGTTGCCCAACGCTGAAGGCTACCAGCTAAGGGCAGCACAGCGGCTAAATGAGGTCCTACAAAGAGGCAATATCCAGGCTCTCCAAGCTATTCTATTGCTGGGACAATATCGCATGATCAATTCTATCCAGGATACCTCAAGCAGTATGTGGCATATTGTTGGAATTGCTTCAAGGATGTGTTTGGAAATGGGTCTGCACCGCGAACAAGTCTATCGAGCACAAAAAGGGAATGTGGAGAGTATCTCTTCACAGCAACTTGTGGCATATGAAATACGTCGCCGTTGCTTTTGGTGTGTTGTTGCCATGGATAGGTGAGATGAATCGCAATTTCTCGGTGTGCCTCTGTTAACGTGACCACTAGAGTCGTGAGCATAACACTAGGAAGGCCTCTTGCAATACACCTCCAAGATACAGACGTTTCCCTCCCAGATCCGAGCCTGGACGCTACCGTAAATCATTGCGAGTCCGACACAGATCAGCTAGCACCGACCTTCTGCAGAACAGCTCTGTTCGTACATATCGTACGGTATCGCATAATCTGCGGCGATATATTGTCCGCTCTTCACAACGGGTCCACTCGAACCCAGACAGACGAAGCACCGGCCCTCTCAGCACGAGACAGACTTGCCAACGAGTTAGCTACCTGGCGTCGCGATACAGCGAGCCTTGCTCTCTCAGATGTCGATCTTTCGAGCACACTACCAGGCGACAGATCCAGCTTTCGAACGCGGGAATGGTACGAGATGCTCTATCACAATGCCCTTTTGATGTTATACAGACCATCACCAGGTCTTTCATCAGCATCGTCGCGAGATGCAGTAGTCCTACAGACTATATTCATTGCAGCCAAGCAAGCAATAACACTTTATGCTCATCTCCACCGGTCTCGGCGAATTAATTACACATGGATCACACTGCACTCGGTCTTCATGGCTGGTCTTTCATATGTCTACGCAGTGGGTCGACATTTTCGCTCCCATAAAAGGAACATATCCACATCTACGCCAACAGCACTGCTCGATAACGATCCCACGATTATCGAGATTGTGAATGATTCAAGAGCATGTTCAAATGTTTTAGTCGCCATATCGGAGCGATGGAACGTGACGAAAAATTGCCATGATGTTTTTAATCGTCTCAGTGATGCAGTGTTGTCTGACGCTGTAGAGTATCACACCAAAGGCTCTGAACCTACGAGAAACGTGTTACCTGATGCATCGCATGGCTCAATTTCGGTTGGTGTCGCTGGTAATTCCCAAATTAATTACTGGCCCATTGATGAGACAGGTCCAGCATCGCTTGCGGTGGATTCTGTTCTGCATGAGTGTTTTGACGACTTACAACGCTTCCAACCATATGGCTGTGGAGATGATCCCGTTGGACAATTATCGCATGACTGGCTCGGAGAGATTGGGGGCATTGGATTGAATAATATGCCTTCCATATGGTAATATCAAAGCCGAATATAATCAGCCATTGAATAATTCTGATCCGGCCTATCCGGTCACAATAGATTGCTTAGAACATAGCCGAAATGAATAAGTTACCTCGTATGGTTCTCCCCCACTCCCCACATCGCGGGATTCCCCAGCTTCGGCGAGCGGCTCCGTTGTCCGATTCCTGTCTTACTACCACTGCTGATCTTCAGCAAATGTAGAATTAGATTACCGTGGTTTAGCCGCGAGGGGCTGGACTCTGCAGCATAAAAGGGTGCCCTTCTCTTCAGGATAAAAGATATGGCTGAAAATACTGCTAAAGATGAGAATACAGACTTCCAACAACGTAGCTATCGCTGCATTATTTGGAGCTTCGGCTCTTGCAGTAGATCCTTGTACCCATGTACCAGCACTGGCAAAACAAATCGCCGGAATAAGTGTGACATCGGCGTCGTGGACCTTGAAAAATGAACTGGCCGTCTCAGGTTGGAGTACGGATGCAGCGCTCCCGAATCAATATGCGTTCTGTCGAGTGAAGGGCCACATTGAATATAGTGGCAACAACTCGCTTGCGTTTGAATTGTGGCTACCCGAGCAGGATTCATATAATGAAAGATATCTTGTTGCTGGTAAGGTAAAGCATCCTGTTCGGAGCAAGAACCAGACTGATTTCACACGAACAGGAAATGGAGGCCTTGCGGGAACGATTGATACATCTGCTATGATCTTGAATCTCAACCGAGGTTATGCGGTGGCAGCGTATGTGAATTTATTCTGATCAAGGAGACTTCTACTGATATTCATGAATTTTGATTCTAACCTGAATCACAGAGGAGATTCCGGCCACGATGTCGCTCTGAACGGCAACGGCACTACTCAACCAGGACAATATATCTCTTTCTTGAATAGCCCAGCCCAGACAAAGGCTTGGATTCATAACTCTATCGCCATGTTGACACCGCCGACTCGGGAGCTGTCCGCCTTATACTACGGATCGAAGCCAAGTTTCAGTTATTTCAGTGGATGTTCAACCGGTGGAGCCCAAGGATTTGCACTCGCACAATTGCACCCTGACCTCTTCGATGGAATCTATGCTGGCAGTCCTGGGAACTGGTATTCACATTTGATACTTTCATTTTTGTGGAACGCCAAACACACAAAGGTATGAGTAACTTGGGAAGAAAAGTTGCCTGGCATATCCTTCATTGAAAATCATGCTAATTTCTCCCAGGGCGATGCATTCCTAAACCAATCCGTTCTAAACTTTACCACAAATGCAATCCTAGCAAAATGTGACGGCCTTGATGGCGTTGTCGATGGACTTATCGAAAATCCACTCAATTGCCCATTCAATATCCGCTCGCTGGCATGTCCAGATTCATCCAAGGCATCCAGGACTAATGTGACATGTCTGACTCAACCCCAAATCAAAGCCATCGAAGCCATCTACGCAGGTCCCACAGACAGCCGTAACGGGGATGTAATCTACCCGGGTTACACGCTCGGAAGCGAAAAGGAGTGGCTCCTCCAGGAAACGTCCTTGTATCTGAACTACAGCACTCCAATCCTGCAAAACCTGGTCTTCAACAATGTGTCATTTGACGTCAGCCAGTTTGATTTCGGAGCGGATGTTGATAAAGTTGATGCTATTGCCAGTCCACTCATTGATGGCATTAGTACGGACTTGAGTGCTTTCAGAAAACGGGGTGGGAAGATGATTGTCACGCAAGGCGAGTCATCATACATAATCAACTAATGGCAAAACTAATATACTGAGCAATAGGCTGGACGGATCCTTACAATGGTGCCATTTGGCCCATTATGCATCTTGGGCAATTGCAGAATACCACAGCAAATGGAAACGTGTCCGAATTTTTCAATCTGTTTATGATTCCCGGTATGTCCAAATTCACAAAGGGTTTTCATTCCATGTTAACGCTAACGTCACTTTCCCGAACATAGGTGGTGGGCACTGTGGACCGGCATCATCTTTTCCCTCCGCACCGTCTACATACGATACCGACGATGCACTCCGAGCCTGGGTGGAGAATGACACATTCCCTGAGTCGATACTAACGTCTCGACCTTTGGATGGATCGAACCGCACCAGGAAGATTTGCCCATGGCCTCAAAATGCTCGCCTGAAGAGCCCTAGTGCCGGTTCTGATAATGCTGAAAGCTTTGTGTGTGCTTAGCTTGAGATAACTGGATTACTTGGACAGTCGCAGCAGATCCACGCGCCCCGAAGCGAGCATATAATCTGATGTGTTATTTTCGCTTTATTTTATCTATATGTTTATCTATTCTTTGTCCGTTGTCTACCAGTAATGTAAAGGCTGTTAATTGTACTCTGACGCACATTTAAGGACCGCCGCTGCAGAAACCTATGTGCATCGAAATTGTTACGATCTTTTCCCAGGAACAGGGAAGTAGACAAGTTGACCCAGGGACATGAGGTGTGGCTTGCATTCTTGGCGTCGCGCAGGGTCATGAGTTCCGAGATCGTAGATGAGCGTATCTAGTTGATAAAAGAAGTCAGCGAGGTCCTGCCGTAAGCCCGTGGTGGCGTTGCTTTCCGCCATACTGTACGTAGATAAATTTTAACTTACAGGGTTTGTTTGGTGTGTGGTGGATATTGGTAACAATGAGAAGTTAAGGGTAAGTAAAAAAGTAATTTTCGTGTATAGAGGGAGAGATATGTGCAACGAGTCATTAAGCTATTGTACCTGGACATCGATTGACCAATCCAAGAGAGTTATCTACATTATTATTCAGTCGCTTCGTTACTTGGCAAAAGTCTGCCCGATTAACATACAAGGCAACAAACAACGAAGCGATGAACATAGACAGTGGTAATTGTCTATCTTCTGCTATTCTTGGTACTCGACAAATGGTATCTCGACAACGGTGCAAAAATACTCACAAAATAACAATTCCACAAAGGACACACTTCTTTTGGCGGATAAGGTGTTTTCCTCCAACCGAAACCTCGCATTTTTTGTTTAATCGGACCAAAAAAAGCACCGAGAAAAAGGCAAACATACTGCAGGTCATACATCATGATCCATCTCTTCGTTGCCGGACAAGGGCCCGAGCTGCGGCCAACTGGCGAGGACTATGAACTCAGAGTCTTCGTAATAATGACCTTCAACCCTCCTTTCTCCTTAGGAATTCCAAAGCCAAACTCCCTGTAAGTAACAATATGCTCGGGTCCAGTCTTGTACAAATCCATATCAAATCGCCGGACCAATGCAGAAATAACGAGGTACAGCTCCGCCAAAGCCAAACTAAAGTAAACGAAGTTAGCGGCAGGCTTCAACTGAACAGGTTAGTCAGTATCTTACTTGTTACCCAGGCATTGTCTAGATCCTTTAATAAAGGCGGCAATCATAGGTTCAAGACGCTGTCCGGCTTCCTGAGCACGAATCCATCGCTCAGGATCGAAGGTATACGGATCGGGGAACAGCTCTGTGTTCATGTGCATAAACCAGGATGATGTGCTCAGAAGTGTCTTTTGAATTAAAGTATATTAGCCGAGGTGATTTTGTAATTTTCGACTCATGGGTGATTCCTTACATTCGCTGGGATTGTCCACTCATTCAACTGCAATGCTTCATCTGGAGCACGTCGTGGAAGTCGAGTTATAACACCGGAAAGACGAAGTCCCTCGTTCATCACTCCTCTCTAAATTTGAGCTTCACCGGTTAGCAAGTCCCTTGTCCCCAGATCCTAGACCGAATAACTTACCATGTAGGGTAGTTTTTCGAGCTCGGCCCATGTATCGCATGAATTCTGCGCAAGCTCCTCACGAAGCTTTGACAGCAAAGACTTGTTGTGCAGCAAGTTGAACATGATAATTTTCAGGGTTCCTGTGGTGGTCTCGGTACCTCCGCCGATCAATGAGAAACCCTCGTCCTGTAGCCGATCGAGAGTCCGCTCTTCTGCAGGCAGCGAAGGATCGCACAGAGCTCCAAACATTGTGTTCTTACCCTTGACGTGGCCTCCATTTTTCAGTGCAACTGCTGCTTGTGCACGAACCAACTTCTGCAAGCGCAAGATTTTTGAAGCCTCCGGAGAAAGAGTTTCAACAACACTGTCCGGGATGATTTTCGAAAGAGACAAAATGAAAGGGAAAAACTTCAAGACATGAACAGAAGACGCAAGACTCAAAATTGACTCTGCAACCTCATTCTTGAAATTGGGATCATCCAAATAGTCAAGACTGACACCATATGCAAACTCCGAAATGATATCAGCAGTCAGAGCCGACGATGCAGAGTCCAGGGGGACAACGGTGCCTTGCTCGCATGCAGTGGCTAACCGTCCCATAAGTTTCTCAACCTTGCCTTGGATCATGGTCTCTAGACCGGTGATAGACTTCTTAGAAAAGAAGCTACTGAGAATAGCCCGCCGAGACGCGTGCAAGTTGTGGTCGACAGTTGCAAACATAGAAGTCGGCTGTCCTGCCAACCGAACCATTCTTGGATCCTTCTCGCGCTTCCTGGTAGGACCAGCATAAATTTCCGTATAGAAATAGGGATCTGAAACATGAAGCTCATGAGGAGTAATGCGCACAATTGGACCTTTCAAAACCTTTAGTCGCTGCTTTCAGAATTTCTATATCATGATGTTCGTACCATACTTCCGGTGCATTTCCTCTATCTCGAACAGATACCGACCGCCTTGGATCACATTGTAATAGAACTCATACAAGGTCGATGCCGCAGCTAGTTTTGGCCCCGGGAACTTGCTTAGAGGATGAAAGTACAGCCTGTATACTACCACGCCGCAAACATAGAGAAGAACAGCGCAAAGCGGAAGCAACATCGCGAGGGTGGTATGACGTTAGGGAGTCGTGGAGGGGCGGGAAACAAAGAAACGCCTTCCCATGTAACTAAGGAGGTGTTCATGTATAAGTCCAGAATGAGCAATCTGCCAATCGGACCGGGGCTTACCGGGACTCTATGCAGATCCCTTATCGAATGAAAACACACATATTGCTACGTGGCATCACTCCCAAAATGCCGCTAAAAAGTTAGACGCGGCAGAATTTCTGTCTTCGGAATCCATTTAAATGTGCCCCGACGCTACTCTGTATAGTTACATTACCGGGTTTGCAACCATGCGAGTAGGGGTTAGGGGTATGTCCGGGGTCAAGTCCACCTGAACATGTTCTGCGGAAAATTAGTAAGACATTAACTTTATTAATAGATGATCTTCAGTCCTTAAATTCATACCTCACGAACAATGATTTTCACATGGAGCGACAATGCCAAGTCAAGCGATATTAAAACCGGAAGGGTACTATACACGGCTCGCTACGGTCGCAATTCATTTACTTCGCTCCACTCTCGACGACCCCATCAAGCTGCATATTCAGTTCTTTGTCTCATTCCAGACCGTCATCTCCGAATCTCCCGTTCGGTTATGCACAAATCATATCAGAAGCGTGGAAGGAGTGGGCCGTCTCACGAAAGTACCTTTGCGCCCCTCGCATGGCGTGATAAAGTACCATGCGGCCGAACGTCCTGTACATTTTATTGCATGTCTGCGTTTAACCTTGGCGCGGTGCATATGTGATACCTTTTCCATGCGTCTAGAAGGCTGAAATAGGTACTAGAAGGTGATATATGCCAAAATCTGCGAACTACAATATGGCTTCTGTTGCCCCGCACTAAAAACTTGAGATTGTGGAGATTCTTGGCAAATTTTAAACCTGGCTTGTAGTTACAAAAGTTTATGCTTGTTAACCCTGAAATGTCCAAGTGGCAAAGAAAACCCTGCAATTGGATCTGCATTGAAACAATGAGAGGCAAGTGGGCTCGAATTTGAGACAGACACGTATTTGTAGAAACAAATTAAACAGGGATCGGAGGAAAGCGTCATTTAGGTTTGTATAGAGTACGAGTCATGCGCTATGAACGTTATTTTATGATATGTCCATATGGAGCCAATGGGTTTGGCCCTTGCATGAAAGCATGAAAGTGTTCGGGATTGTGGCGCTCGTAGGATGCTAGGCTACCGCACACAGTCCATTCTTTGTATGCAAAAAGGTACCAATGAGGAAGGAAACTGCTTGCTCCGGACATCGCTCTCGCCATGCGGATTATCGCCGAGTATCAGTCTGAGTTAGCGCGGTTTTGGAGCGCGGGATGTGCCATAAGCGATACGGTGTAGTATTTATAGTCCCAAATCCCCACCTAAACGCCGAGGGTGCATTGTGTAACCCTGTGCTCTTCGATATCCACGAGACCACATGTGCATAACTTGTATCGATTTTATCAAGCAAAATGGTCAAAGGGTACGCCGTGCCGCTAGATCCTGAGATCTATGCCGCCGATCCAGGATACACCTCACTTTTTGACCCTTACATTCACAAGAAAACGGAAATAGCCGACCATGCTTCAGTCCAATGCCACATTGACTTGCACGGAGTTGATGGCGTTGGGTCCAAGTTCGGCAATCTCAATGCACATGCTGGAAATTTCACTTCTTTGTGTGCGCCAAACTGTCTACCTGAAAGACTGGCTCTTGTAGCATACACCGTTGAATATGCATTCCTCCATGATGGTAAGTGAGCAAGTCAATCGGACGAATTTTGTTACTGACACTCGGAAACAGACGAAACCGATAATGCGGCAGATCATGATGCCGTATGAAAATTTGCATTTGAATTTATGAGCGAAGAAAAGGCTAACTCAATTCTCAGCTACTGCACGAAAATCAAATGCTTCATCAGGCACTTACCCAGAGTGGCATGGCGTCTGTTTCAAGCAGAGTCTCGGAAAAAGCACAACGCAAGTCCGAAGTCCAAGCAAAGATTGCAGCTGAATATCTGCGTCTGGATCCCGTCTTTGGTGACTGGTTTATTTCACGATGGGAGACATTTACCAAGTCAGTGGAGGATGTCAGGATTGCCCAATTTGCCAGTCTGGATGATTACCTCGCATTCCGAATTGTCGATGCTGCAGCAGAGTATGATTGCCCGGTATCATCAAACGCAAACACGCACGATATTCTGACCGATTAACAGCTGGACACTTTATAATTTTCGATGGGGCTCAGGAATCTCCCTCACTGAAGAAGAAGAGAAAATCGCCGACCCCATGAGCTACATGGCATATGCCGAGCTATGTCTCGTGAATGACTTGTTCTCATGGGACAAAGAATACGCATCTCACCTCAAAAGCAGCGGAGACGTTCCTTTGGTCAATGCTGTCCATATTGTCGCGGTTAATCAGGGTCTAACGCATTCCGCTGCGAAGGCAGTAGTGATGGCCGAGATTCGAGCACACGAGGAAAGGTTTTGTCACTTGAAAGAGCAGTACAAGTCTACTTCGAACCCGTCAAGATCAGTGCTTGACTGGTTGACTTTGCTGGAACACTCAATGGCTGGTAATTGGGTTTGGAGTCTCCGCGTTCCACGCTACTGGAAGACTGAACGGAACCCATACAAAGATCATCTCGAGACTTTTGGCATTAACAACGTCAGAGTCCTCGCACCGCCAGAGCAATTTTTCGATTCCAACACAGATACCAAAAGCACCACCCAGGTTCGGGCGGTCGACCTTAAAAAGCAAAGTAAGTACAGCCTGGCTATTACCATCGTTAAGAAAACCAAGATGCTAATGATATTCGATAAATAGCAGTTGAGGATGACGCATTGATGATCTTCGCATCAAATGGATTGTCAGTCAACGAGGTTAGTATTCAGTTCCAAGATAATCGAAAGCTGTGAAGGGGAAACTAATCGCTGGTTCATCAGCCCGTTTTGGACCCTTACACTTATATCAACTCACTTCCGTCGAAGAACGTGAGACAAACATTGATTTCCGCTCTGAACACATGGTACAGAGTGCCCGAGAAATCCCTCTTGATAATTGAAGGCGCAATCAATTTCCTGCACAACTCGTCGTTATTGTGAGCCAAGATTATCTATCATAGATATATATCAGCTTGCTAACCGCCATTTAGGCTTGATGATATTCAGGATGGCAGCTCTTTGAGACGTGGCAAGCCTGTTGCGCACCACATCTTCGGTATCGGCCAGACAATCAACACTGCCACATACTTGATGAATGAAGCCTTGTGTCTCGTGCATATGCTTTCGAGGACTGCTGTCTCTGTCTACTCAGGTATGTCTACAGCAATTTACGAGCTACTTAGGTCCGTTGATTAACCAATATCAGAGGAAATGCGTCACCTTCAACTTGGACAGGGACGTGATTTGCACTGGAGCTACCACACTCACGTACCTACCGCATCACAATATATTGGCATGGTCGACGGCAGTAAGTAGATTTCGCTTACTTTTAGTGAATGAGTTTCTGACATGATAACAGAGACTGGTGGCCTATTCCGTCTTATAAGCCGTCTGATGAAGTCAGAGGCTACAGTGAATCGGTATTCGAACCTGATCATAATACAAAGAAAAGAAAATGGCTGACACAGTTACAGTGATCTTGATCTGGGTCATTTGACTACCTTACTTGGAAGGTATTTCCAGATCCGCGATGATTACCAGAATCTCCGAAGCGCCGATGTAATACATCCCCACCCTAATCTACCTCCAGATATATCTGAGCTAACACGCCATAGTACACCGTACAAAAGGGCTTCTGCGATGATCTCGATGAAGGGAAACTGTCATTCCCCATAATCCTGTCCATGCAAATGCCAGGATTCTCCAACACCGCGCTCACAAGCATCTTCAGAAGCTGCCAACATGGCCAAACCCTGTCGCCACAAATGAAGCAATATATCCTCGAGGAAATCACTGCCCGAGGCGCATTCTCACAAACAAGAACTGTCTTGAAGAGATTGCATACCGAACTGCTTCGTCTACTGATAGAGACGGAAAGAGAAGCTGGCGAAAGAGAGAACTGGACACTTCGATTGCTAATCATGAAACTTGAGATCAACGACGAGGAGGAGAAGAATGAAAAAAAGACAATTAGTGATTCCGAGTACGCTTGGAAGAATAATCAGCGACTCGGCTGGGAAGGTACTCAGGTGAATGGACGTCCTATTGCTAAGGCTTGCTTCCTCAGAGCTCTGGAAGCTTCTTGAGTATTGAAGCAATGGACGCAACACGTCGTTGGATTATCTGCGTTCAGGCATGATATGAATACGACAATGATTACGACTAACGATCTTTGCAAGCATGCGTGAAATTGTTTATTAGAGATGATTTTTACATATTATCATAAAGGCCAGTGCGATTTCAAAGATTCTTGCAACTCTTGTACGATATGTTCGCGTTGAAAGTCCCCATTCGTTCCTCCGTACCGTTTACGAATCATTTGAGCAAAAGGAATTATAAAATTTGGAAAAGATTTCCCGTCTGTACATCGCTTGCATGTGTATTGGTTTGCTTCTCTATGCCTTCTCCTGGCCAGATTTAACCTTGGTGAAAAATTTCCTTGGGTTTCCGCCTGCCAGCTCCATGATATCCTGCTATTGAGCCGATGAATATATTTATTCATCACGGCGTCTGACCAAGTTAGTTGTTTTATATCCTTGGAATGGGGCTTTCTCGCTCTTGTGAATCGATTCGATCACGACACGCCAGTATGTACTAGGCAAAGCTGACGGCAGCTGGGAGTATCTGCTGGACACCCGTGTCTGGCTGTCAATAAGACAAGCACTCGCCTCATTTTTAACATACTGGTAAGAGCCATTTGAGCTCCGGGTCTTTAACATAGTGGATATGGAACATTATTATTTCTCGGACCCAGTTTTTTTCCCGTCAATCATTATAGGTAACTTGCTTATGGATTTGTACTGATGTTCTACCTTTCTGTGCCCTAGAAGAGACACCAGAGAAAGAGGTTCTAAGGGACGGCGAGACCCACTTAGTACCACGGAGTCTTCCCGGCGAAAAAGGCATCTCGGAGTGATTTTCTGCTCCCGCCATATAAAACCAACCTGGAGTAGCGACGTTAGTATGTTCAAAAACGAGAGATTCGGATTCAATACCAGCTTTTCCGGTATCTTGGAAATCATCACTGATGCCACCAAAGTCGAGAATTTGGACATCGTATCCTCTTTACCAGGATAGACTACAGTTCTGCCCAACGGAAGCAACATGGCTACCTTCAAAATCTCAAGTGAAGTTGCGGAGCTTCTACCTACACTGCAAGTGGTAGTTGTGACTGCGAAAAGACTGGACAATCGCACAGTCAATCCAAGCATTGCTTTTCATGCCCAGGTAAGCACTTCACCCAGCAAAACATGTCTTGAATATAACATCTAACATACTCCAGGCCATTGTGGACAAAACAGTCGCCCATTTTGCCAGCAACAATTACATGAACGCCCAGTCACATCCCCGCGTGGCATTGTACCGCAACACGCTCAAAAAAGTTGCGAACGTCTCATCCAAGAAATACCCGCAATCCAATGAATCACTGCTGAAGCGCGTAATAAAGGAAAAGAAGGCTGGTCGGCCTATCTCACCTGTGGTAGACTTCTACAATAGCATCAGCATCGAACACGCCGTGTCAGCTGGAGCATTTGATCTCCCAGAGTTACGCGCTGTCAACGTGCCGCTGGAGCTCCGTCTCGCTTGTCCCGAGGACAAATTTGTTTCTCTGGATGCTGCCGCCGATGCGCAGCCAGGAAATGTGGACAAGGGGGAGATCTTGTATGCTCAAGGAGACATTGTTTTGACAAGGCATATGGCGTGGAGGCAGAGTAAGCAGGCTCTTGTGACAGACGAGAGCACTGAAGTCATGTTCATGAGTGAGGTGATCAATGAGGGAGAGATCGGAGCTGAACCGACAGAATTGTCTCGTGCCATTGCGAAATCGTTGCAAGATGGTCTTCGGGATTTCTTCGGTGTCGACAGCACGGTTGCATTTTTGGGTCAGAGTCTAGGGCAGTTGGAAATTGGGCTGTGAGATCCCTTGTATATGATCAGCCAACCAGTTTGGACTGTCATGTTTGGTTTGATGCAGCGAAGCAGCGTCCAAGGCTGATCGGTGAAATGATTGCACGAGATAAGAAAGTTCCGGTTGCTTGATTATTTTGATATTTCTTCTCAATTTTTGAACTCATGAGCTCTTGTTTCTTAATCTATGTTATATAGAGTGTTTTGCAAGGCCTCTGGTTTTTTGACCATTTTGCCGCCATTACTAGACAGTAGATAGTGGTCTAATTCGATTACTATATATATGTAATATGTGTTTTAGCCATATAAGAGGAACTCACCCCATGCAGGTCATAACATGTGTTAGAATACCATACTGTAGTTAGCTGATGGCTCTCAGGTTAGGCCCCCCATGTCCCCACAGTAGCCTTGGCTCACGGTACTCACCATTGTGCTCTTTATGACCAAGGCTGCTGTGCGCTACAAAATAGTCCCTCAATATCTATCATTAGTCAAAAAATCTGGGAATTAGCCTTGAAGACGAATGTGCCACGTCGAAATATACGCGATGATGTCATTCAGGTCAACGTTGTTTGTCTTGGCGTCCGCTTTGGGAAGTATGCAGCGCTACAATATGAGTTGATCGCCTCGATTTCTAAGCCCCAGTGCACTCCGTTGCCTTCCTAAGTTTCCATTATACATTTATAAGCAGCTCGGAGGCTGAGCTGACCCTGGACTGCGATCTGCGCTTATTTTGGACTGACACCGCCTTGTTGATTGACAAGTCGGCGCCGCGTGGAACTGTAAATGGAGTATTTGTGGATGATCACTTGGCCTACGTCCAAGGCGCTCGTATAAGTCCAAGGTTCATCAAATCTTTTCATTGTGGCCCCAAATATATCAAGATATAAGATGCGGTCCAGTGGACATTGGGTTAAACCAGAATCAATTCAATCTTCTGAAGCTCCTCATTCATACCTAAGCAGCAATCGACTGAAATACCTCCGTGATGCTTTTCCACAAAGCATTGATTGCATCCCTTCTGGGAGCTGCAGGTACCTCAGCAGCACGTATAGTTGCAACAGATGAAGTTCCCCTGATCGGGCCATCGTTCATCTCGAACTTCGATCCCTCTGGATCAGTCGCGATTCGAAAGGCTAGATCAGAGCTCCCCGGCCTAGTCGATAACCTCTTCAAAACCAATGTTCTCAATCGCACCGATTTGGCCATTTCTATTGATATCTTTTCGGCGGCAACCAACGATAGTCTTTACAGATATACGCACGTTGGAGGGAATTCAAAGAAGTCTCTGACTGCTGGGACCCTCAATGACAAGACTATATCCCGAACCGGAAGTGTGACGAAGCTTTTCACCGTCTATGCAATCCTCGCCAAGGCCGGTATAGAAGTGTTCAGCCATCCCGTTACGAAGTATCTGCCTGAGCTTGGGGGTAATTCTTCCAGTGATCCTTTGGAGAGAATCCGCTGGGAAGATATTACTGTTGGTGCCCTAGCATCTCAGCAGGCTGGCTCGGGGGGCATTGGTGGTTTGTATTTCTGTGATGCTTTTGTTCTCCCTGATCTAACTTATTTTCTAGACTTTTTCTTGAAGTATGCAAACCCGGATGACCCACTGAACTACTCGTCCGAAGGTGATTACCCAAATAATGTTCTTTGTTCTGCCTTGGCTAATTTCTTTCCCCCGTAGACTTCCTAAACTTCATGCGGGATGAAAAAGCGCCTGTTATTTCTCCATTCCGAAATGCTATCTATTCCGACGGCGGCTTTGCTGTTCTGGGTCAGGTCCTCGCGCGCATGACGGGGAAGACCTTCACAGAGGCAATCCAAGAGACTCTCTTTGACCCGCTGGACTTGGATAGCATGTCAACGAAGGTGCCAAAGGGCTCCGGCCTGAATGTCATCGATCGGTCCATCATCGATAAGAACTCATCATGGGGTCTCGACCTCGAAATCGTTGCTTCGTATGTTTCTCTTATCTTGGGAAGTAAGAGAAATAGCTAACAGCATGTTCACAGGACTGGGAGTATTTACGCCAACGGCGAAGACCTTCGTACTGCAGGACTTTCTATTTTGAACTCCGAGATCCTGTCCGCAGCCACAACATCAGAATGGATGAAGCCACGCAGTGGAACAGGCTCCTTAGTCGAGCTCGTCGGAGCACCGTGGGAGATCTCACGCCTCGAGATCCCCGTTACCCCAGGATCAAACCGCACCCGCATTTCAGATCTATACACCAAAGCCGGCGGTAACGGGGACTACACATGCATCTTCGCCCTGTCACCAGACCAAGGAATTGGATACTCAATCCTAGTTGCCGGTTCAACAGCTTCGTCAGCTCGCTGGCCCCTACGTGACATGGTTGGAGAGACGTTTATCCAAGCAGCCGAACACGCCGCAGTAGAGAATGCTAAGCGCAACCTTGCCGGAACATTCGTGGATGCGGCCTCTCCTGGTACAAATCTTACTCTGACTGTCGATAAGGGGCGTCCTGGCCTTGGACTGAAAGTATTCTGGGTCAAAGGCGTCAACGGAGTCGATAATGCGCACGTGCGCTTATATCCGACTGGACTTAACTCCTTTTCGAAGTCTCTTTCATCTCTGTATAAGAGTAAGGGTACGATGCGCGTTGCGCACCGTATGGTTGTGCCTGAGATTCCGTTAGAGCCTCGTGCTGCTGTTGAAGGTGGCAAGGGTGGCTTGTTTGATAATTCGTTTGCATGGATGAACCTTGATTTTGCTGGGCCATCTGATAAGTTCATTTTCAACTTGGTTGATGGAAGACTCGTCAGTGTTGAGATTCCACTTGCTGGATTGGTACTGAAGAGAGTGGACTAATTGCGTGTTATCTAATGTCTGGACTATAAAGGGACCAATCTTTCTATACAGCGCATTTATCTGGTGGTTCGTTCTACAACAGGGTCACACATGTTCACACAACGTTATGAAGTATTAGACAGTTTCTATACGAAAGCCTCGAAGCGAGTGTACCGTTTTCTGTCTTGTTTTCGCCCTACTTTGAACTCTCTTTCTTCACCTCTTTTTTTCTAACTTTGGTTCCTTCGTATTAATCATCTAGATCACGCAAAGGTGAGGCACATGAAACAACTTATGACACCCCTTGTATAACACAAATTCAAGCCGACAAGGCAAACTGATACTAGTCTTTAAATTCGACCAGATGGACGCCAGCTCAAAGGTTCAATTATTGTAGAAATATCTCTTCATTCGCGACTTTGCCTTTGACTTTGACTTTGATGTCCTTGTTCTGCGACAAGTCCGCACAAAAAGAGGAGGAGGAGCCTCTCTGGCCTCAATTTTCTGAGCAGCAACTCGGGGAAAAAAAAAAGAAACATACAACAGTAAGGATTCGCTAGTGGTCACCCACCTAACTACTAACTTACCGGCGTGTGGCTTAAGTACGGCTGAGCGGACGGGAAGCCCTGTTCTCCACACCCTATGGTCGTATGTACTTGTTCACAGATGCAAAATAATCATATAGGGGTCGACTGATATTGGTTATATAGATCAGTGTGGCTTATATACGGCTAGTAGTCGGGTGGGTGTCGCTAGGGTGAGTTTAGGGTGAGAGCCGCTTTATGGTCGCGCGACCAGGGTGATAAAGGGTGAGTGCCCTATAGATAAGGTGAGAATCACCCAGCCATGATACCCCACATTAGGGGAACACTCCGTAATATGCGGCTCCCACATTATCTTGCCTGTTCTTGGAACTGTGGTTGTGTTACGGCGCTAACGTCAAACCGAATTAGAACGTTTGACGAGGCCGTCAAGTCACGCGTACGGCTCGTTGTTCACTACCCAAAGCTCCAGAAAGCAGAGCGCCGGCGCATATGTTTAACTTTGTCAAGGGTTTGCGCAACACACACGTTCATTGAAGAGCTAGAAGAGCGCATTGAAGACCTAAGTGAACATGAACTGAATGGGCGAGGAACCAGAAATGCGATCCAAACAGCGACACTTCTGGCACAGTTCAGAGAGGAGCGCCTACGACATGACCATTTGACGGGAGTCATTGCTGTATCGGAGGAGTCAAGAAGTATTTGCGTGACAGGTTTGATCATGATGGTGAAGAGCTTGTTCGACAGCGCCAGATCCAATACATATGGTATAAACAATCTACAGTATATGATGCTGGATCAGCATAGATTGCCAGCATCATGATTATGGGAATTTTAGTTTTTCGATTATAAGTTAAGAACTAGTGAAATCATACTCTAGGAGCGAGTTATCACCTCTTATTGCACTGTTGACCACACCTTTCAGTAGTAGTAGGTTCATATAGTGAGGTAGTGTCATTCTTGGACCAGAATGTGAGGGCAAATATTCGGCCCCCAAATCTCGGGCGCCTTCTGACTTACGCTGGAACGCCTTAATCCCTCGGGGCAAACAAAATTAATCAGCCCCGCAAAATATTTCACTTGGCATTTGCACGTAGCTACTTAACGGAATAGCAGCGGCCGAGAAATAATGTTATTTTAGCTCTTTCTTCCTCCGTAAATATTCCATCGGTGCACCTGCTCTATATATCTAGCCTGCCTGACAACACTCGCTATGTTTACAAAGATTAAAACGGTACCCTGTGCAATCGAACGGGAAACGCTTCTCATCTCTCGATGGGCAGCTTAGCAAGAGCCTGGATGTAATTCAACACCGCGGACCTGGTGCGCGTGGCGAATGAGCGAGCGATGATGGCGACGCGCTCTTCAACTCAAAAGATCTCTCTCCCACTCAAAATACTGAACCCTCTTTGGATCTAGGCCACATTCGACTCTCTATCGTGGACCTCAGCGCTTAGACAAATCAGCCTTTTCACAACAATGCAAATGATGTTCAAACGGTCGTTAACAAGTAGCCAACTACACGCCCCGAATAAGCGCCGTAGAATGCGAGGATGCCCAACTGAACATGACGTTCGGCGCCATCTGCGGGCTGTGCTATTTGCGTCTCTCAGGAGCCAACCAACGTCTAGCCGCAGGAGACTCACCAGTTCATTACTGTGATTATCATCATCGGACAGCCAAGCTACCTAAAACATTCCGTACCATGTCCTCCCTTTTACGTATCATGTTAATGCCGAGGTGCTTGAAATGGATGGATGGAAGAAGTCGAGATGTGATGCCCCTTTAGTGCTAGCCGTGTGGGCAGACCCGCGATTTGTCATGAGAGCGCTTGTGAAAGCGATCAACGATAGTCTGAAGATCGCAACCATTATTGTGAAAATAATTTGCACGCTGAAAATGCTGTACGGTTAATTCTGAAACCAACTCAATCGCGCAAATTGAAGACTAGGCAGATGTGGATCTGTGAGGCTGTGCCTACTGTACTGCAGTACTTAACCTCGCTGTGTTTCGCCCATCTAATTGCAATTCTTCCGTTAAAACACTTGGAGAAAAAAATCGCTAGTATTTGCTATCATGAGTGGAATCAGTTGCCAGTCATGTCCAAGCCTGGAAGTCTCACAGTGGAGACAAGGTTGTGCCATCCCTGAGCACGGTAGATCAAGCTTACTGATTCTTTAGATGGATTTGAGCGACCGAGTCAGGTTTATCCCGAAGATCTCCAGAGCGCAAATTACACCGAAACCGCCCCAGCAGTCTCTGGTGAGCCTCGATTATGTGTCATGTTAGTCAAATCTTCGTTCTATATATTGCTTTACAAATTGCTAATGTCAACAGATTCGCAAGCGCAAATAAGATTCGGACCTGTCACCGATGCCGTAATGCATTGATCCAAACATTTCAGATGCCCGAGAAATGGTGGTCGGATTCATACGAAGCGTCCAACGGATATTTCGGTTGTGAAACAACCCGCCTAGCAAGTATTGTCACGGGGTTTAGTAAGTAACTACACCATCCCGAACCAGGTGTTTCTAACTAATGTAGATATATGGACATACTTCGAAACAAAACAGACGCGAGCTGATTTGAAATACGATTGGATCAAGCTTAACGTCTTCACCAGATGGGTTCCATCCACTAATCAGACGTTTCTGCTTCTTTTCGATGCGATAATGCCTGTTCGGAAGTCATTTCTCCAGACGCTATCAAAGCTAACTCTTTCTGGGTTGAGTATTCCATTTTGGCCTTACTCGCACGTGCTAGAGATTGTAGCCGATCTCCAAGAGTCCGCGGTTTGGGCTATCCGGAACCAAGTGAGGGCAATTGAAAAAAGCGCATTCCAGGTACAATCCCACCACCTGACTATAAGAGACTACATGAGATTGCCCGCCACGCCATACATGTTAGCGAGAGTCTGGATGTCTCGATACAGAATATTGAGAGTATTTTAAAACACTACAATCTCTACATAGCACCAAAACGGAGTGATTCATACTTCGGCGCAGACGAAGACATCTACAATCGAATAGAGTCCCTTCGAAGTTATATCGCAAATATGCGTCATCGCTCAACCTCCAACGAGAAACGGGTCCAGAACGAGATCCAGTTAGCGTTCAATACTGTCGCTCAGGCAAATGCGTCAACCTCTGTGGAAATAGGTCGTGCCGCACAGATCGACAGTTCGGCCATGAAGACTATTTCGTTTGTCACGCTAGCTTTTCTTCCGCCTACCTTTATTTCGTCTGTCTTCAGTATGTCGTTCTTCCAGTGTGGTGAGGACAATGGCTGGGGCATGTCAAACAAGTTCTGGCTTTATTGGGTGTTCGCCATTCCCACAACCATTGCTACGCTTGTAATTTGGCAGTACTGGCATAAACTCCTCCCCAGTTTACATCGTAACGAGCCAGTGATAGTTCCTGTGCTTAAGGAACATGCATGAATCTTCTCTTAGATTACTAGAATGTTTGTGTTGCTTAGTCCACTTGTACACTTCATCCCGGCCCTAACTTGAATAAACATTACAAATACGCTAAGACCCGAGACTATATAAATTATGCATGTCTTGCTGTAATATTGGGTATTTCTATTATAAGCTACACTTTCTGACGTACTTTAGAATTTGAGGCTATCTCCTACCTACCAAGTATCGATATCCCTAGCCTGGCTTTCTAACGTATAGACCCAATCAAATAAATGCTTATGAATGCATTGTTGATCGTCATCACACCCTCAGTGGCAACCTCACCAGGATGTACAGCAATAGTTATGACAAGAAGACCTTGCTCATCCAACCGGTGCTGGAGCTCCTTTGTGAATAACACGACGGCGGCCTTTGACACGGCGTAGCGGACCATATCGAACCAGAAGATGAATCTGCCAAGAAATCGCCATTGCCAGGGGTGTGAGGGAACCGGGTTGCTGAGGCAAGCGGCAGAGTCGAATTTGAACTTAAAGGTGTGCGGAAGCACGCTGACATGTGCGAGGGAACTGAGGTTTATGATCCTAACATCGGTTTCTTTTGCTTTCAGAGCATTCTTGAGCAGCGGCAAGACGCGATTGACAAAGAGGAAATGGCCCACATGGCTGAGAACGTCAAAATGGTGCCAAATCTGAGTGGGACTTCAACTTACTTGGCCGCCATATGTTGTTCCCAGATACGAGCTACAAGCTCAGTAGATGACGTCGGAACCGCAGCGTTATTAACTTGTAGAGGATAAATGTCAGGAGACGAGTAACACAACAAGGAAAAATCCTTAGGAACTTACTTAGGATATCCAGCTTTCTTTCCTTCTTTTTCAGTTCATGGGCAGCAGTATCGATACTCTTTAAATCGGTTAAGTCCAGCAATAGCCATTCAATATTGTTCGGGTTGATGTCTGGGTGCGTATTTTGGAGTTTCTCCTTTGTCTTTCGGGCTTGTGACTCAAATCGTGTTGTGAAGTATACCCTTGCTCCACGTCGTGCAGGGAGGTTAACCGTTGCGAAGCCAATTCCGCTGCTACAGGATGATGTCTATTAGAACGCACCGCTAGACTTCGTCGGGAGTGGCAAAGGCGACTGAGTATTCAAATGTTGGTTGGTAGTAGGCCTCATCTGTCTAGAATCTTGTTCAGCGGCAGTGCCTGGAAGCCGATACGTCGTTGTAGGCACGGGTCTATGAAGAGGCATGATAGGGACCTAGTGGGGATCTTATAAGACGTCTTTCGCTTTTGGGATTTGAAATCTGCTTGTAGCCCTACACCGAACCTATACATCTCGTGTGTCTCAATCTTCAGGCTCCAGATTGTTAGCTACTCGAGCTCTTAACATCAATTTGTTCAACCATGTCTTCTTCTGTCACCTTACCGCCAGGCTTCGCCTTCACCCAAAAGGTCCATAATGCTCCCTATCCAAGCATCTCACCGTTCCGCCCCGAGCTCTCCCAGGCAGGGAAGACGGTGCTCATCACGGGTGGCCACACGGGCATCGGTTATGCCATCGCACGGGCCTTTGCCCAGGCCAGCGCAAAAGCTGTCATCATCATCGGCCGGCGTGACAACTTGGTTGCTTCTGCTGCGTCATGTCTCTCATCCGAGTTCCCCTCGACTCAGACCTTAGGGCGCTGTTGCGACGTTGTCGACTTGGTGTCCGTCGATCGGTTATGGAAGGACCTAGCCAACGAAAGCATCTTCATTGACATTGTAGTACTTAATGCAGCTAAGCTCTCGGCACGGCCCATTCTCGACTTAGGCAGGGACACTGTGTGGGAAGAGTACATTATCAATGTGAGGACCCACCTCGACTTTATCGAGCGGTTGTACAAGCAGCCAGGTGCTGAAGGCCGTCAAAAAGTGAGCACAGACCAATACATTTCTATATATCCTCAAGACAGTTTGGTGCTGACGAAGGCTAACAGGCGCTTATCAATTTGGCTTCTGTTGCGATCCACGAGAGTAAACTCACCGGCGAGTACCCAAGCTATGGTGCCACCAAAAGCGCGGGGACAATGCTAGTGCAGCAGATCGCCAAGGATGTCCCTCCAGAAGAGCTTCAGATGGTCAGCTACCATCCGGGAGGCATTTTCACAGAGCTAGCAGAACATGCGGGTTTCGAGAAGGATGACCCGCGATGGGACGATGGTAAGTTATATGCACCACTGTGAAGATGTATGTAGTAGGTACTAATTTCAATGCTGAAAACTTGCCCGGGCAGTTCGCCGTGTGGGCTGCGTCTCCAGAGGCAAGGTTCCTGCATGGGAGATTTGTATGGGCGAAGTGGGATGTGACAGAACTGCTTGAAGGGCCTCTACGAAAGCGGATAAATGAGGATCACTCCTTTCTTAAGGTGGGGGTTGTGGGAATTCAGGAATGGGAGGCAACTCAGAGGCATCTCTAAATTGAAGCCATATGCGCTGGATTCAGTGATATTTTGGCTGCAAGCTGTCTCAATCGAACATCTTACTTTGAGTGCGCCTTGGGTTCAAGATAACTCCCATCATATCAAAATCCCTTTGGGGGTCATGAATTGTGTGAACATGAGTAAGAATGTCGGAAGTGCGCCAAGGTGCAACTAGCATCCTCATGGATATCAGATAAGGGGCGAAACTTACTCTGGTACTTGTCGTTTCTTTGCTAGAATTTGATAATTTACTGTTCTCATCACTGGCCGACTCGCTTGGTTCATATTCAAAAGCGTTCGGTTTTGAGGATTTATTCTGGAACGGGATGTAGAATCAGGATCTCGAAATCATGGCCATTATCTCCCCGTCGCCTCTCATTTGGCTTGTTGTGTTGGGCTACCGGACGACAGATGGGCCCAGTGTCGAAGGCACCTTAGAACTAGGCTAGTGAACGGGTAGTCTCTTATTTACAAGTATGCTGAACTTGTCTGCTCAATGTGGACAGAAAATTAGGTTCGTGTTAGCTATCATGCGAGCTTAGGCCTGCATTTCCTTCGTCGCATAATGCCATAATGTCTATACTTATAAATTGGCGATAAGGGTACTGTTTATCCAATGCGGGATATCTGAAAATAAAATAATCGAACCATGACTGGAACCTCTAACCGCTACAACTGGGGCCAGGTTGACTAGTGGGGACGAGTTACATACTCAAATAGAGTAGCACCGCAACAAAAATGGTTACCACTTCAACTTGTTGCTGGATTTACTTCCGTACAAGATGATGCAGTCTGGCTCTTCTGCGTCTTGCATAATGACTGCGGAGTTTGGATAGGACTAACTTTTGCTTCTCCGCCGAGCCAGTGGGAAACGAGACACTACGACGAATTCGGCCGGGTGTGGATCCCGGTCCACCATAAACTCCGCAGAGTTTCCCCACAGAGTTTGCATACTTTCACCGGGCAGCTCTTGACCAATCCTTACGTACCCCGAAGAGCTGCTTCTGTATCTCTGGCCTATCTCGGCAAGAATCAGAGAGATGATTTGAAATCATGTCATTTTGCCGGATACTTGTCGTTCCGGCCCTGAAGTCCTACGATCCGCGTGACAAATCACTATTTACTACCATGTTTGACATCCTGCGATCGGCCGACAATTCACCCGCGAATGCCATATAAACGGGAAGGCCTGCACGATTTTGGCACGAGACTCAGGACACTGTGGACTTTATTATCTCTTCTCCCATCAGATCATCATTCTAGTCAGTGTATACCACTAATTGCTAGTCGTTAGCAATGTTTTCTCCAGCCACCGACATCCCAGATCTATCTGGAAAGGTGTACATCGTGACCGGTGGAAACAGCGGAATGTGAGTGAAGAAAGATTAACAGTTTGTCAGATGATTAATCAGTTTAGAGGAAAATATACTGTGTTACATCTCGCACAGCAAAATGCCAAGGTCTATATGGGTGCGAGATCCCTTCAGAAGGCTAAAGCGGCGATTGAGGAAATCAAGACCAAAACACAAAGACCAGATCTAGACATATCTATTCTGAAGATGGATATGCTAGAATTGAGGTCTATCAAAAGTGCGGCAGGGGAGTTCCTAAGGTACGATCGCCAAAATTACCCATTACAATGTTGAGCTTGCTATCAAACAGATCCTAACTCTTACCTTGGACAGCAAGGAGAATCGGTTGCACGGCATGGTAAACAACGCAGGAATCATGGCAGTTGCAAATGGAATTTCCAAGGACGGGTTCGAATATCAGTGGCAAGTAAGACGTTCGATTTATCTGGGGGCCTTACTACTTACTAAATGTGTCTGACAGACAAATTATCTTTCACACTGGCTGCTCACCTTTCTCTTGACTCCTGTCATGGAACTGACTGCCACCACAGTGCCAGTTGGCACAGTCCGTATTGTCAATGTCTCTTCGTCAAATCACAAGATGGCGCCACCCCAAGGCATTGATTTCGAAAACATTAATCTCCAAGGGCCTGGCCCCAGCAGCAACCCTTGGGTAAGGTACGGCCAAAGCAAACTCGGAAACTACCTTCACGCTCTCTCACTTCATCAAAAGCTCAGTGAGAAGGGAATATGGACGGCGTCTCTACATCCTGGTATTGTAGACACGTAAGTACATTAACTGTCGATAGCGCCATATGCTAATATGTTTACGACCAGAAACCTAAGCACCAACATTGAAATGTTTGCAATCTCGATTCTATCCTCGAGACCTGTAATATGGCTATTGCGTAGAGTTGGCTTCATGCTAAGCACCGACCAAGGAAGCTGGACTCAGCTTTTTGCAATCGCAGGAAGAGATTTCGGCGCAGCACTATCAGGGAATTATCTTGAGCCCATAGCAAAGAAGGGCACTGTGAAAATGCCAAGGGGGTAACATCGGAGGATCTGCAAGACAGGCTGTGGAAATGGACAGAGAGTGAGATGAAAGCTAAGGGTTTTATCGATTGGTAAATGTGTACTTATCTTCGAGCAATCAGATTGATGTTCATGGTTTTGTTAGAGCACCTATTTGTGATGGTATTGTTATATCATCCTGATCCACACTACTTATGCATTAGCATTAGACGTGTATCTATATGTCGGCATTACTTAATACGAATACTACATGAAACCTGGTCTATAGATGATCCGACGGCATAGCTTATGTTTGTAACTAGAATGGACCTATAAATAGTGAGAAATAGGGGGTAAATGGAATATAGAGTCATTAATATCTCTAATTGGCCGGATATAGGAAATAGTGGTGACACTTATAAGCCCGGTGTTGCGCAGGACTACCGGGTTGTCGCTAAGTTAGAAGTATCTAGGTTATACTTGCCTAATGCTTCTCTACTTCTAACTTCGGTTCGGCAGACCTTTTGGTTGAGAACCCCAGTATGCGAACTGCAATATCTTTTTAACACCATCCGGCCACATAGGGGCCCGATTGCGTCTGACTCGCTCGATAATCTCGGTGGTCTGAGCTGACTCAGTGGTTTGCAATCAAGTTGAAGGCGACAAAATTATTACTGTGCAAGGACATTTTCGTTTAAGACACGCCATGCCAGGGGATAGAATCATTCAACTTAAGTGACCAATCAATGTGTGAAATAGTCCTTGAGGTCACTAGCAATGTGCATATCTGAAAACATCGTCTCCTTACCTCCAGTATAGAGCACACGATGGTTTGGTGATTTCCAAGCTAGATTTAGAGTCTCCACCATCTTATCTGGCAAGGGTTCTTTTTCTAGCTCGTCTAAGTTATGCTTTAGCTGAGTTAGAGAGCTGATTCGTATCACGACTCTATTATTGCTATCTTTGACCTTAAGCTAGCTGTAAGACTAGCTATCAAAAGGCAATCTCTAATAGCGTTAGACCTAGCCGGTCCGCGACCGGTTCGATAACCTTTAAGGCCCTAAAGTTAGCATCCCTAAAGTACCTCTCGCGATTGCACCGACTACTGGATTAGACGTTAAATATCGACCGCCGTTATCTAGGACCTCCTTACTTCTATATAGGCCTTGACATTTCCCGCGGGACTCCGACCATGGCACTGCCCATGGGACTCCTATGGGCCTGAATTTTGGTCCTAGTTATAAAGAACCTAAAGGGAAGGGCGTGGGGAGACGTTTTGTAGAATATAGACTAGTTTTCGGGTCTAATACCAATATTTTTGGAGAGTTTACTACTTAAGAAAGAGGGACGCCGTGATGTGCCACTATGCCCTCGAGAAACACAGAATGCATGCGACTGTACCGCACATCTAATAGGATCTACCATCTTTTGATTCACGATTTTCCTTATACTTCAGGCTCTCGGTAATACAACAGGGGTCATAAATCTGTTTTACAGTGCCACTTACGAAGTATTGGACAGTCTCGACCCGAAAGTCTCCGCACGAGCGAGTGCGGTTTCACGCATTGTTTTCGCCCTACTTTCGCCTCTCATTTTTCACCTCTTTTTGCTCATTTTAGAGTGCTTCGGGTTAATCATGGACATCATATAAAGGCATGGGTGTGAAAACCTATGGCCCAACTGTATGGGGAAAATAGGCCAACCCTAAATTTTTCATAGAATTGCTAGTAATATTTTGCTACAAACAGATGTTTCTTGCTAATGCCCATCATTCCGCCGTGGATATAAGACCAAAAGTCCATATAAATCTAGCAAGAAACTGCCAAAAAAACAAAAACATACAACAGTAAGGATTCGCTAGTGGTCACCCACCTAACTACTAACTTACCGGCGTGTGGCTTAAGTACGGCTGAGCGGACGGGAAGCCCTGTTCTCCACACCCTGTGGTCGTATGTGCTTGTTTAGATATTAAAAGGGAATATATAGAAAATTATAGAAACAGATTAAAGACGAGAATTATGCCAGGTAGAATCTGAAAGCGATCTGGTTCTCTCCTGCCTCATTTAAGATGTAGTTCATATTTCGCGATTCCATGAACCTTGAGACCACTTTCTCACCTGGTCTGGATTCGCGGTTTTGTGGGAAAATGCTGTTTGAGGATCATGCATGCAGAATGTGAAAGGAAGAGCTGGATTGCTCTGTGTTGAACAAATCACAACTCGCGGACTGCTTGATGTAGCCGTGGGTTAATATACCAAAAGACAAGTCATAGGTGAGAAATGATACATTTAGAGATGATATTAATAAAGCACGGGACAGGAATTTCAGACCGATGTGACAGTACTGCTATAGATGGGATGGATAGATAGAGAATAGCAGATCCCCCGACCTTTTCATTTGATACTCGGGCCAACTTTAGAAATCGCCTTATGAGATAGTGGCAGCCCCTTACGCTACATAGCCCAATACCTTCGACCCTGTGAGTATGCCAAGTACCATATATGGGAGCTGATGTTAGTACCCCCAAACCGAACCCTCGGTCCTTTTCTTAACCCTCGCCGGCGTCAAATAGAACTTTGAAGCCCCCAGTTTAACCGGTGCGCAACGGCGAAATAAATGGCGCGACAGTCGTATATTTGAAGATAGTGCTATGTTGCTAATAGCTTCACCTACCGGTTTACCGAAAGCTGGATGTAGAAACGAATTTTAGCACAGTAACCTTCGCGAAAGAAGAAAAAAGGAAGACCAGCTATTAGTGCCCACTTCTCGTAAGTTCGCCCCTTTTTCATATATCTATCTCACTGATGTCAATTTCTGCGTCTTACGTTTCATCTTGTTCCTCGCTCATTCTGAGGAAGGTATATATTGAAAAGCGTTTCGCCGTCATCGGCCAACAACTCGAGAAAACCATATTCCGGTATGTTAATCGAGAAGCAGCTCCATTCATCTAATGCTGGGTGAAATATGTAGTTGCCAGCTGCCTAAAGATCAGATTTAGCGGTCATTCACTTTGCATGGGCCAAGTGTTCATCTTGATCAACGAGAACCAAGCTCAATACTTTCGTATGTCTACGCAATGTTTATATACAGTGAAGATCTCTCCAGAGTTGGACCGAATATCTCTGGCATCTGGATAGTGCCTAGTGTTACTAAATAGCTATAGAAATACCAATTTAGTCACGATATTGACTAGATGGGCCACGGGGCACCGATATCGCAGCTATAAGCACAGTATGGGAGGCATCTTTTCTTTTGGAGTTTTCGATATATTATTCACAAACAATAATAACAACTAGCGGGTATATCAACAAATCTTTCGCACTGACTCATTGACTTGATCCAGTCTCCAAATACGGAGGCGGGGGATCCAATGGATGATCTAGCTGCGGTGGTGAGGAGCTGGCCGGGTTGGCCTAGGAGGGTGCTGCACCGCTACCGATCTGTCGTTTGCGGGTAATTCTGTAGGTCTTTGGACGCCTGATAGCTCATACAGTCCTGGCGTTTGTGGCAGTTGATAATCTCTTTGCCAAATTCGGGTTTCCTCAACCGAGGGTAGTTCAATGAGTAATTGCTCCAGTTGACTTTGACCTGATTGAGTTCTCTGTGCTCGAGGCTCTGACGGCGACGGAAGTTCAGCCGTTTGTTGTTCGAGGTTTTCGAACTCGGACATGGAAAAGTCTTGGCCGAGGTGGTGTTTAAGAAGCTCATGCGTGACGAGCCGTTCGGGGACAAGCCCTTGAGCTTCAATGAAAGATATATGTGGATTCGAATCGGCCATACGTCTTAATCTGCTGGCTTGCCGGTGATGATGGAGACAGCCGTCAGCCCCCATCAGAAGAATGGTGATAGAGGCCCAGGATACATCGAAGAGGCTCAGCTCGAACTCGTCCATGTCATTGACCTCGCCGCCAAGTATCAGAATCAGACGCAACTTGGGCGTTTGGGGACCGGCTTGCCACCCGTATATTGGGTGGAATGTTGCTGTTTCAGAATGCTTCTGGAAATGCATCTCCTTGACCTTTTGCCATCCTACCATGACGCGGCTGCGTCCTGTGAATCTGACATTCCTCCAAACATCATTTAGGTTCCATCCATTAACTAAGTTGATATAGTTTGCTTGGCTGCTGAATGTTACGAATGGATACCCCAGTCCGTTACTATCATGCTTCCCAAGTGCTTCGATGAAGCGCCGTAGGATGGCCTTTGCAAGGTCTAATATCCGACAGTCAATATAACCTCAAAATAAAAGAAGAATATTTCATTCACCTTTGCTCTTTGGTTGGTCTGTCTTCAACAAGCTCGTGATGAGATATTGGTTGTAATTGGGTCGCAAGGGATTGAAATCCATGGAACCGCGAACATCCAGCAAGAGCATCGTCTCATCTGTCGGCGATCCGATATCATAAGTAGTTTCGAAATCCTGGGTGATCTGTTTTGAATATCCTTCCCTGGGATATCGATTGCGACAAATATCATCGGGAGAGTGATACCTTGGGTGAGAATCCACCGCCGAAGCTATTCGTTCCCGTGCCAGCTCAAGCTCCGAAATCAAATCTGGTTTTGTTGTGATTTGGCATCCAGATCTGTGACTTAGAACCCAGTATAGTCGCTCTTCGGCGGTATCCTTGTACCCTCTCCACGCAGGCGTGACACCTCTCCATCCCGCAGAGGCTTCAATGGTAAATCTCAGAGGATTCGATGCCTGAGATTGCCAAGCAACCGGAATCGGCTCAAAGTATCCCGCTCGTAAATGATTCAGGTATTGAATCGGCTTCTGCATTCGAATCTCAGAAACCGCCCGAGCTATTCCAATTCGTTCCTGATAAGTTGAGACAATTTGCCTATCAATCCCATCTTGCCACCGGCCTTGTTCTTCCTTGAGGATCTCGCTGCGTAACTGGAAAGAACCAGCAAGTTTCTTTTTTATTTTGGACGCAGTTCGCTCATCTGAGCTGCTGACAGAGAGAGCCTTCCTGAAGCGTGAACGCTTAGACGATTTTTCGCTGTTCAGCTCGTCATTAGCGGATGTGCGGCGGGTGAGAGACATGTTGGATACGAGGGACTCTAGCTGCTCAAGCTCCCAAATGTTGAAAGATGGCTCCATAAGCTGAACAGCTGCCTGTGCCTTCTTGTTGAGAGCCGAGTCCAGAGCGATGGTTTGTTGAACAAACTTGGCATGTAATTCCGGATTGGGCTTTGCGATTCCATATATTGAAGCACCTGCGAGTGAATAGGATGTCATGATGTTAGAATATGGGTTGTTGTTGGAAAGGCGCAAGTGTGCGAAATCATGATATGGCTTTTCGCCTGGATAGACCACGGCCTTGGACCACATCTCAAGCACATCAAGGCGATTAAGCCTTCTTTTCCAGTACATGTGAACAGGACATTCACATAGCAAATGTGTTTCGTGTTCAGGTTCAATCTCCGGGTTGTAAATCCGGCATGAGAGCTGAACACTGTGGAGCATCTTTTGCATTTCGGACTCATCTTGTGCGCGGACCTTGGCGGCCCTGATCAAGGCGTTTTCATGGGGATGACGGGAGACACTGCTACTTGTCGCCACAAAAGATGGCCTTGGGCTTGTTTGGCTTCCGGTCGACACAGAGATGCTTCTTGTGGCTAAAGCATATGAAGGGGGCTCGGTGGGGGATGTGGGAGATGTGGTGTGGTTCAAGTCGCCAGACTGGGCCCAGGCGGTCGTGGAGGCTGTCATGGAATTGTTCATAGATGATGGTGGCCGATGTGACCGTTGTGAGTGTCTGTTGGGGTTCTCGTAGTACTGATCGACAGCTTCATTGATACTACTCGCGTACTCCACAAGATTAGTGAGCCGTAATTCAATATAAGATTTACCGATACATACTTCGACAAACAACACTGCTTTCGTCTCATCAGCATCTGGCACGAAGGACATGAAATCCGATATGTTCGATCTGGATGGCCGCATTATAAGGAAAAGTCAGTAGTTAGAACGTGGCATAGACAGGAAGAGCCCCAGAGCGCGATCGCATACTCCAAATAATATTCATAGCTTGTAGATGCCCAGTATGACACATCTTACAGGCATGTCACAGCCCCAGTGCCCTGGCCCTGTGCAAGACATCGAAAGGTCAAACTAAAGCACGTGGTCGGAAGAAGCAAATGAGTGGATGGGCATGCGCCGCCTCTAAGCTGATTGCGGCTCGCCCAAGCCAAACCACGATCGGACAATTTAAGCGGGCTCGCGTGTCCGACCACCTCCACTTCCCAGATCGTTTTAACTTGGGGAGTTCTCAACTGCTTTGTAGCCAATTCCCCATCCTAAAAACATGATAGCGAAAGAGAGGATAATGAGTCAAGTTAGTTGTTACAAGCAAAAACAAACAAAAAGCAGATCTACAAGAACTTTATCCTCAGCTGTAACCAAGCAACATGTACAGATTGAAGACTTATTCAGCGTGCCTAGGAATTCTAAGGTTATTTTTGACACGCTCGATAGGGTTCTAGCCCATTCAAGCCCCGTATGGTGATAGAAATATCACGAAATAGATCATTCACGCAAGAATAAATGTGCTTGTCTTGGGTTATGTAGTCATTCTCTATGCAGACCTTCACCATATAGTGATGCGTTACTCGGGACCACTACTGTAAACCCAACATTTACCCCTCAGTTTCTTCATTGCTCTTATATCTTACTCCAAAGTTCAGGAATTAAAATTAGTTGGTGTATTTCTAACCAATTATGTGTTTGTCCCAGAATGTAACATGGACACTAGATGCGTTCATGATCTTACAGTGGATATCAGGTGTATCTCAACCTAATCATGTTCTGGCCAGCCCTGAATCAAGGAATATGTTCTCCACCTGCGTGGACGGGGCGATAACTATGGGATAATCTAGCAGATCTCCGTGGAAAAGTGGACCTTGAAGAAGGCTATCCACGCTAGGCACGTTACAGTATGCTATAGAACAAAGTGACGTAATTTATGCAAGGAGTAAATAGTGTATACTGTGCGGAGACTTTGAAAAGAGTGGTCTTTCACTTCAGCGTGGAAAAAAAAGAAAAAAAAAAAAACCAGATCGATCCGTATGCATTGCGGCGGCAAGCTAGGTGGATCAATCACGGGCAGATCACAATTCTTATGCTATTAAAAATATGCATATTTTCATGAGATCATACGTGAATCTCCACTGTATGGGCTGGAGAAGGAGAGAACCACGAAACGTTCAAACTAACCAAAGAGACCGACGGAATAATTAGAAGTTTTCGTGCCAAGTTCGAGAGATCGAGATAGTTGAGCAGCAGACTTAGATATTAGAGTCCGGTATGTAGAATTTACGTTCCGGAAACACACAATGGGAGACGTCACTCAGAGGACTCGCATAATTTCTCGGGAGAGGCAAAGGGCAATAGAAGAAAATTGCACGCAGGAATATCCCACCGAGAGATATATCGATCGAAATATCAAGTAGCAATCTTACAGCAAGATCTACTAGGTAAACGGACCCAAATTGGAGTAAAGAGGCCTTAGCCGATATGATGGTTGAACAATGTCCTGTTGGAGCTTCAAGTCTGCTAGGTAGTTATTTTAATACCGTTTTTTACTGATCCTTTGTTATCTTTGTTCCGTATCTTGATAGGCTCCATTGTTTTCTAAGAGATGCTTTGGTTCTTTTGTCGGGCTATTGTTCAAAATAATGGCATTGATCGATGGAGCCTCTTTGTTTCTCCAGTCTACTCTGCTAGAAGTATATGAAGGGTCATCGGTATCTGACGATTGAATTCTGCACCAACCGATCACACACATCATTTTAAAATAATTTTTCACACCCCAGAATAGTTTCTATCAATACTTTGACCAACTCAGAAAACTTCAAAAAAAACATGCCTGACTACAAGTATGGAAGACAGCCCAAGGGACGGATGTTCCGAAAGTGGATGGAGAACCCTCTTGAGCCCGGATGTCCAGTTGCAAGAAGTACCCTCGTCTTGGACCATAGAACAAGGCACCCGGAGTTCAGAGTTACTCACACCCCCACAAAACTATCTGCCTCGTGGAACCCACTGCTGGCACCCCTAGGGCTAACGCTTGAACATCCTGATGTACGTGACTCTGGATCCCAGTATCGAGATATCGAAATCATGAACCGCCACGGCTCGCCAGTAAACTGGTGTGGATGTACTGGACCAGGCGTGATCTTTATTGACAATGTATACAGATCGCACAACAATGCCCGCCTTCCGCATATGTCCGATATCACCAAGGTTGCTTATGAGATGGACTTTTCCTTGAATTCCCTTAAGTATGTATTTGTCAACGGGATTATGAACGAGGACACTGTACCTTGTGTCAGATACGAGGTATATCGATCCATCGTACCTTACGAATACCCGTCTAGAGACCCACGAATTTGGAACCTTGGAACGGCAGAGTTCGATGCGTTGCTGGGCACGGGGATTGGTAAGATGGTCGCATCCTTCGTTCTGTGTGCGTTTGGCCAGGGTAGAAGATGTATTATACGAATTGTTACTTTCCATACTAACGAGTTTTACAACTTGAACATGCGGTTTGATATTGCGTGAATATGCTCAGTGAGCGTCTTTGATCCATGCACTGACCTTTTACATCTAACTTGCTGTTCCTAGGTCTCGTTTTATTTTCCTGTATATCTCAATTGAATTACCGAGTATTAACTAAATTCGAATTACACTTAATATTCTTTCTTTGTAAAAATCTCAAACAAAGTTTTCTTACATATTTTATCTTTAAGCACCTCTGTGAATGAAAATAGCCATATTGTAAATAAAAATCCAACATAAAGCATTTTGCTCTCGCTTTTAGGTGATTTTGCTACTTAGAACTAAGGAGACAGCACCTTCTCCTCGTATGTGACGGCCTACGGCAGTGACCAGTCTCAATAAGTCAATACCTGCGGTTGTGGGTCGTTTGAATATAGTAAAACCCGCTTCGAATTTTAGTTTTCCCGTTGGATTGGTGGAGGAAACCTCGAAAATGTAGTGCATGAAGTACCCCAAATCCTCCACTGAGGGACTAACTTGGCCAGGTCTCCACTCCAGGAATTCCTTGAGTCTGCGACAAAAATTAAATAAATCTAGTATAGTACCCCAGTAGCTACAAGCCGAGATTGTATGTAGCCAGCCTACAGACCCACGTTTACTGACCTTGGTAAGAGCTCCCAAGACCATTGATATGCCAACGCTGCAGCATTACGTCATGATTGGTGATGTATTCGGGTACATGCATATGCAGTCTGTAATAAGAGAGGCGTGTTTCAAATGGTTAAATTATTTTATACTGACTCATACGGGTTGGAAAAAAAGGAAGTGGATAAGTAAATAGGTAACGAGGGTTGAAGACCTACCTTAGAATTTAGAGAAATGAGGGTAGAGTTCTACCGTGGCTCCATTCTATTTTGGTCCGAGTCAAATTAAAAAAGACATTTGACTAGCTACATGTAACACGTCGGCCAGTGCGGAGATCATCCTCTATCAGGAGATCCGCGCATTTCTCCACTTGTGGGGAACCGGGATCTGCTATGCCACAGCTCAAATATTCCCTTTTGATTTGCTGCCTACGCATTCCAATGCAGTTTAGGCATTTCTCTGTCCAATAATTATTCTTCGGAAATGCTGCTGGGCACTTCTTTTAGCCTTTTAGCCTTGTGTCCTTGTGGTTCCACACACCACCAACTTACATAGCTTCCGGTGCTATAGACTTGGAATTCAATCTTGAGATATAACCGTAGTTTAAAGAAACATATTTCAGTTTGAATCTACGTTTAGCAAAATCTTGGTTGCCAATACCACAGACTGCTTCATTTAGCATCGGTTGTGAACAAGTAAATACTGACTTTTTCTGCCTTGGGTTTCAATCTATTCCAATCATCCGCTTAACGCTCACCTCTCACAGCAACAAAATCCCAACAGTCGAGACAGATGTGGGTTGTACCATTAAGTTCTAAGCATACTAGAGCGTGGCGGGCTTGGTCGTGGTTTAGTTTCCTCCAATTGCATAACGCATACAAATTTGGTACTTTATGACCGGGTGTCTGTACCCCATGCCACTCAGCCTACCCCGCAAACTCAACGTTTGAGCTTTTCCGTTGCGGAGAAGTATACTATGCGGATTATTCACTAGCATACAAGACTTCACTTGATTGGCACACTGAATCATGTCAGCGATTGCTTGCCGGTACATCCGGACGCTACTGAATCAGGAAGTATACCTTGACATAACATGATTTCCCTCTACAAATAATCTCAGTCTCTTTCTTGTCTTGTTTTTCTTTTGCTATAAATATTTGCACCCTTGTTGCACATTGCAAGTTTCAAGTTTTGAAGTCAGGAGTAATGTTAAGTACTAGACAGTAAGATGGCATTGAAAGCCATATTAGATTTCTAAGAAGCGATGTATAAGAAACAAATGGATTCCAACTCCTGAAATAATACCAACTTCCGTGATTGGTTTGCTCCCCCATGCTTACGAACCGTTCTCTTTCATATATGGCCGAGACCACCTCCTTGCTGATTCCAGACTCCTTCTCAGCAGTGCTCCTCAATCCTTACCTCTAACCTAATACTATTTCTATAACGGTGTATTCAAATTCATGGAGCTATTCCTAAACAGTTCAAATCATAGCAGAAGGGACTAAATATTCAATTGGTGGCCGGGCCAGTGGGTACGTACTATACTCGGGACACTTTGCGATGTCTCACTTGCATGTATCTCCGGGTATACCCAAATCGACACCCGAATTTGGAATAAACATATAAACACAGGTGCATAAAGTGCGGGGATTCTCCTCAAAGATTGCCGGGGTTAGCAGCTCCCCGCCTGTTTTACTTTGTAATGGTACTTCTGCACAACAGTAAACCATAGGATCAATGACCCGGAGCTTGACAAGCACAGCATAGCATAAAAGATTAGACTAGACCACAAGCTATTGAAAGTTTCTTGTTAGCAGTTCAGCGTAAATTGATTCGGGGTGCGATAGGGCAAATGCAACCAGCAGTATAAATGAGCATAGTACGTACCCTCTTGCAAGGACCAGCATGGAACTAAGCCACACTCAATTCATGAACTCTGTCTCCGCGCGCGGGGTCGGCTTAGGATATTGAAAATATTCTGCTTTTCCAATAGTATCTCCTCCCAATTGGGATAACAGAAAGCGAGAGCTGGGTATATAAAGTGCCCCTAGGAGCCCCAGTTCGGATCTGTGTCGTTCTCTCCTCACCAAGTCCAATCTTGATCTATTGCATTTTGTTCCGATTTATTTCCTTGATTCATCAGAGACATGACTATCCCAGACGAAGTCGACATCATTATCTGCGGCGGCGGCAGTTCGGGATGTGTCCCTGCCGGCCGCCTCGCCAATCTCGATCACAATCTCTCTGTGTTGTTGATCGAGGCGGGTGAAGATAATTTGAATAATCAATGGTAAGAAACAAACAAATTTGTTTCGTGCAATGAGACTCTAACAACTATCAGGGTATACCGTCCCGGTATCTACCCAAACAACATGAAACTCGATTCAAAGACAGCGTCTTTCTACCATTCAAGGCCATCTGAGCATCTCGATGGACGTAAAGCTATTGTTCCATGTGCCAACATCCTTGGAGGTGGTAGCTCAATCAACTTCATGGTATGCTCTTGCTCCACTGAAAGAAATTTGTTGAAGGGTTATCACTAATGTCCGCGAAGATGTATACCAGAGCATCGGCCTCCGACTACGACGACTTCCAAGCCAAAGGGTGGACCACCAAGGAACTTTTGCCTCTGATGAGAAAACATGAGACATATCAGAGAGCCTGTAACAATCCCGAGCTGCACGGTTCCGATGGCCCTATCAAGGTCTCGTTTGGAAACTATACCTACCCGATCAAAGATGACTTCCTTCGTGCGGCCGAATCCCAAGGCATTCCAGTTACCGATGATCTTCAGGACCTAAAGACTGGGTATGTACTCGAGCAAATGAGCATTTCTGGCTTCTCATTAATATGAAGTCTGATAATAGACACGGCGCCGAGCACTGGCTGAAGTGGATCAATCGTGACACAGGTATGTATTCCCTAACACTCGGGTTGACTTGTCTCTAATCACTTTAACAGGACGACGAAGCGATGCTGCGCATGCCTACGTCCACAGCACTCGAGCTAAGCATTCCAACCTGCACCTAAAGTGCAACACCAAAGTTGACAAGGTGATCATCGAAAACGGCCGCGCTGTCGGCGTCGTCACAATTCCCACCAAGCCCCTCAACGGAGGAGAGCCAGTCCGCAGGATTTTCCGGGCGCGAAAGCAAATTATCATCAGCGCTGGTACACTCAGCTCCCCTTTAATTCTCCAGAGATCCGGATTCGGCGACCCAGACAAGCTTCGCCGCGCAGGCGTCACTCCTCTAGTGAACTTGCCTGGGGTCGGTCGGAATTTCCAGGACCACTACCTGACCTTCTCTGTCTATCGCGCGAAGCCAGATGTCGAATCATTTGATGACTTCATTCGCGGAGACCCGGAGGTGCAGAAGAAAGTTTTTGAGGAGTGGGATAAGAAGGGTACTGGCCCACTGGCGACTAACGGTATCGACGCCGGCGTTAAGATCCGTCCCACTCAGCAGGAACTGAATGAGATGAAGAAGTGGCCGACACCTGAGTTCATTGGAGGGTATGACTCTTACTTCAAGAACAAGCCTGATAAGCCTGTTATGCACTATTCTATTATCTCCGGGTAAGCAGCTAACCGACTTTTGAGAGTCATTACTGATACTCGACGTAGCTGGTTCGGAGACCATATGCACATGCCACCGGGGAAGTTCTTTACCATGTTCCACTTCTTGGTATGGTGATGCCTTTGCACTTGATAGATCAATTTAGCTGATGGACAATACCAGGAATACCCATTCTCTCGCGGCTTCACCCACATCCAGTCCGCGGATCCATATGAGGTGCCGGACTTCGATGCAGGATTCATGAACGACAAGCGGGATATGGCCCCCATGGTCTGGGGATATATTAAGTCCCGCGAGACTGCCAGACGTATGAGTGCGTATGCTGGTGAGGTGACAGCTATGCATCCCCAGTTCGCTCACAGCTCATCCGCCCGGGCGCTGGACATGGATCTGGCTGTTACAAAGGCATACGCTGGCAAGAACCATATTTCAGCTGGTATTCAGCATGGTGAGTCCTTTGGATCCGGTGCTTCTTCTCTGTTGGTCTTGCTAAAACGGCTTTATAGGCTCTTGGACGCTGCCCCTAGAGCCCGGAAAGCAGCCTTCTGCCTCAACCCTTAACTCCAACAGACATGAGGCTCGCGACCCTTTGAACTATAGCGAGGAGGATATCAAACACATTGAGAAGTGGAGTAAGTCATTACCAACGCCTTTTTAGATTTTGTTGTTTCTGACCATCCTTCCGCAGTTCAACGTCACGTTGAGACAACCTGGCACTGCCTCGGAACATGCAGTATGGCCCCTCGAGAGGGCAGCTCCATTGCGCCGCAAGGCGGTGTTGTCGACGAACGCCTGAATGTTCACGGTGTCAAAGGCCTTAAGGTCTGCGATTTGTCGATCTGCCCCGATAATGTGGGCTGCAACACTTTCAGCGTAAGTCTTTGTCCCTTTGTTAGGAACATAGCAATACTAACTATGATCAAACATATAGACCGCGCTACTTATTGGCGAGAAGTGTGCCATGCTTGTGGCCGAGGACTTGGGTTACTCTGGTGCCGATTTGGACATGAGGGTACCAACCTACCATGCCCCCGGCGAATTCTCTCATCTTTCTCGTCTTTGAATGATTTTGTGTTGCACTTTATATGATGTTCATGAGTCACATTCGTTTTTATGGCGGTTCTAGTCTGAATAGCAATCATGATTATGTTCCTTTTTGGCCTCCCGTTGTTTCTCTCGTAGTACATACAGAAAGCTAACTAGGGCCAATCTGTATGCGGAAGGAAGAGGACAGCATGTTATCAGGCAACGTAGGGAGAAAAAAATTTTTCTACAATGAGGACTATGAGCCCCTGAAGCCGAAGACAAGCGCCGCTCGTATCACGGCTAAAAAGACACCCGTGAAACGAAAGGCAAAGGCTGCAAAGCCTGCCCCAAAAAAGCCTGTCCCAAAGAAAGAAAAGATTACTAAAGACCTTGATAAATCGTACGTGGGAAGATATACTCCCGAGGTGCTTCCGCGGCCTAAGAAACAAATATGGAAGCATGATGGAGAGAAGCACCGGGATGGAGTTCTCACGACTCAGATCTTGACCCCGAGTAAGCAAACAGGAATTATGAGACTTGTATTTCATCGGCCCATGATGTCTGACTTTCTCTAGTGATATTGACGCACAAATTGAGAGATGCCGCGAAAGGATCAAAGCCAAGATCATGCCGTCCATCTTCGAGACACGCCTGAAAGGATATCTGAATAGAAAGGAGGAACGCGAGTACGTCTCAATATCGTATAAAACTACTTTAAACGCCCACCAGCTGATATTTATGCAGTATTATGATGAATAACGAGGCAGAAGACCTCAGCTGGAAAGTAGTCCAACGCCTTGATGATCTGGAAAATATCAGAAGCTGGCTGGAGAAAGGAAATGACGACGACGATCAAATTTCCAACGTTAAAGCCTTAATTCAGGCCTATACAGTTGGGGATTTAGACTGGAATACAGGCCTTGTGACCTACTGGTCAAAGGGAAAGCAACTTTGTCAGCCACGGCCGTTCAAATGGGAAGAATTTCTGGCCATCAGTGCGAAGCACAAGGGACATATTGGATTTTGGGTTGAAGGGGTAAGGACATGCCAATAATTCTGGGACAGTGAACCAGATACTAATGGTAGATGTATAGGGTCCTAAAGTTGGACAGATCCTTTTCAAGGAGATCAAGCCCAGTACTGGAACGTCTAATGGATCAAAAGGTGACCAGAAAAGCCTACTTACTCCTTCATCACCTGTTGCAGGAAAGAACGCAAGTCATCTCATTCCGCGCTGATCCCGTCTTGCTTGTATCTAACATATTTTCCCATTTTTCAGTCGCGTGTCGACATTCGATTAAATGACACAGTCCAAAGCCACCCATTCAGCTACGTGAAAGACTCAGGCGCCCACCTGATAACCATCTCAGACAGAAATTTCGCATACCTCCACAAAGTCTCAGTAACTATAGAGGGATTTGACCCCAAGCCAGCAGCTTCCCTGGGCGTTACGCGTGTGCACCTGCATGGGAGAGAAGAGCTATTTTGGAGTTCCAAGGCCCTCCAGATTAAGTTTAGGGACCCTGATCATCCCAAGCGCGGGGACTGGGAGTGGGTGCAATGTCAATTGAGTGAGGAGAAGGTTATGGGCTCTGACAGAATCCCTGCTTCAGGCAATTGTGTCCCCTACAGGGATAGTCTTCTTTGGAAATATGGCCCCAGGGAGGGTATCAACCGCAAGCCACAAGGAGTGGTCTAGTTTAGTCTTGTTTGTTTGGGGCACCGACGCCTTCTTCGCGTAACGTCTAGATTTGTCCATCTAGCCTTTTCTTTGTGCCAGAAGCAAGTTGCTGGGTATTTGTCGAGGTAGCTCAAATGGTAATTGTATGGGTATGGTTGTCTTGGGGCTCACGCCGCACTCGGGGTTGTAATTATCCTCTAGTTCGTCCGTACAGAATTCATTTATCCTTCTTCTTCCCTCCCCTGGCCATGCTCCTCGCCTATCAATGGTTCTTGAAATTGGCTTGAGCAGTACACACTATCTTCTATCAATCAATAAAAGAGCTTTGTTAAATTGACAGACGGGGTAATATATACGTGTATAGTACAGACCTTGCTACGTATAATTACATCATCGCATGGAATCCCGTTGAATTCCCTCAGACAGAGCACACACTCACAAATTGCTTCTAGACGCTTATCTCGAAACATCTTATTTCAGTCTCGTCTCTATTGGATTTGTTGCAGATCTTACTTTGACAAATGTAGGATGCCTATTTAAACGATGTGGATGTAACTTATACTATCGTATCTTACAGGAAATATCTTCCTTGGAAGTATGATCTTTGGACAACGCAACGGGTGATAGGTATCACTCATGGTCCATCTCCTCGAGACTGGTGCATATTTCTGTCTGAAAGATCTGATTCATTTGTAGGGGATTTTTGGGACCTGATGGAGCGACCGGTTGAGTTGATGCCCGGCAATCGGCCGGATGATGGATCGCCCTGGAATAGCTCCAGGGCTTAGAATACCTAGTTGTCCGCTAATTAAATTTGAGGCCTTCATCACTCGCTGCTAAAACGATGTTTGTTCTCACTATAGAAATCTGGTTCAGTTACTGGGGAGATAGCGAGAACCTCTAGGTTTATATCCAGATATCGTGGTTGATGCAAACACACCAGCCACACTTTCCCACATGGTAACCTGCACAGCAATGTGGCAGTAAGTAAATATCCAGGGCACGTTACATTGCTGATCGTCTTTGTAATGCAGCATTAATTTAATTGACTTCTAAAGATGAAGATCAAATGTGTTGATCCTATCCTACTCGGGCAAGCACTATCACGGTGGCGAAGAGTGGCTAAAATATGTCATTTTTTAAGAAATAGGCCACCGATTGCGATCGGAATTGGAGCAATCTAGATAGCTCTTCGATGTATTATACCTTGCAACATTATTGTCTTTCCTCTCATGGCTCTATAGAGTTTGGCTGGGTGATGTTAATAAAGGGTAGATTTGTGCGTACCTAGTTAGGCAGGAAAGAAATCGAAAGCATGGAATAGATGATAAGTATATATAGAACAGCTCAAGAAGATCAAGTTATATTCATATAAATGGTCGCAACATATACTTCTCCCGGGACAACGTCTACGCACGGGCCCCACGCGCTAGGGGCAAATCTTGATTTCGGCAGACAACCGGAGATTTTCCAGCTCCACGTCTAACGGTGTACCGTTGTGCTACGCTATGATATGACATCTGGACCATCTGGACCATATTCCTTGGACTGGACAGAAATGCTGAAACATGTACAGTTGGTCGAGACTGTGCCTTGAATTCTGAGCCGTGACGGATGTCCGAGATGACTTGAGTGGCTGAACACTCCACTTGGATAAATTAAAATGATCTCATCCGGCCGAGACCCGATGTGCGCTCGCGCCGCCTATCTGACAGAAAAGTCCCTTATATTTGTTTTCTGCCTACGCGATTTGTCGTACGGATAACGTGGTAACGTGGTGTTTGGACGTCATCTGTGTTAACTAATGACCTAGATGCGATCCTTATTGCGTCTGTAGGGTGTAGGAACCATGTTCATTTATAGATACTATGGGCTTGTATAGTTTCACTGTTCAACAATATCTATGCAGTCTTTTCAACTGTGATGTAATGATGATTCGGAGGTCAGCTCAATAGACAAGTATATGAACCGAACAACTTCAGCCACAGAACAGGGACAATGACAGGGGGTGACAGTCTGACAGTGCGGGAGGCAAATCACAGTGGATGCTCTGGTCCCAATGATGTGGCCATATACTTCTGTGATTTGCTCACCCACGTTTTACATGTTTCGTATAGCGTGGCCCTGGGGTTTCCATGGATCATGATATTTTGACAGTCGACCACTCACAATGCTTTCTCTGTCTCCCAATTATCATCTTTATTCTTGCATTTGACGCGTATGCCTCTTTGGGATACTCAGGAACATTGACATAGGATATATCCCGGAGTCGAAAGTCGAAGTATCTACATCTTCTGCGCTAGATGCCATCATCCGTGCAACAGTTCCAACTTTTCTATAATCTAAAACCGCTTACTTTGTACAATATATCGGTACCTCCGAGTAGCATAACTGAGAACATGATCATGCACTCCATAGAAGCACAGAGCTCCGCCTCCACCTCCTCCTACATCCCGATTTAGCAACCTTCCACCCCATACACCCTAGCCAAGGACCCTGATTGGAGCGCTTGTCCTGCAATCCTCTGGATCAACACAGCATTCTCGACTCCTCCCTCATCTAATCGACCCACTCGTATGATGCGGATGATGCTGCTAACCGCCCTACCATATAATTCAGCCACTTGCATGCACCGTGCACCCATACAGATAAACTCTTGGTCGATCTCCTCTCGAACAGGGATTAAAAGCAACAAGGCAAGCTGCTATGATATCAACGGCCCCATGACGTAGTAGGCTCTGCAGGTATCGTGCCTGCTTGCTCTAGTGCCTATATAGACAGCTAGGATGGAGTGCACACAGCGATGATATCAGACTCCTTGACTGCTTCATATAAACATCTAAACCCTCGAACCTCTTGTACCTTTTGTTTTTCTATTCATCTAGAAATAATTCCCCATCTATACTCCTATTCGTCCCGGACTTGACTTCTACTTGGTCCTAGGATTGTGTATTATTATCTCCTACCTCGTTACGAACTATACGTCACGCCTTTCACGCAAACGACTGGATATCATTCTATTGGACTTTGATTTGATTCCATTTGATCCCAATTCTTCATACCGAGATTGAATAAGCACAAAATCCAACATCCAATATCCAACCACAAACACACATCAAACCAACTACCATGTCTTCCCCCGCCGTGAGCAAAGCACCCCAAAAGCTGGGATCAAAGACCAACACCCCAGCCAAAACCCGCAAAGGCTCCGGTTCCAGCGTCGTCTCAAAGCCAAACACCACCCAAGCAAGCCCCAACCCTAAGTCCCTGAAGAAGGCCACCCCCGCAAACTCTCGCAGAAAGCCCCCGAGCCAATCGAGGACGACGACGAGCAATCCATCCCCGAGACCCCGTCCCCGAAGTCCAAGAAGAAGACCTCCTCCGCTGAGCAGCGCCGCCCCGCCTCCCCGCCAGACGATGTCGCCTCCCAGGCTTCCGGCTCTGCGGCCCCTCTCGGTCGTGCTGCTTCTGGTTTGGCTGGTAAGGCTAAGGATGTTGCTGGCCAGGCCAAGGATACAGCTGCGCAGGGCACCGAGACTGTCCAGAATGGCGCCAAGGCTGCCACCGATAACCTGCCGGTACCTTTTGACCTGTCTGCCTTGAAGGGTCTTGAGGTTGCCGACGGTGGAAACATCCTCGGACAGGATGGGAAGCCTATTGGCCAGGTTGTCGAAGGGGACCCTGAAGACCTGGTCGGACAGACTGTTGGCGACGATGGCGAGATTGTCGATGAAGATGGTGATCTGATTGGCCGTGTTGATATCCTGCACGACCTCGCCGAACAGGCGAAGAACATCCCCGACGAGGCGCAGTCCAAGGTGGGCGATCTGGAGAATGTTGTTACGGATATTGCTCAGCTGGAGGGTCTGCCTGTTTCTGATGGTGGTGTTATCAAGAATGCGGCTGGTCAGACTGTTGGTCGCATTGTTGAGGGTGACTGGGAAGATCTAATTGGCTACACGCTTAACGAGGAGGGTGAGATTGTTGATGATGAAGGTGATGCTATTGGTCGTGTTGATCTTGTTCCGATTGAGGAGCAGAAGAAGGTCATTGAAGAGACTGCGAACGATGCTACTGATAAGGTTGATGGTGCCAAGGATGATGTTGAGGATCAGTTCGAAGATGCTCAAGATGGTCTACCCACCGATCAAGCCAAGGGCGCTGTCTCTGACAATGATGACGATCTTGATCTTCCCGACCTCGACGAGTCTAAGAATGCCGCAGACGGTGTTGTCGGCGATGCTAAGGACACTGCCGAGGATGCCCAGGGTGATCTGGAAGACACTTCCGAAGACGGCAAAATCCAACTCGAAGACAACGTCGACGACGGCGTCAAGGATACCGCTGAAGGTGCCGCCGAAGGTGTCGAGGGTGATGTCGAAGAGACCACCGAAGGCGCCAAGGACACCGCTGAAGACGCCCAGGGTGACCTCGAAGACACCGTTGAGGACGCCAAGAACACTGCCGAGGACGTCGCCGAGGATGTCCAGCAACGCGTCCCCAGTCTCGACACCCTCGAGGGTCTGAGCTGCAACAAGCGCGGCTACATCATTGACCAAACCACCGGCAAGCCCGTCGGCGAGTTGACCGAAGGCGACCCCAAGAAGATCGCCAAGCTCGGCGCCACCCTCGACGACAAGGGTCAGTTCTGGGACAACCGCGGCAACGTCATCGGTCAGGCCAAGGCCCTCCCCATTGAAGATGATGAGAGCGAGGAAGGGCCCTTCTCCGGTCTAGAAGGCCTAGTCGTCAACGAAGACGGGTTCGTCGAGGACGAGAACTCGACTCGCGTCGGACGCTTGATTGAAGGCGATGCAAAGAAGCTCAGCGGCCGCGGTGTCGATGAGGATGGTGAAATCCTCGACCGCAAGGGCAATGTTATCGGTCGTGCTGAGCGTCTGGAGGAGGAGCCCGAGGAGCCTGAAGAAGCTGGTCCTGACTTCTCGGCCCTTAACGGTCTCTCCTGCAACAAGGCTGGCTATGTCATTGGCCCTGAGGGATATCCCATTGGCCGTGTTGTTGAGGGTAATCCCAAGGAGCTTGCTGGTAAGAAGATCGAAGACGGCGAGATCTATGACGGCAAGAAGGTCGTCGGCCGTGTCGAGATCATTCCTGAGAATGAGATTGACAGCAAGTCTGAGGGACCCTTCGCCGGCATGGAGAGTCTCGTCGTGACCAAGGATGGATTCGTCGAGGATGACGAGGGATCCATTGTTGGTCAGCTTGTTGAGGGTGATGCCAAAAAGCTGCGTGGTCGCGCTGTCGATGAGGATGGCGAGATCACTGACAAGTACGGCAATGTCAAGGGTCGCGCCGAGCCCTACGAGCCCCCCGAAGAGGAGGCTCCCGAGGAGGAAGACCTTTCTATCCTTGAGGGCAAGGTTGTCAACAAGTCTGGCAACGTTGTTGACCCTGCCACTGGTGCTGTTTTCGGCCGTGTCGTCGAAGGTGACAAGCGTCTTGCTGGTTGTAAGGTCGACGGCAAGGGACAGATCTGGGGTGACAGCGGCAAGGTCGTTGGTCGTGCCGAGCTGATCCCCGGTGGTGAGCAGAACAAGGCCGAGGGTCCATTCTTTGGCTTTGACAACGCTGTCGTCGGCAAGGACGGTGTCGTGACGAGCGGTGACAAGATCATCGGACGTCTGATTGAAGGAGACGCCAAGCGCCTGCTCGGCCGCAGCGTCGACGAGGACGGTGATGTCGCCGACAAGAACGGCAACGCTATTGGTAAGGCCGAGCGCTGGGAACCCGAGGAAAAGCAGCGCGACGTCAACCCCATGGCAGGTCGCAAGATCACCAAGGAGGGCGAGGTCCGCGATGCTGACGGTAACCTCATCGGCAAGCTGACTGCCGGTAACCTGGCCACTCTTGTTGGCAAGACTGTCGACGACAACGGATTCGTCGTTGACAACGACGGCAACAAGCTCGGCGAGTGCACTCTGCTTGAGAACATCCCCGAGCCTGAGCCCGAGGAAGAGGAGGGTCCTACCCCCGAGGAGCAGGAGGCTCAGGCCAAGGCCGAGCAGGACCGCCAGCTCGCCGAGAAGATGTGTCACATCCTCCGCCAGACCCTCGAGAGCGTCAAGCCTGTGTGCAAGCAGATCAATGAGGTACGTTCCATGTCAACCCATAACCAATTTTAACACAGTACTAACAAGTCCTAGGCCGTCGAAAAAGCCGACCGTACCCCGAAGGACGAGCTCGACGAAGAGAAACTCGTCCAGCAAGTCAAGCCCCTCCTTGAAGAAGGCGGCCGCATTCTCCAGGAATGCAACGGCGCAATCCGCGCGCTTGACCCCGACGGACGCATCGCCGCGACCGCCAAGGCGCGCGCTGCTTCTCGCGATGCTACGCCTGAGGAGTACCAGCTCGCCGACATGATCAAGGAGCTCACTGAGACCGTGGTCAAGACCATTGACAACGGCAAGAAGCGCATTGCTGATATGCCTCATGCTAAGAAGAAGCTGAACCCGCTCTGGGGATTGCTCTCTGAGCCTCTGTTCCAGATCATTGCTGCGGTTGGTTTGTTGCTTAACGGTGTGCTTAGTCTTGTTGGTCGTTTGCTTGATGGACTTGGTCTTGGTGGGTTGTTGAATGGTATTCTTGGAAGCCTTGGACTTGACAAAATTATCGATGGTCTTGGACTGGGCAGTTTGACTGGTGCCCTTGGACTTGGAAACAAATAAAAGTCTGGAGGATTTTGGTAGCTCGGATGCTTTTTTAATGATTGTGTTTTGTTCTTGCCAGCGTTGATCGTTTGCGATATGAGTGATGGTTTATTCTCCTGTACTATGACGCTTTTGTTCAAAATTTGCGTTTCGATTTCAACTTCTCTCAAGAAGACTAATGAACTTGAATCTTTTTGTCTATTCACAAAATATTAATAGTCTCGTAAGTACAAATATGCAGGGGAAGTTTCCATGTGTAGTTTCATCAAAAATTCCAACCCTCACTTGATTCATTCTCTGTTAATCAAAACATGTCAAGGCGAGCGAGATATTGAGGGTGGTTGTGTTCATAATTACAAGATGGCGGCTTTTTAAATCTTCAAAGGATCGCTCAGGTCCTCCGGTGGCAATGCTGATATGAAGGACCACGCAATGAGGTTGTCCTCATGAATCGATCCGTTATGCATGGAATGTGGCGCGACGAAAATAATCTAATGAGTCTTGTTGGTATCAGTGGAGGCGCGAGGCTCCTCGAGGGGAGCATCACCGAGGGTGCGGTAAGCCCGGTCTCTGGCGGCACCGCGGTCCTTGCGGATGGTAAGGCAGTTGATGCCGAGGAAAGTGGTGATGCGGTTAATAACAAGGACTGCCCAGTGCATGTAGATAACAAAGGCGAAGACAAGGTAGACACGGAGATAAAGAAGCTCCAACCAGGGAGCAATCACTGGGAAGCCCAGGATGGGGAGGTTGACAAGCACCGCGCCGCCGATAAGTGGGGCCTGCAGGACAGTCCAGTACGGGAAAGGCTGTCTCAAGAGGTGGGCCAGGATGATCATGGTGGTCATACGTCCAAACACAAAAGCGATGACCCAGCAGAACAGGACCAGGTGGTTGTTGGACAGAATGGTCGAGTAAGGAGAGAAGAGCCATGCAATGATGCAGGTGGTGAAGGCGACCATAGGGACCCACTCCTTGAGAATAGGAGTGAAAGCCAGGCCTTGCTTCTTGCGCGCAGCAGCCACATTCATAACACATCCGGGCAGATGGCCGAGGAAGAAGCCACCGAGCAGGATGGGAACCCAGAGGTCCTTGATGGAAGCGGTACCAAAGATTTGGGGAATGTTAATGAATCCAGTAATCGGCTGGGACCACATTCCGGGGCCCCAGATGCCCGAGGCGACCATAATACTAATGGCGATCAAAAGGCCCTCAGTTGGGCCATTGAAGTAGCCGAGGTACAGGGTGTGGGTGTGGAAGGTCTCCCAAGTGGAGAAGTACATGGCCAGACAGGGCACAATAGCCGTCCACGCACCAAGTTGTGTAGAGCCGAAGCCCATTGCTGCAGTCGAAAGCAGACTGGCAAGGGTACAGTTCAGAGAGTCGATTCCGTGACTTGTTTCTGTTAGTTAAGCGTCCATGGCTAGACGGAGGGTGGTACAAACTCAAAAAGTTCTCCGAGGCCGCTGGACGTTCCTGTTCGGCGCGCCTGTTTACCATCCACATTGTCGAGGGTCGAGTACCTGCTTCGTGTCAGCAAAATTCATGCTGAACACTCAATACTGTTCACTTACATCCACATGCCAAGAGCGAAACTGAAGTAAATCCACCCGGGGCCCTGATCAAACAATGTCAACTCGCCACTTCCCAACAAACCAGGAACAAGACTCTTACCGGTCCCACCATGTCCGGCACAAAGATCTCGATGATGAAGACATTGGCGACAATCCACATGAACCCAAGAAGGGTTACCATGTTCGGGGCCATCCACATGGGAACGAGCTCGACGAAGGCATTCCACTAAGCGTAGATTAAGTCAGCTATAGCAAGCAGGACAGGTGTAAGCTAGGTCCCGTACGTAGTGTCTCAAGATGTAGTTCGAAATAAACGATTTGTCGACACTCGAGTACTTGTACGACTTAAGGGGTAGGAGGGCATCGTCGGAGAGGGAATCTTGGGTCTCTGTTCAGTTGAAGACAGGAATCAGCAAATAGTTTTGAGACAAATCTAACGGTTTGCTGTCACATACCTTGGACCATCCGAAGGATTGCGCTCATGTTGAAGATTGAGCGCGATATGCGGATTTCAATGTATAGTCGGGAAATACAGCAACACCTCAGTTCATAGCGCGGTCGTAAAACAAATGAGCAAGAAAGACAGGCAAACAACAAATCAAGACATGCCCTGAATAACACTCGATATACGTGGAGAAAAGAAGGAGCGGAATGTCTCAACATCAGTTTTCAGGGTCGGCATCACGTGCGCTCCGCATCGGGACGCGATCCCTGGGAAGCTCGATTGCGAGCCCACGCGAGTTTGGTTTACATTGTCTATTGTCGCTGCGCTTTGAACTCATTACTTGACCGTCATTTGGATTCGGTCACTGGCCTGCGTTTTCCCTTTGTCAACCCACCTCTTTCGCGCAATCCTCAGTCTGCACCGTCGCTCGAACCTTCACCCGCGCCTTGTCTTCACACCACTCGGTCGCTCGATCACTCAGCGCCGTCCTCGACAACAACCGTCTGTTGAATCTGACTGGGGATGACGGTGGATGGTCTGCGCTGCGCTCCCCGCGCGTCTCGTCGCTAAGGAATCTTCACGATGCCTGGTATTGTCGATACGCCCGTCGGGGCTGCGGCACCTGCTTGGGATCTAGGATTCAGTGTCGGGCATCAAAAGGTCGAGCTCGATATCGATTTGGCCAGCAAAAGCCTGAAGGGCAATACAGAAATCACCATTCACCCACACAGGCAAGACCTGGGAACCATCTGGCTAAATTTTCGGCAAGGCGAGATCAAGCGACTCAGTGTCAATGGCAAACAGGCCACAGCGAAATACTCTGATCCCTACGAATCTATCCAACTCTACGGACCCCATTACCATGAACGCTTAGTCCCCAAGCTCGACAGTCTACTCCAAACTCCTCCGAAGCCCACGCTCGCCATAACGATTCCAAAAACGTTCGAATCGAGGAGCTAGATCCATCTTCAGCTGAAGCCCAAGACCAGATCGCTCTTCAATCTACAGCCGGTGATGTGGACGGGCCAGGAGGTTCGAGGGCGCAAGAAGCGACTCTCCCGCGATTCGCAGCTCTCACGGTGAACCTTGAATTCGCCATTGATAGCATTCGCGATGGTTTACAAGTCGTGGGCGTTGAGCATGGCGATCGCCGTTATCCACATGCCTACACAACCAACTCGCTCGAGTCTGGTATCGGATGTCCCTTGTTTCCATGCGTCGATGATACGTCCTCGAGATGCACGTGGGAGTTTTCGATAACTTGCCCCAGTTCGCTCGGTGGTGTGTTTGACCGCAAGTCCAAAACTGCGCCGGGTTCAACTACACCCTCCCGCTCACGGCCGCAGAACCCCCAACTTTCTGCCGACGACGAGGGCCTGGATATGTCCGTGGTTTGCTCCGGTGACCTGACGGATGATATTGTCGATCCTAAAGATCCCAGTCGCAAAACGGTCTCATTTGCGTCATACTCGCCTTTAGGTGCCCAACAAATCGGGTTCGCTATTGGCCCATTCGAGTATGTCAACCTTGCCGACTTCCGTGAAAGTGACCAGGACGAACAGCTTGGACAAAACGCAATTCCTTTACACGCATTTTGTCTCCCAGGTCGAGCAGATGAAGTCCAGAATACGAGCTTCCCCATGGCACAGGCTATCGATTTCTTCTCGTTGTCTTATGGATCCTACCCGTTTGCCAGCTACAAGATCTGCTTCGTGGATGACGTCCCCACTGACAGTCTTCCCACTGCCTGCATGTCAATTTGCAGCAATCATCTCCTTTTCCCAGCAGAGATGATCGATCCCATGTATGAATCGACACGAACACTGGTGCACGGTCTGGCTTGCCAGTGGTCCGGCATTAATATCATTCCAAATGAGCCAGCGGATACATGGGTAACAGTGGGTGTGGCATGGTATATCACAGACACTTTTATGAAGCACCTTTGTGGCAATAACGAATATCGGTTCAGACTCAAACAAATGTCTGACCGAGTCTGCGAATTGGACTTTGAACGTCCTTCGATTTACGACATGGGCAACATCCTCAAGGTTGACCCCTCTGAATACCGCTTCGTTGCACTGAAGGCACCTTTGGTCCTGTGGATCCTCGATCGCCGACTAACCAAGGCTAGTGGAAAGCCCACGATGTCTCGCATTGTTACTCGACTATTCCTAAACTCCCGCATGGGAGATATGCCCAACGGAGCTGTCACCTCATCTCTCTTCCAGAAAACTTGTGAACGATTGGGTCACGCTAAGTTGGATGTTTTCTTCCAACAATGGGTATACGGCGCAGGGTGCCCGCGGTTCACGGCTAGTCAGCGGTTTAACAAGAAAAAGCTAGTTGTGGAGATGATGATCCGACAGGTCCAGGCTGAGCAACAGCCTCCACGAGATCTTGAGAAGGACACATTCCTACGTGACGTCAAAGAAGAAGTTCGACATGTCTACGCCGGTGCAGTACAACCGGTATTCACGGGATCAATGACACTCCGAATTCACGAAGCCGACGGCACACCATATGAACATATCGTTGAGATTAAGGAGGGAGTGACGAAGTTCGACATTCCATACAATACCAAGTATAAAAGGCTTAAGCGCAACAAGAAGCAGAGAGAGCGGGCTGTGGCATCTGGAGATGCCGAGGTTCAGGAAGAAGTTCTCCTTTACTGTCTGGGAGACGTTCTCCAAACAGAGGAAGAGGCACAATCTTGGCGTCTGGCTGACTGGACAAAAGAGGACGAAGAGCGAATGGGGCAGGAATCTTACGAGTGGATTCGTATGGATGCAGACTTTGAATGGATCTGCAAACTGTCTCTCGGTATGCCAGGTTATATGTACCTGTCACAGCTACAACAGGATCGAGATGTCGTGGCACAGCTTGAGGTAAGATCATCATGTTTATGTGGTCATCCAAACGTCAGGCTAACAATCGCAGTCCTTGCAATATATGGCCGCCCAACGAGAACATCCTCTAATTTCCACGATCTTCGTTCGAACTCTGATGGATAGTCGGTACTTCCACGGTATTCGTGTCACGGCAGCTCGCGCGTTGGTGAAGCATGCGAAAGATGAGGTCGATTGGGTGGGCTTGTATCATCTTGAAACGGCATTCCAGGAGCTTTTCTGTCTTCCAGGTTCGCCCATGACGCGTTCGAACGACTTCTCTGACCGAGCAGCCTACATCCTGCAACAAGTCATTCCCGATGCCATCTCAAAAGTGCGCGACAATAGTGGAAAAACTCCTCTACGGGTGAAGCGGTTCCTCTTCGACAAACTGAAGTTTAACGACAACTCCAATAATGAGTACTCCGACAACTTCTACGTCGCGTCACTTATGAAGTCTCTGTGTCATGCAATGCTTGGCAGGAACGAGTCTCGGAATGATGAAGAATTGGATCATTTCGATATGGAACGCGTTCTTGAGACTCAGGCCGAGGAACAGCTTGAGAAAGATGCTATCGCCGAATTCGATCGCTATCGGCGAATGGATGAATGGTCCAGCTCATTCCAGAATCTATATTCCCGAGCTGCATTGCATTGCCAGGCGCAACTGATGCAAGCGAAGATAATCGACGTGGATCTAATGCGTTTCCTCCCCTACACACGGGCAGGAACGTATGACCTCCTGCGGATTCAGGCGTTCCAGTGTCTGGTGGACTTAGACATTGGCCAAAGCCCTGAGCTTCTGCGGTGGCTCATGTATACATTGTCGACCGATTCCTCGGCCTGGATTCGCCATCAGAGCCTGGGTCTGCTAGGACAGGCCTTAGCACAAGTTGCCTTCGGTCGTCCCGAACAACCAGAAGGCGCACAGACAGACGGTCTGATCATTGAACAAGAGTCCACCACGGAAGTCCGCCGGGACGACATTGCGAGACGACAGACTATTCCTGGTGCTATTGAAGCTCTGAAGCGAGAGCTTTCTCTTGATGGATCCATGAAGGAGTATATGTGGGCCGCATGCAATTCCCCAACCATGAACGTTCTGGAACTATCGGAGCTTACCGATCTTTGCCGCGTGCTTTACGACCCCATAACGTCCAAGCTTGTGCGGATGAGACTTCCTCGATACTGGAATGTCAAAAACCTGGGTCATGGGAAATTGCACTTTACCAAATCCAGCACTGTCCGCATGGGTCCATCAAAGGGCTCTTCCAAGCGGAAACGGGAAGAGGGCATGCCTCCGCCTTCTACTCGCATTACCTTCAAGACGTCCAAGACTGGCACGACTCCCAGTACCCCGTCTGCCACTCTTCCAAAACTCCACATCCCCAATCCCTCTGCCACACCCAGTGCGACCCCCAGAACCCCGGCCGCATCTACAACCCCTACCCCAGCCAGCGGCGGCCCGCTGAAGCTCAAACTCAAGTTCGGTTCAAGACCAACATGAGAAACCAAACCTGTATTTTCGAAGTTCCATGTATTCTATCAATATCTCTTATTATTCATTTCTTTCTACCATGAATCAAGCGGGAGGATGAACAGCAGCATGGCTCCAGGCGCGCAGTCGATTCAGCAATGCTTTCAACCCCAATATCACATCAGTTCTGCCTATCTCCGCGTCCACATCCAACAATACAGTAATCCGAGTAGCCAGTGAAAAAGTAATTGGGGTAGCCTTTTGCAAAGTAGTCTAAAAAGTACGCCCTGGCCAATGAGCAGAAAAAATAGAACAAAAAAAAGAGGTTTTGATTGTTCCCATCAGAGAAACCGACCCAGAAACTCCCAATAGCATTATGATCTTTTCCCGGCACTCGGTTGGTGGAGTTGTGCCTACGTGCGTGCCCCTTCCATCAAAAAAGAAACGTCGTACATCGTGTAGTTATGTCGCTTATTTATCGGTAATGCGCTCGAGAGCCTCGAGCATCACTACTGAGTTACCGCGAATCACCTGTGTGTCATTGTTAGTCGGGTGTCCAGGTCCCAATAAGGAATAGGGCCGACGTACGATCATGCCAATGGCAACCTTCTCTGCGCCTTCCTTCTCTTCCCATGCCTCGTCCAGGACAATGTTCATGAACACCTGCGCGAAAGTATCGTTAGCTCATTTGTCCGCTGTTGACGTGCGGTCTTCCAAAATCCAAGGGGAGAGTTTTGTGTCTCGGGGTACTGAAAGCATCGCCGCGGTAGGAAAGTAAGTGAACAGGGGATATTCGACGTACATCGTAGCCACGGAGGATACCAATGACCTTGCGGTTGCCGTTAAGTTGGCAGAAGACCCGCTTCTCCATGTACTGCAGAAAAAGCGCGCTGTCAGCAGGGGTCCCGGACAAAAGGCACACCGTAGCTTGAAAAGATCACTCACTTTCTTCAATTCTGGCTGAGCTTGAGGCATCTTGGGCGATGTGGTTTGGTATTTGGGGGTTTGACAGGATTCGAGAGATCGCGGAGTTGGAGTTTGGTGGAAGCTGGGTCGGAGAATGGTTGTTCCTGATATGCGATAAGAGCTACCAAATTGCCTCCGCATTCACGAAGTTTCTCTCTTCTCTTCACCTTCTTTGGTACTTTTCGCTATGAGTTCCAGATTTGCCAATCGCAGGAAGCCGCGTAAGATTGGGGGTAGTGATGAGGAGGACGATGGTGCTGCGCCAGGTGAGTGGGCTGCTGCTACTTTTTTTATTCCTAGGGATTTGCCCTGCATTCAGTGCTAATGACGTTATTCTACAGAGCCAGTGGTCAAGAGACCGGCAAGCTCGAAACCGAAACCGAAATCCAAATTGCGCATGTCATTTAATCCCAGTGAAACCTCTATGAACGATGACGAAGACCAAGAAAGCGAGGTAGTCATTCCGAAACGACATGGTCTGGGACGCAAAGCTATGGAACGAAGTGCTGGCCAGCATACTGCTTCACATAATATATCTGCTCGGATCAACCAGGATCAAGATCGACCAACATACAGCAACGACTACCTAAAGGAATTGCGGGACTCGACGCCCTCGACACCGAAGACGAGCACCGATGACGAACCGAGCAAGGCCGTTGATGTGGCAGCGAAATTTGGAGAGGTTATGACCGTCTCGGGTCAATCGCACATACCCAGTGAAGCCGAGATCCGAGAAAAGAAAGCCCGACGAGCGCGTCTGGCCATGGAACACGGTGCCGAGGAGGACTTCATCTCATTAGAAGACGATGACGCGGCTCATGTCGGTGACTGGGATGCAGTTGTAAGAGGAGAGAAACCAGCCCCAGACACAAGACTCATCCGAGACGATGAGGACTTTGCGGAAGGGTTCGAGGAGTATGTGGAGGACGGCAAGATCTCGCTTGGGCGTAAAGCAGAGCGCGAAAAGAAACAGAAAGACCGTGAAGCGATGCGAGAACTCATCGATGATGCTGAGGGGATCTCTGACGAGGATGATTCCGATGTCGAAGAGAAGGCTGCGTACGAAGCAGCACAGACCAAAGCTGCTATGGGACATGGCAAGTCTGATGGTATCGACCGACCGAAGACTCCTCCCAAAATGACTTCACTTCCTCGGCTGGCTAGCAGTTTTGAAAGATTGCGCATGTCTCTGGCATCCATGCAGAATGCGAAAACGCAAATGATCGCCCGCATGGAAGAATTGCGGAAGGAGAAGGCCGACATCGCGGACCGTGAAATCGAGATCCAGGCTATGATCAAGGAGGCTGGTGATAACTATGAGCGGCTCAAGAAGGAAGCTGGTGTTGACCCGACTGCCGAGGATGAAGCTTCAAAGGGGGCTCTGGAGACGTCCAGAGGATTGGAAAGTATTGGTGCGCCTGTGCCGGTGTCAAATTCCTCTGATTCTAGCTTTGAGGAGTCTTGATCGTTCATTTTTCTCTGTGCCCCCTCGATTTTGTATCTACGGGATACGTATCCTGCTGGGCTTCCCATTCAATACTCTCGCACTCCTCGCGTGGACTAAACGTTGTTTCTTTTGATACCCCATGGAATAGTTATGCAATCTACAAATAGTTATGCAATCTACTCCTATATTCCTTTCAGATTAGTTTTTTTACATCATTGGTCGATTTTGTGCGAATATATATATCAGCTCCACGTACTACGTGTCTGAATGACATGTGGTTTTGTTGGCTCATATGTCGGTTATATATACTAGCAATCCCTTAGCATTTCCTCCTGGGGACCTTCCAAACGCAATACATGAAGCCTGGGGCCATTTTACAATTGGGAATGCTCTCTTTCCTACTCTTACGATGTGTAGCTGTCTAGGTAGATGGCTGACTTAGTTATTTGTCACGTTTGATGCATGAAACCCTACAAATTATATCAACTACGGCTAGCAAGAATTGGTATAAACTACGAGAGAAATATTAAATCTTAAGTCAAGCTGCTTTTAGTCTAAATAACTACTGGTGAATAAGCCAAAGAGAACTGAAATTTAAGCAAACTCCGAAGACTCGATCAAATGATACTTCATTTCCAATTTTTTACTTTTCTCTCCTTCAACTGAACGGGTTTTCAGACTTGGATTGAGCACTCTCACTATCCGATCCCTGCTGGGTAATCGGAGAGTAGGATGGTTGCCGTGGTGTACCTGGAGCCTCCCCAGTCTCATGTACAGTAATAGTTGGAAATAGATACTCCTCAAAAGCCGGTCCCTCGCTCAGGGAGGGTGTGCAAAACACACCATTGGCACCATTGGCACCATTAGGTGCCTCGTCCAAAAAGGCTTCCAGCCCATCTACAGTGAGTAGTCCACGACCAGAAAATTCGCCGGCGGAACCTTGAGAAGGCTCGTGGGGAGAACCATTATCAGTCTGGAGAGAACTGTGCTGTGAGAAGAACCAGAATCTCCCTCGTTGAAGAAGACTTCTAGCTCCTCCTCCAGTTCCTCTACTAGGATAAGTCCAATGCCGGATGGTGCATTGTCGGAGTTTTGCGAAGAACCGCTGGAAGAACTCGAAGAAGCACCGTTAGCACTAGAAATATTAGTGTGAGTTGGATCCACAGATGAAGTGGAGGATGTTCCATTTAAGTTACCATTCTGCGTACTGTTCGAAGAACGATCAGATGGCGAACCATCTCCGTTGGGAAAGATAGGCTCATCATTAGAGTCATAGCCGTAGCCATAACCGCTGTCTGAACTCCATTCCATCTCCATGTCCTGACCATTGTTAAACGGTGAAAAACTGTCGAGTATCTTGTTTGGGCTTATTACAAGAAAAAGTCACAACTAGTTATATGTTTATAGGCAGTTGCAAATATCTGTAATTGTTCCCGAGGGGTGCAAGGGCACTGCTTGCACACTCAACCCATCGTATCAATATCATTGCGAATTTTATCTGCCACCTTGTAGCGGAACCGATCACTTCTGCTGACCTTTTTCTGCTTTCGACTCTGAATTTTTCCTATAATGCACACTTCCTCTCCAATCCTCGTCATTAGTACGTCTTCTCCATAATTGACAGCTATCCGGTTTCATTGGCTAGAAGAACTCTCCATTGACCGACTTTTTGACTAGCGGCCTTCGCGGGGAGATGCATCTGGCCGACGGAAGCGGGAAACGACTGGGAGTTCAAACGTCTGCCCTCTGTCCCAGGAATGTCCGCCATCGCCTCCTCAACCCAGTGTTACTGGCGATTGTGCTATAATTTGCCCCCGGTGGACCCAGAAACTAGCCAGTGTGGTTTGATGCCATTATAAACTTTGCGAGTCTATTAACAGTCTCAAAATTCCAGCGGGCGATTGGGAAGTCTGACGATTGCTGTTCAGGGCTGGTTTCTTCGGGGAAAGCCCCTTCACATGGAACTGGGGATGATGTTAATTCTTTGCTTTACTAATTCTCCAGTCTACGTCTAGCATATCCTATGTTAGCGTGACTTAGCCCTAGGGGTATTGATCGTCCCCTCTAAGCCCCAGCGCTCAGGATTTCCTCGCTCAAAAATGCCTCATATTTCCCGAAACACCTGGTATTTGTTCAAAATTTGAAACACAAAGAAACATAAGCAACATTCTGATAATTATGGCCTTAAATTAGGAGTCATTAGCGCAGTAACTGTGATGGTGCATTTCTGCTAGCGACTCTGTTGTGGGATGCTAGACCTGCAGCAATCCACGACTTGGAATGCAGTAGGCTGGATCCCACCTCTGATCTGGCCTCTATGTCTCATCAGAAAGTCTAGGAATCTGGCTTGAGACATACAATTGTGCCTCTGTTAGGAAGGAGCCGAGTCTGCGTTGAATAATACACAGAATTCCCCAGGTAAGCTGTTTCAACCTAGGAACCGTCGACCAAGTATTCTTTTTTAGAAAGTCGAAGAGAAACCGTTTTTCTATTTCTCTTGGCATTTAATACTAATGCGAGAAGCCATAGTTAATCGTTTTCTAGAGCCGACACTAAAGCAGCTATGCACAACGCTGGGATCCCGGGACTTGTTGAGCCCTAACTCGGCAATCGATAACCAACATAATCAACAGCCCCAAAGGGACACCTTTCAAACTGGACAGCACCAACCTCCTTTTGCTTTTTCTGACAGATTTTATTCCCTCATTTACTTCCCGACCTTCCCCGGATTTGTTTCGAATTCCGTTTGAGGCTCAGGATTGTTTAAGAAATTGGATGAATCTCCGGCTAATTTACCTGTATGATGATAATACTGTCCCTGCAGATATGATCTGCATATCCGGAAAATAAGCCTGGCTGTCGATTGAATACAACCTTGTCCCGAGAAACGCAACTCCAAAGTGAGAGTACTCGGGCCAATATGAAAATAGAAATACTACAAAAAGTACTGCTTAAAAGAAGAAATTGGATTCCAAGACACTTCCAACATGATCGAGAACTGAGAATTCCCCTGGGCAGGGACACTTTAGGAGCTTTGTGCCGCTTCACTGCATGCTCCTTTTCTCTTTTCTGGTTTCAACGCCACCCAAACCATCCCAGCTATAGTAAAAAAGCTTCTTTTGAATGGGTCTAGCTCTAGGGTGTTGTAGACCCGGGGAAAGGGAGCCGGAGATATTCGTTAACGGTCCCGTTATGTTGATTTCCATTTGATTCGGCAGTTGAGGGTGTTCTTTACCGATGGCCTGTCTTGTTCGTGAACCTTGCTCCCTGCACTAAAAGCCGTACTCTAAGGGAAGTGACCTCAAGATCGACAATCTCTGACGCTTATTCTCATAGAACCTTCGATGACCACCTACGTTGGGACTAAGAGTTTCAGTGTTTCAGTGTTGGACGCTAGAACATCAGGGAATCGACAGGTAACGGTATGTCAGAAACCAATTAGTTGATCTACCACAACCTTGTTCACGTTGCTTTTTTCCAATCAGGTTGGATCAGCCGTCCTGGCTTGATTGGTCCGGATGCCACTAAGCCTCCCCCAGAAGGTCCATGTCAGTACCCGTTCAGGATGGAACATTCCGAAACGGCCCGAGCCACTGCCAAGGCATGCAGCTCTAGACAGTTTGCCGATCAGGTAGACGTACAGACGGATGCATAGCTTAGCCTGGTTTGTACACGGTGGGGACTGTCGATTGGCGCGGGATCGTCTCCTTGAGCTTTTGCCAACGGGGATGCAGTCCTCGGGCTAATTGAGCAAACCCTGACTATCAGATCCCTAGAGGCTACGGAGAAAGATATTGGGACGGAGATATATCAATCTGGGCTTAACGGCCGGAAGGGAAGACCTTCCTCACGGAGCCGTCGAGAACACAACCCGTCCATAGTTCACGCTCTTGTTTCATTTTCTCCTAAACATAACCCCGGCCACAGGATCGAGGCTAAAGCAAAACAAAATACCAGACAATAGAGAAAAGATCTAAGACACTCGGGAAGTGTATTGCCACTGTATGACTAGGATCCAGCGGAATTCGTGACCTGGCTAGGCCTTACTGGTCCTTTGAGTGCCAACCCATGTCCACCTTCATGTTCTTGCTTTGTTAACACTACCTCTTTAGATGCCGGGGCGAGAAACTCCCTGGCCGTTGCGTAATGGCACGGGCCTCGAATGAGATTAACCGGACCGAGTGGTTGAAATGGGCTAGCGGAATATAGACAGGTTCATGTATCTACAGCCTGGTCATTTAGTCTTTCTATTAAAGGCCGCAGAAAATACTCCTGAATCTCGCAGTGTCAACTTCATACTGATATAATTTTGGATTACTTCCATCCCCTTTTCGATCTTGTCTATCAATATTGTCTCTCAAACAATTTCCCGCGGTACCGTCCTGGAGACTGGAGGCCCAACAAACAGGTATCTTGAACTTTCCACTTTTCACCCCCAAAGCCGCATTGCAGACACATCTGAGACCGCATTGCATCTAACTCTCGACTTACGGCACAGTTCCTAGCAAGATCAAGTTGTCAAAGACCCAGCTCGCAATTCCCCAACTAGTATTGCTACCAACTTCACAATTGGGAGCTATCTATATCTCTTATGTCCTGTCACCTACGTGTCGACATTTCGTTCTCTTCTATTTCTCTAATCCGGAGTTCCTACCAATTGCACAAAGTGAGTGGCAATCAGCCTGCCATGATCTATCTCGGTGAAACATCTCCATATAAAACAGAAATTCTAACCTCACTCAACGGTCAGCCCTGCAGGTCTCCTCGAATTCTCCGCATTCTAACTGGTATACACTGGTTACAAAGACCTCTTGCTGCGCAGCGGTAGTCCACACGCAGTGACAACCCGCGTACAACAATTGCTAGCAGTTGCGGTGAAGGCTGCGGATAGGATCACGTCCACCACCGTCATTTTATTCACATTTTCGTTCAGTTTATTTGCCCTTTTGCTCCGCTTAAGGCTATGGCAATGGTTGATGTGCTGGCTATTCCCGGGGTCCCGAAGCCATGGGTATCTTCTTCAGAATATTGCCCTGTGTTCCCCGGTATTTTGTCAGATTCATCTCCCTCTTTATCTGGCAGCCCAAAGAGTCTGGACGAGGATACTCTCAGTTTCTCAAGTGACTGGCATTCAAGCAGTTGCTCCTCTGGACCAAGTCCACATCCCAACTTCCGTTTTCTTCATCACCCTTCCACAAGCCAAACACGATATCTTCAAGATATCCCTGGAACCATGTTTAGCACACAAAGTTTGGTTCCTCATGCCGTATCTTCTCAAGATAACCTGTATCCTATGGCACGGCCGCTAGGAAATTCATATGGAGCTGGATATGCGCAAAATGTCTCTCCTGGTATGGCAAGGCCCGGTCTCAAGAACAGTCTTTCACACAACGGTAGTACCTATTGCGAGCCCTACCATGGTGCTTTTGAGGACTACGATGAAACCTTCAGCACTCGCAGAGTGGACTCTCATGCTGGGCTAGTTCACCCAACTCCGAAAAATACCCACATGGCAGCCAACAATCTTTCTTTGCTATCAATCACCGAAGAAACATCATCACTTTGTTCGTTTGAAGTTCCAAATGAGCAACCAAGCTGTGATATCACCAATCATCAGCCTGTATATGCCCCAAACATCACTAGCTACAATACGGACAAGGCTGATCTCAACTTCCACGCTCATAAACTACACATAAATCCCCACACCTCCCCATTCACCAAGTTCCGCAGCTCTGAAAATGGTGCTCCATGGAGCTCATGGAGTATGGACACTGAAACCGACATGTGGTATAGTCATCGCGTCACAAGCGATGCAGCTGATGATATGACTTGTTCCACGGGCAGCCCTTACGACGGACCTTGGTCCGTGAATCATCCATACATCCACGCGAAACAGAACACAGACTCCGTTATCATGAACCATGGCTTACCAATGCCACGCTTTGGCCATATTCTCATGGCTGGAACCCCTTCTTCGTCAATCCACGAGTCTTTCGTTTCTTCCTCGGCTCCCAAGCCAACCACAATCCAAACCCACCAGAACCAACAGGTCTTCTCAAACAATGGGAATACTTCGAGTTCTAAGACTGTCTACTCAGACACACATGCTGGCTCTTTCGGCCAGAATCCACTGAGCGAACCCAGTCCTTCATATGTTCACACCACGACAGAGGAAACAACCTCTCCTCAACCAACCAACGAGGACCGAGCCACCATCGAAGCAAGTCTTCACTACAGCGATGCCCGCAATGCATTCCTGATTGACTGCAAGCGACGCGGTCTCTCTTACAAGGATATCAAGCGAATGGGCGGATTCAAAGAGGCAGAGTCCACACTACGAGGGCGATTCCGCACTCTGACAAAAGCCAAGGATCAGCGCGTGAGGAAGCCAAAGTGGCAAGACAAAGATGTATGTGAAATGACCCATTCTCGCATGTAATGACCTGCAATTAATCATGCCCCTGTCTCACAGATTAAACTCCTCTGCGAAGCTGTCCTCATCTGCTCAGAAACCCCTGAGGCATACACCTCCATTGTCCATATCAGTATGAGCATGCATCAGCCACCCAAGGTGTCCTGGAAGAAGGTCGCTGGGTACATTTGGAGTCATGGCGGATCTTATTACTTTGGAAATGCTACTTGTAAGAAGAAGTGGTGCGAGATCCATGATGTCAAGCTTTGATTGGGGGGCTAGTTGTGATGTCTGGGAGGTATTTTGCTCTTTGCTTGGTCATATGGGATTTGTTTGATAAAGTATCTTGTTCATTTCGGCTGGTCTGATTTTTGTACCGTAGCGTTGGCGGTTTCTGAACTTTTAGACTGTTTTCCATTCAAACAAGAATAATTTTGCCTAACGGGCAATGAAGTGAACGTTGTATAGTTCATATATTGGATTCAGGATGTGATGTGATGATGCTTCCCGGGCACTTAAGCATGCTATATCCTTTATTAAACAGGATGGACTAGTTATCCATCTATTTGCCATTTCCTCCACTTTGGGTGTTTATAAACATAACTACCTCCCCTTAGATGTCCACAGTTATGTACCTCTCTCTCCTTTTATATCTGCCTTTACATCAGTGTACACTTTCAGAGCGCTCTCCAGCACTCCGCAAATAGAAACCAACATCAGGATCTATTTTGACTATAGTCAAAAGGAACCCAACATGGCTAGGCATACTGGCGAATGACATCAGTGTGGACTACTCCGCCCCCAAAGCGGCATATGGGACAGTGATGGTTTGAATGCGACACCACCACTCCTATGAGCGGGGAGAAACTGTCAGTAATGATAATGTCAAATTCGACGGCAGCCTATCTCTAGATTTACCCCACCTTGCCACAATAGCTGACGCGACCCCCTTCTTATGAACCACGAGCGATAACCTGCGCCAGGAGTTTGATGCGGGCTTGTTGCTGTTCCTGGGTCATCAATGCCTATTCAGTGTGCTTACAACTAACGACACGTCTTTCTATCCTCCTTTGGAGTAGGTTTAGTTTATGTGTATGTACCTACCTCTCTAGCCTGACCTATCCCCGAAGTATATCAGGATTTGTAGTACCCAGCTTCGCCGTCAAGGTAAGTGCTTCGGACAACCCCCAAACGGCACGAACAGCTAAACATTTATACACGCCTCAGAATAAACTATAGAATAATAATCTCCGCATTCCAGAAATACAGTATACCCCATTGCAGGTCCATGGGGTACCGCCGATCTCCCCACACCTAAAACCCGCCTCGGATTTCATTAGCCGTAACCCCAATACCCGGGGGAAGCAACTCAATAGCCGCACAACCCAGACAGCAATAGCCGGCGACAAACTGCAATTCGGAGAAAGCAAAAAGCAGGAAGAGAAATATTTAACTATTTCCGGCGCCTCTACCTGTATATTAGAAACCAATCCATTTCATTTCAATTGAAGCTCAATTGTTGAACTTAATCCTTTCCATCCATCCTTTCTACCCTGAAGTATACTATACATCATACAGCCCAAAATGCCCAAACCAATCGTCCTCCACCTAGGCGACGACATCCGCTGGAACCATGAGCTCTACGCTAAATTCCAAGATGCATTTGAAATCCGCCGTTCATACAGTATGAACCGAGAAGAGTTCAAGCGCGCCCTGAAAGAGCGCACCTTTGGTGATTTCTTTGCTATTTACCGCCCGTTCTGGAATACCGGTGGTGAGATGGGGAATTGGGATGAGGAGCTTATCTCCCTTTTGCCGGCTTCTTGTCGTGTTTATGCTAGTGCTGGGGCTGGATTTGACTGGGTTGATACGGCTGCTTTGGCTAAGAGGGGTATGTATACGCACAAAGTGATGGGACTGGATGTGGACGCGAAGAGAAAGAAGAAGTCGATGCTAATTTATACCTCTGTTGGTTTAGGGGTTACCTATTGCAACGCCGCAGCAGCATGCACGGAATCCGTGGCCGACGCCGCAATCTGGCTGATAATCTCTACATTCCGTCTCTTCAGCTGGTCCCATGTAGCGGCACGCTCGGTGGACGCTGAGCAATTCGTCGACGCAAACCGGAACTTGGCTATGGTCTCACACAACCCGAACGGACACACACTCGGTATAATCGGGTTCGGACAGATCGGCCGACGAACGGCTGAGAAGGCGTACCTGGCGATGAACATGAAGATTCACTACCACGATATCGTGCGGATGCCCTCCGAGCTTGAATCCGTGTCGAAGGCGACCTATCATAAGGAGATGGATTCGTTGCTGGCGGTGTCGGATTGTGTGATGGTTGCGACGCCGTTTAGTGGGGAGACGTTGCTTAACAAGGGGCTTTTGGCGAAGATGAAAGATGGGGCTAGGTTGATTAATATTGCTCGTGGAAAGTTGCTTGATGAGGGGGCGCTTGTTGAGGCGTTGGAGAGTGGGAAGTTGGCTGCGGCAGGTTTGGATGTGCATTTTGATGAGCCGAGGGTTAGTCCTAAGCTTGCTTCTATGCGAAATGTGGAGATGATGGCTCATAACGCTGGGGCTTCAGTTGATTCGCATATTGGGTTTGAGAGGTTGGGTATGGAGAATATTCTTTCTTTTGAGAAAACTGGGAAGGCGGTTACGCCTGTTAATGCGCACTTGGTTGCTAAGGCGAATGGGTCGAAGCTTTAGATTTGCAGTTGAATATCATCATTGTTTGTTTGTTTGTTGTTTGTTGTCTTGTGGTTATATGTACAAATACTATCTTGATATCAGATGCTTCATAGTTGGATTTGATTCGAGTTCGTTGAGTAGTCTTCGAGTCGTAGATTGACACCGCGTTTATGCAAGTTCCATTCGGATAGGTGCTGATATGCAATAAAGGAAAATAGCCAAAAAGTACAAGTCAGCAACGGGTATACATAAACACTCATTCCACATTCACCGTTCACAGAGAAGGGCCTCTGGAATCCGTCCGCGGAAATCCAACCGTAGTAAGAGCCTGCGTGAGCAACTCCGGGTTTTCTCTCAGTGCATTCCACTCACTCTCAGCCTTGACCATTAGCGTTCCCGCAAGAATAGTACCGTTCAACGAGAGGACCCCAGGATCGGCTATGTCAGCCGCTGCCGCGGGGTCAATTGGCACGACCGCCGTCTCCTGCCGCCGGGGACAAATCATCATCGTCGAGCGAGTCATAGCAAGATTGTAGCTGATAAGCGATGCACCATGTGTAGAAACAGGCTCAGTATCCTGCTGTGGGCTGCAGCCGCGTGTTGCTGCAACGGCGGCTTTGTAAAGAGTTGTATAGATTGAGTGGAGGGCTTCGGGTGAGGGGTTTGGCGGGAGCGGAAGAGCGAAGTGAGCGAAGGGGATGGCAGAAAGGTGTTGGAATTTCGGCGTCGAAGAAGGCGAGGAGGGAGGGGATGTGGATTGGGAGGTGAGCAGGTCGATCAGCGGATGCCAGGTCTCCGAGCCGGGTTGGCGCATTGCCTCCACGGGGAGGAATTGGAGGTGGCGGTGTGGTTGGCTTGCACCACTGTCGTCGCCGGAGTTGAAGAAGGCGAAGAGGCCCTGGCTCTGGCCCTGGCTCTTGGAGCCATTCGTTTGGCTAGATCCGGATGCGGTCCACGCTTTTAGGACCTCATATGTAGCCTCTAGATCCGCTTTTTCTAGCAGATCAGTTTGCGCTTGCCAGTCTCTCGTCACGAGGAGGAAGTGATTCGGGATAACAGGAAACTTGTTGAGAATCAGGTTGTAGGCGGGGTTCTCGGTCGGGAATTGCGCGACCAGAAGCTCCGGGGAAGGGTGCTGGAAGGGATCTGGCTTGGGGATCTTGGGGCCATTGTCGGGCTTGATGCTAGAGGGTTTCTTAGCCAGAGCTGGGCAGTAGCGAAGTTGATACTGTAGTCGGGCGGTGTTAGCTACGTCTTGACCTGTCCTGGGGTTGTCACTCACCAATATCCCTGCGGCGTTGATTATCGACAAGTGGGTTGAAGAGAACACCAGGTGACTGGCATCTCGGGCAGCTGTGAAGCGCCTAGCGACTAATGTCGGTAGACTTTCTGGTAGAGCTAATTGCATGGCGGAGCTTGGGGATGTGACGATGGGAGGAACATGGAGAGAGAGGTGGGGATTGGGGTTGGGGGACGGGACGGCAAATGGTTAGTTAACGTTATGTCCGTCAACTAACTTATACACTTGCAGTTGGTAAGTTAATTTGCAACTATGCTCAGACAATCTAATAGAACAGAATATAGAGTATAGTGTATAATATAATTTCTCATTAGAAGACAGTCATTTTGAGTCCCCTATTAACACCATCGCCAAGATCCTGGCCAGCAGAATCCGGTACACAGTATAGCCATCACGCAGCCAGGCGAATAACATAAGAAACAAAGAGAAAAATCATCTCGTATCAATCCCAAGGTATCATCCATAATCCGTATTCAGACAAATCGCTCGTCAAGACGCCGCTGCTATACGGAAACATGACACATCAAAGAAAATACACATGGCCAAGTCAGAAGGTGGAGAAGAGAGAAGAGAAGAAAGAGGCAGAAGAGAGAGGTAGGATAGGAGGATCATTCAAGCCATTAATTCATTGATAGAAATCTCATCATCATGCATCTGGCAAGTTTCCGGCAGAGGCATCGCCGGCTGGCCCATCATATAAGACGCAGGACCACCGATCCAAGGACCGCGCTCCTCGTCCGTAGCGCCAAGAACACCCTCAGCACGGTTGAGGGTCTCAATGTCCAGATCGGTGACATAGGCGTCGCGGTCATCTTCCACACGACGAGGCAGTCGGACACGGACCTCGAATTCATTATTGAGCATCATCTCATCCTTCCACAGCCGGCGCTGGCCATCGAAGACGCAGAGCACACGCTTCTTGGTCTTGATGCTGCTGCTGGGACAGCCCCAGGACTGTGGGTAATTGCCGCGGTTGTTGCGGCGGCGAGTTGTGATGGCTCGAGGTGGCTTTGTTTTAGAGATAGCGTTGCCGGATCCAATTATCGAGCGCGAGGAAGGGATGCCGTTCCCCTTGGTGGATTTTAGGCCGCTGTGACCGGCGCGCCAGTTGGAGAGGTCGTGGGAATCGTCATTGTTGAGCTCGTCGTAATCATTGAATGTATCGACAGGATCGGACACGTCGAGTTGGTGCTTTTCCATTGTTTTCTTGACCTCCTCGTCGCCGGCGACTTCTGCCAGGCGCTGCTGGTTGATAGCCTCGGAACGCTCCTCTTGCTGCACCACGCTTAGGACACAGTCGTCCAGATGCTCGTAGAAGTCCTGGGCGTTGCTAAAAGTCGCGGAACAGGTCGAGCACTTGCCGGTGGCATCGCTGCTGTAGTTTGTGCCCTTCTTTGTTGATGCGCTGGGGCTGCGCTTGCGGCAGTTGGGTGGTGTTTGTTCCACACCGTGGACAGAAGTCAAGTGGCGCTTGAAGACGTCGGCGCGGTTGAAGCTCTTTTCGGCGGGAGATCCAGGTCCCGGGCAGAAACCGCACACCATTGTGCCCTTGTAGTGGGTCAATGTATGGCGGTTCTTATCGTATTTGCGAGCGAAGCCCTTGGTGTGGTACTCGCAGGTCAGAATCGGGCACTTCTCTGGCCGTTCTGACTGGTGAGTTAACATGTGGGCTTTTAGATCTTTAAAAACACGTCCGCACTCGGGGTGTGGGCATTGCCCTTTCTCCTTGGTCTCATCATCCGGGTCAATGCTGCTCAGCGCCGGGCTGTGCTGCGAGTGTCGTGATCGGATGGAGGAGATAGAGGATCGTCTATCATATACCGAGACTGGTCGCGATTGCGACTGCGGCACCATCAAAGGCGATGGCCCAGCATGTTGCGCCGGGTGTGAGCGCGGAGAGGGATGGCGCTCTGCAATATCGTTATATGGAAGGGGAGAAGTTGCGGGAGAGGGCACAAGATAGTTGTGTGGCAGGTTAGAGTAGGAGTTGGAATGTTCGGGATAGGAGATAGTAGGAGTGAGACCAGGGCCTTGCTGCACTGGCTGAATCAATGAAGGATCTGTATCGGTCAGTATCTGCGACTGCTACAGCATAATTGGCGACCACATACCGACATAACTGTCCGGGAACTTTTCTTGGTAGAGCATGTCCATATCCATAGTGTTTCCCATATACTCTTGCGAGAACAGATCATTCATGACTACACCTGGCAGGCCCAGCCCGTTGTTTGTGTTGACCCAATTCTCCTGGAAAGCATGCGCGGTCCCTGAATATGGAGATCCCATGGCAGAGGAGGATGCGCTCGCAATGGATGGTCCAGAGGCAGCAGAGCCAGTGGGAATCTGGGGTTCTGTAGAGTATGCGGAAGGAGGTGTTGTAGGCGTAGAGAAATTGGGGTTCTTGAGCTCGGACTCGAACATGTGGGTATCGAAGTACGAATGGGGAAGACGGGATAGGTCGGTGTGTCCGTAGACATCCACCGGGAAAAACATGTCGACGGGATCCATGAAGTATTGCTTAGATCTTTGGATAGCCATGGGGAATAGAACGAAATCAGAGGTCGTCATGCCCTCAATGCTAGAGCTGGTTAGCACATACTATCTCAGTCGCAGCCGATGTTCATACTAAGGTTCTTGGGCGAGATCGCGGCCCGCTCGGCCAAACAAAAATGCCAACCACGGAAAGGCAACGTGCGAGATGTAAGGGGATGAAGAAAGGATCCAAAGGTAGCATTCAAGTTGTAAGGAGGATAAACTGGTTTAGAATATGAGTTCCGGGGGGGCGAAGGGATATTATAGAGACAGTGACCCGCCCTACAGATATAGTCTGTAGTGTCTGGAACAGAAAAATAAAATAAAAGTAATTAGATTAAATAAGAATTAAATAAGAATTAAGAAATTTAAAATAAAAATTTAAAATAAATAAAAAGATAAAAATAAAATACCGTATTGTTGGCACGAACAGGGACAAGGGTTAGCCGCCTATGCAGGCTGGGGTGGACCTCTTTTAATAGTTTTGGGCTATTATTACACATGGTGTTGAATTAACAAGATTTACCCAGAATTCTATCTCAGATGCATCATTACATGTAACTGTCTACTCTATTCTTTGTTATGTGGAGATATGACAGTAGTCGCCCCAGATATCCTTTTCGTCATCGGCATGTCCGCATGGTAGAGCTTGGCATCCGGTTAGGCTTGTCACCTACAGTACCCAATTGGGAATATGTAAAGGTCTCTTCGTCTATACCAATAGAAGATTTATCTCACCATCCGACGAAAAAATTTAATCCCATCCCATCCCAACAGTTCGGATCCGACTCAGCACTTGTTGTATGACAGAAGGGGGAAATTTTGTAGTGGGGCAACGCCTATCATTTAAGCCTAGGAGGGAAGTCCAAGATCTGGCCGACGATGCTACCGAAGACTACAAAATCCAATCGTTCAGTCGATCCTCTCCGGGGACCATCTACCCTCCCCACACAGCTATTTCGGCACGGCCACTGCCAGCACGGGCATGGGATTGGTCCAGGTGGTCGCCCAATCAAACGTGAAATGAGTGAGTCCCCGATGAGTCCCCAATCAGGACTTGGAAAGGCCTTCCGATCAAGGGGGCGTTCCTTAGTGCGTGGGTTCGCGAGTTTTGGTTTATTTGGGGACGCTATACCCTCTTTGCATTTGTCCTGGGCGATCATTACAGATTACAGTGAACACTTTA